TAGTACTTAGGCAAGTTTTTGAAAATCTTGATAAAGCAAATATCAAATATTTAATGTGTCCTTTTGAGAATCTAAATGTGGATGAATACTAGTCTATGGCCCTCAATCAGCCCTCTGCATTGTCAGTGTTTAGATATGCAGCCCTTGATGAGAAAAGTTTGGACACCCCCTGCCTTAGGGTATTCATTAAGTAGCTACTCAGCCTCATTCTGAGAAGGGGTCTTATGCAAAATCAATTTTTTTTAGGAACTTGTCTGTACTGTGTTATAACGTTGTTCCCTCATCAGAAACATGCCTGAAGAGCTTTTAGATGTTATCCATGCATGCATCTCTCTTGGGCACTATTCTGAGTCTTCTTAAGGTTAGCAGTGTGATTCTGTCCAGTCATAAATATTTAAGGGCAGGTTACAAAACAATATAGGACAAGTTCACAAACTAGATGCAATGTGCAGTGGTTTCATTACATACCTTGTAATGTGATAGTGTTTGGGATGAAATGAAACTGAAACTGTTAATACATTGTTTTTGACAAATATAGCATTTTGAAAATAAACAATAATAGGGTAATCTAAATATATAATATGTTATCAGTTAATACCCTAGAAGTAAAATACCACCTCTATAAGGCTATCAAAAATTTAGTTATTGTAAAGTTTTACTCTTAATTTACTAGTATGTTTTGCTATATTGCCAAAACACACACATTTTTGTTCCCCTACAATGGCAGTAATATTTTACTGATTCCGATCCATTTGAAATCCATATTTTTGTTCTTCCCGACAAGTCTTTAAAAGTTATTCTGCTTTTCTGGGAATCTACCAATATATTTGTACTTCCACCACAGACTGTCCTCACTTGCACTGTGTGATTAAGGTCATTATGTAGCCTCTTCACACAAACCACTGTCAGCCAAATCCCAGAGCGCAAAAAGCAGAGTGTAACATGTAATCGTAGCAGAAAGTGAGAAAATTTGGGGTCTTCAAGGTGCAATGAAAAGGTCCCTGTGGTGTACGATGATGACAGAAGTTGAAGCATTTTTTGATTGTCAATCTCCAAGCGACACATAAAAGAAGTGAAGAAATTGCTAGCATACAGCATAGTTTTTACATTACATTTCCCACATGACATTTTAACTGCTTTTGAAAATAGCTGTTAAATTGTGGCGTGAACTTGACCCATCTCCTCTATACTTTATGAATTGACAAATTGAAAGAACGTTTCGCCTCCATTAACATAAAATACGTCTGCTCTACTCGCATTCATTCCATATAGTACTGCATTTTGTAAACACTAAAGGGCTAACAATGTAAACGGTGAAAATAAAAACCATAAAAGATAGAACATCTGACATACACACAACCACATATATTTTTCTCTATGCATGAATTTATGTATCTGCAAATGTGTAACTGTACTTAAAGGGCCGAGATTGCCAATATTTACTGAACTAAAGGTAAAAGGAGCTGTTAACTTGAAAACTACCACTATATGACACAGTCTAATAATAAAGGATTACTCAAACATATGTGAATGAAACAAAACACAACACCAGGTATGTTTTTTAAGTTGTTAACAACATTATAACATGGCTTAAAGCTCACAGGAGTCAATGTTGTGTAATATTGGACCTTTAACACCAAAACGCCACACAATACCATTTGAAATCATGAAGCAAAGGCCGGGGGAACTACACTAATTGTTATTGCCGTGTGTAGCCGTCAGATGCTCTTCTACCAACTGGTCCACGGTGTATTAAATGTCATCCTAGCATTTGATCATCTGCCTTCACCAAATGGAAACCAACTTTAAAACTACTTATGGCTCTGAACAGGCTGTTGTGTTATTTGTGTTAAACTCATGGATAACAGATTGTAATTCACTTTGCCCTTTTATATGAACAAACTGTTTACATGTGTAGACTAGTTAGTTGTAAGGCTGCATGATAAGAGAAATAAATCCACTATTCAATGTTTAGTATTGTGAAAATATTATAGCAATATTTTAATATACTTTAATATAACACATTAAGTCTGTTGAAAACAAAACAGTATGTACATGCCTACTAGCCTATGTTGAAATCATAGACTGTATATATAAATGGACATGGCTAACCTGATAACCGCCGCATTTCAAATAGGAAGTGAGCATGGGCATGGGTTCCTAACATGGAACTAGGCTCCAAATTCACCCCATAACCCCGAGCCTCGATGAGTTTCATTTGACTGGAGCTGAACGCTCCCTTTGTACACTTCTTTATACAGTCTGCGGTTGCAATAAAAAAATACCAGAGACTAATCAAAATTAAAACAAGGTGGAGAAGGAGAATCTTAGTTTTAGTATGATTTATATTTTTTGCTATGTGGATCACTGCATCAGCTAATATTGTTGGATATTGTTAGAAGTTAGATTGTAATTCCAGGGTTGTCAGCCTTTTGAACACTTTTGAAATTGCTAGACTTAAAATTAGAGACACTGAAACACAATGGCCATGAAATGTTCTTAACCACACACACGACCCACTCTATATCCCCTTGAACACCGTGTAACATTACTTCAATCTACTTTACAGAGGAGTGTTTCAGAAGACTAATAGCACTGCCATCCACCGCTCTGATGTGACCTGGGTTGAGCTGGGGTCAGTGTGAGCGGACCTGACGAATGTAGCTCTGACTGCGCCGAGGTCAGGTTCAAATTCAAAAAAACGCTAACCGGGGCCCTGTGCACGAACGCAATCCAAAGTCCATCCACATTACTTGTGATCACTGACTGCCTCCAGGGGATCTCTCTGCTCCCTCTCCATGCATCGCTTCCCTCTTTGTTTACCGCGTAGAGGTTGATTTATGTCGGCCGGAGCTTGCCAATGCTTGCTGGGCGGCGTGGGCGCGATGCAGCAGCTGAACAGAGGGAGAGCAGAAGGAAAGAGAGAGGGCAAACCACAGCGATGGATCAAGATGGGTGGGAGCAGAGGGAAGCACAGTAATGGTTTGGGAATAGACAGTGAGGAGGAGTCGGAGCAGCCGCAGGTGTCGCACTAGCGCCGTATCTTTCGAAAACACTTCTCAGAACACAAGGTCTCGCACCACCTCTGGCTCGGTCAGACTTGAGTATTTCGTATGCAGCCTTCTCATTTTGCGAGGTCCGTATGTCAGATTGAATCGCTGACAGTTCTCGACAGCAATATGCAGTCTGTGAGAGTGAGAACATAAAGTTGGCTGTTGAATGCATCTGGCTTAACAATATGGCCAAATGTCTATTACTATTTGGTGATTCAGCCACAACAATAAACAACGCAGTAATTTGTCTACTGCTTCAGGTCACACTGCCAGTTTTTCCCCATGCACATCACCTGTTGCCGTTGCACCATTGGGAACCTTGAATTTTTAATATTCTCAAAACAGTTTCATTAGTTAGTCATTAGTTTCCTAGTTTCCATATTTTACTTCACATCAATATTATGGATATGGGATTTTTTCTTAGGGTTAGGGGGTGTTTTTTGCTGATGTTTCCGACAAGTTAGGAATATAACAAAAGTTCTATGAGTCTCGGCAGACTCCCAGAGAGCAGTGCTGAAAATTTGAACGAAGGATTCAGTCAGTGCTTTCAGCTCTGCCCTCCTGCAATCAGTAGGGATGAGATAGAACTCAAAAATAATGGCTGTACTATCATTCTATGGCTGAATAAGCAGAGCACACTGAACTACAATACCATGGTCAAGGCTGAATACAGCATATAATCAAGGCCTTAAAATATAGTATCTGTGCCACTTTGGTAGAATGGGTTTATAAATATTGACCCAGAATGTTTTTCGTAACTAAAAGTACGACCATTCGATCTTAGTACTTTGAAGCTATGGCTAGTGTTTAAATCAATTCAAATCACGTGTCTCTCTCTAGTGTATTTGTTAGTGAAAGTGTATTTGGAAACGTTAAAGTACTATCGACCTATTTACTCCAATAGCGAAGTTGCCTTGAAATCTTTTAAAATTTATACTATTTGTCACGGACTTGTATTGACTGCCCTTATGTTACCCTGTTGTGTAATTGTGTGTACTCTGTGCTGTACAGTGCAGGTGGAACTGGGGACCCCCAGCTCTTCACCTGCGCACCCACACCATTTCTTTAATCGAGCCTTTCTTTAATTAAACCCACACCCTTCAGCGCACATTCATACTGTCACACACACACCTATATTATTTAGTTTCTGTTTTTGTGTATTTTGGTCATAGCATAGAGCCAAGACAACTTGGTAACAGAATTGGGATTGTTTTGAGGACTTTTAAATTTAGAATATTTGATTGATTGATTGATTGCATTTATATAGCGCCTTTCAAGATACCCAAAGTGCTTTGCAGTTCATTATTCAGTCACTCCACACTCAGTGGTGGTAAACTTCTATTGTAGCCACAGCTGCCCTGGGGCAGACCAACGGAAGCGAGGCTGCCAATCTGCACCATCGGCCCCTCCGACCACCGCCATCACTCACACACACACCACTTTCATACTAGGCAATGTGTATTGCAAGATGTTTTGTTTTGAATAGTTAATCATTATGGTGATGCTCTTCATTTTTCATCATTCTGAATCCCATGGTAGCATTCTCATTTTATAAAACATTTACTCAAGAGCTAGAGCATGAAGGCTTGTTTCACTAGACATTACGAGTTACTGTTGCATCGATTAAATTCTAATCTGCCTACACAACTTAGTGGACATTGGTGATTTATTGTTGAAAATTGCCTTTTGTCTTTTTTATTGTCCTGGCCACAAAAAGTTATTAGGTGCTCTGACAGGGATTCGATTTCAAAAGAAGCAAGATGAGTTTTGAAAAACAGCCAAGGGCATTGCAATATATTGGCACCACATGGGCAGTAGTAAAAGAAACGACTGACCTTCTATGTATTATTATTACACCTTAAAAAAATGTGAAGAGTTCGTTGTGCTCAAATGACAATATTACAGTTTAGTAGATCAAACTAATTCAGAATTTTGTTTGTTTTGCAGCCGGCCAGTTGAGCCAATCTGCGTACTTCTCCCTCCAGCTTCCCTACACTGTGCTGGGCCTCGGACGCAGTGCCAACTTTCTGGACCATCTATTCGTGGGCATCCCGAGGCAACCAGGAGAGACGGTGAGGAGAACCGAGAGCTGCTTATCATTACCTTTACCCTCAAAGCATCCATGTAACTTTAGAGAGACTCCAGGCAGCGCAATCTGACCAAACATATAAAAGAACTGCAGGCAGGAGTGAGGGAGGGGTGATGACTGAAGAGGAGGAGAAAAGAGGGCAGACATTTGGAGTGTTTAGGCTTAGGCTTAGAGTGAATGGTTACTTGTAATTTATAGCTTTGATTGTCGAAGTATGTAATTCTTGACTATAGACCACAGTTTACTTTGACTTTGCATAATGCTGTAGTGTAGTGTTTATAGTTTACCCAAGGGCTTGACTTTATGAACATACTTTACTTCCAACTATATCTTTTCTACTGTAGTGTTTCTGTTGCCTTCCAAATTGATACTTTGCAGTGATGTCACACTGGGGGTGTTCTACATGTATGTGTATTGGCAGAATGTTCATTTGTTAACATGGAGACAAAATGCAAACATTAGGAAACACTGTCAAATAAGTTTTAAGATCATCTGAAAACTCAAAGTAAAAAATACAAAATGGATTTAAAGAGCATATTTTAAGGAGTTTGTGAACAATCCCAGCATTCATGGTTCTGTGTAGGTGTTTGATTTTCAGTCGAAAAGGTGAAGTAATATTTATTTTTTGAGGGACTTGTTAACAGCACAAATCAGCTCACCTGCTGTAGTTCCTGTTAAATCAGGTCTTTCTGGTGTTCAGATTAAAGTCTAACTTGAGTACCGGAGAGTCTTGAGTATCAATAGATGCCATGTTGCAATATAATGGCACATTTGAAACCTTGACAAAAGCATTTATCTGGCCTCAGGAATCGGCACACAGAGTACACCAATGTGTGACTGTAACAATAAATATTTAGTATAAGAAACTTCATGATCAATAATTATGACACCACCCAACACAATGGTCTTTATAATAATATAGTTAGTTTAATCGTGTAGTTGTAATGTTGCTAGTAGTAAATACATCTTTCCATCTTTCATCACTTCAGTAAAACACATGAGCAAAATAACTACTAAAGTTCCTATATTACACAAAATTGGCTCTTGTGAGCTTTAAGACATGTAATAATCCTGTTACCTACCTCCTCAAAAACATACCTGATGTTGTGTTTTGTTTCATTCACACATATTTGAGTAAACCTTTATTATTAGTCTGTCTACATCCCCAAAGATCAATATGCTCTGTCTACTTTATGATATCATTAAGTGGCAGTTTTCAAGCTATTAGCTACCTTTTACCTTCAGTTAAAGGTTTTCCAAATGTGAGAGTGCTTTCCATTTGAGATGCAGCTGTGTGTTAAACATGTTTGAATGAAACAAAACGTAACCTCATGTATGTTTTTGACAGGGAAGTTATCTATTAATGCAAGAAACGTCTGTCTGCGTCTCCTCGACCATCTAGACCTAGACGATCACCAACATTTTGACCCTTATATACTCATTTGCCATAGTCCACTGCAAACTCCAGCCTTGATATTTCCACTCACATTACCGCTGCAATACTACGAGTCATTTCTTTATTAATACCATAATAAATAATGTATCGCATATATAGCTCTAATCTATTACTCAGCCTGGTTCCCACTCTCCAGCTGTACATCCCCTTTATTTTTCCTGTGCTCATCATCTTCATGCCTGCGTTGTGCTGTACACTTGTCACACTCAATATTAGCCAAGGCAGTGCTTTTTTCCCCTGTCCCATGTGGCGCTGGGGTCCTTGTCAAACAGCTGATTAGACTTGCAGATGCCTGTGTCCACGACTCAGAAGCTATAGTGCACTGAGTACACTCCTAGTTGCTTTGTTGTCACTTGCTTTTCACATGCAAAGAAATGTAATTTTTCTTCTATACTTTTCATCTACCTGTTATAAAGTGAATCCATGAGTGCTCTGAGATGTGACCATTATGCTGATCAGATTCTGGTGCAGAAACCTAAGGTTGTGTTTTTTCAATGTATTGTATCTGTAATGAGGTGGATGAGGAGAGAGATTTGGACTACTACAAAGCTGCGTGGAGCTTGCTGATGATCACCTCTCTTCATCACTCTTCTTATTCTTGTTTTGGTTCAGTTTAACGTAAGTCATTATCCAACTGTCTCTGCTGTGGTGGCCTTTACAATTTCCACCTGCATTATAAAGAAGTCGCCTGCTGTGCCACACACATAGAGATGTTTTGTGAAAATGTGCTTGGATATCTTCCATCTTCTGTCCAGTCTTCACCCTCCTCGTGGCTCATCTGTGCAGGCGTCTCCTCCTCCTCACTTATCCGGCTCCCAGGGGACCCTCTTTGCAGCTAAGAGTGGTTTACTTCACTAATCAGTCCCCTCCTTGTCACTCTCACTCTCTCAGCTTCATCCTCTATCTCTGGATGTGTCTCTGTGGTGCACTCATAGTGTGCCAGTTTTTCCCCCTCTTTGAACCCGGCATCTTCTTTCTTTCCTCTGAAGACTTGGGAGCACTTTTCTCTTCCAAACAGCCAGATCGGATCTGCTCCCAGGCACCAGTCGTCTTCAGCTCTGTTCCCCCGCCAGTCGTGGCATCAGCAGCGGTGCTTTCCAAGAGCTAAGCGACAATGGCTGCCGGCGAGAATGTTCTTGTTATGTAAAAAGAAGCACGGTTGTTGCATTTTACAAAATAGCTGCGAGATGGGGTTCCACTCTTAACTATGAAGAACATGGCCAATATTGTACAACTGTGTCACTTACAGGATCCAAATGTGAAACTGGGAATATTTCATTCTGACTTCATTAAGTAGATTATCTTGCTTCAAAACTCCCTTTTGTGCTGGTCTTATCAACTCTTGCAGTATTTTTATTTTCAAATTCTAGTCTAATTAAGCATATTATGTTAGACAAAATAATAGCACACTGTCAGTCTTTTTAATTTGAAAGCCCTGACTTTGGCCTTTAAAGCTACCACTTGCCAGTTTATTGGATTTTTTTCAGTAGATGGCAGATATGAACTGCTCCTCTACTTCCTCACCTGGATCATTTGTGCTCTTCTTCTTATGGTTTTCTTCTGCTTCTTCTGACAGGCTAAAGCTGGGACACTGTCAAACTAGAGTAACATAGATAGCATCTAGTATGTCTGAATACAACAGTGGTGGGCCAATCTAATTACAAATGATAGCTTTAAATTTAAGGAGTGTGTTGGGGGGAAAAAAATATTACTAAAAAATTTGGCTATGATTACACTAGCTCATAGGAACAAGCAAGATGCTTGGGCAAGCTCAGACTAGTACAATAAGAGTATAATAAGCAGAATAAAATGATTCTGCTTGCAAGCAAGCAGAGATTTATGCAATGCATGATGGTGTGGCACGTGTGTGGTGTGTGTACTTTGTCAGTTCACATTCAAGTTTGTGCTTCCAGTGAGCAGCAGAGCTTTGAGCGGAGAAGACAGGTCCATTTATGAGATGAGAAAAGTCTATGTATATTTTATCAAGACAGAGGCTGAGATTACAAAACATTTTCCAGATGGCTAGGCTTTCCATGCAGACACACAAATACTTAATCACATGATGACAGCATCATGTATGTTCACACAACCAAACCCTACTATTGTGCTATTTTCTCTATTTATTTTAGCCAGAAGGTCAATGGTGACTTAAATACAGTCTTAAAATAGAAAATGGTTAAAAAACACTATGGGACTGATTATGCTACCCTTCTACACAAACATGTTAGTCTGTGCCAAATATAATATAATTAGGGCTTGGCAAAAAAAAATTAAAAATATCGCATTAATTGCATGAGTTCGAGCGATTAATCACGATCACTCGCATGTTATACGCAAAACCAATGAATGAATTAAAAAGTAGAGTATAGCGCACTTTTATTGGAAATGTAAATGAAAGAGCCATACATTTGTTGTGCAAATAGCATTTCTTTCACAGGGGAACCCTGGACTTTTGTACGACTAATATACTTTTTGAATATTTTTTATGCAGTGAGTAATAAACACTACACTAGTAATAATTTCTAGATCATTGTTATAAACTTGGACTAATATTTCTTGGGGAACAAAGGGTTAATATAATGGAATGGAAATGAACCAATCACATTTTTTCTTCCACTGGTATCTGGGTAGATCAGTGACTCCCCCTGTAGCACTGAACTAAAGAAATAAGCTCAGCTCAGAGCGCACGGCTGGTCCGCCCGGAGCCAGAGCCCGCGGCCGGAGCCGGAGCCCGCAGAGGCTTGGACATGTTGCATCTCACGTGGTCAGAAAAAAGTGGAAAAAGTGTAAAGAAAAGATGTCAAACTTAAAGAAATGCTCACGTTGGACTTTTTCAAAATAAAAGCCAGTGAGAAACAGATATTTACAATAAAATAAATAAATAATAAAAACTGCGTTAGCAGCGTTAAAATAATTGTCGATGATAATGACTTAATTAGTTAATACAAAATTAACGCGTTAACATGCTAGGCTCTAAATATAATGCTTTTGATTGTAGTGATTTTGACAGTGATATGTCTTGTTTTGTTTTACAGGAAATAAGGAAACAGGAGTGGACCGCCATTATTCCCAACTCTCAACTTATTGTCATCCCTTTTCCACACAATAAACCCCGCAGGTATTCTTTCAAACAGCCTTCTTATGTGGAAAACAAACTTATGTGTGCCCTTCAGATCTTTGTTCAAGTGAAGCCTATAATATGGCCTATATTGAATTTTCACATTAATGCAGCTGCTAATGGTATATCAAATATAAACCGCCTCATCTGATTCCAGTTAATGCACACATTTTCCAGCAATGAAGTTGTATGCTTAGTGTGTAGTAATAGGCCTACAGAGATAGCAGCTGAGCATCTTTGAAAGACATCAGGTGGAGAAGAAAGCTTCTGCTGGGAAAAAAAACACCTTTATTTTATGAACTAGCAATCTTTTAAGTTACAAACAAAAACATAACATTGGCCCTGTCCCATTGGCACACTGCATTAATTAAGCGCATGCGCATTTTTCTAAAAGTATGTGAAGTGTGTGGTTGCACAAGAAAAAAATAAAAGTGGCAATTGGGACAGTTTGTCTTGTTGTGAAAGCGATAAGATTAAAAAAAAAAAAAAAAAAAAAAAAAAAACAGCTGTTTGACATGTTGGTAAGTGAATCAAAATTTCATCATTACCAGTTCTGATCAGTGGCCACAAAATGTAAGCATAGTTTAATTTTGTTCACTGTTGTGGTTTTCAGTTTAACTATGAAGTGATTCTTTCCACTTCCACACACCAATTTTTGTGTAGAGTCAAATTTGAAAACAGAATTGTTAAAATCTAATAAACTATATTAGGCCGGTATCCAAAGTGGACACACAGCAGTTATGACAACGTGTGACATAGCGTATGCACACGGAAAATAGTAAAGTACTGCTGCTGTAAATTTATCCATAGTCTGTAATTATTTATTCAGCATCGAGGCAAACTAAATAATGAATTGTGTTGAATCATAAAATTTTACGTGGTATTATGTGGGTTATAGGCAACAGAAAAAGCTAAATATTGTTCACTTTTATAGGCCTACTACACCATAGTTTTTAAATTATAATGAATGTCAACAGTCATCACCCACCCACTGGTCCTAGAAGTGAAATTCTCATTATTTTTTCTCATAGACTTTCCTGAAAGTCTAGGGGAGAATGCATTCCTTGTTCGTACTTGTCCCTGTATTTTTGGTACAATTTTCAGTGTTGATAACATGAATTTTAGAACTAACCACTACTTCCTGTATTTTAGTACTTTTCTTCTCAACTTTTGTCCCCACAAAGTGCCACTTAAATTATGCAAAACTCTGATAAATATTTACCACAGCTGCTATCCCACCAAAACATATACTAATAATGAGCAGAAAAACATGAAAACATCATTTCAAATCTCAAACTTTTTTCACTCCTTTTCAGTTGGAGCGCCAAGCTGTACCTGACTCCTAGCAACAGTGTGCTTCTGACGGCCATCGCTTTGATCGGAGTGTGCGTGTTCATCCTGGGCATCATCGGTATCCTCCACTGGCAGGAGAAGGTCAGGACACACTCGGGCGTGCACATAATGGGCTGTTTAATGCTGCCCTCTTCCCGGCGATTTACGGCTGTAGTGTTTATATGAGGGAGGGAGAGAGATGGAGAGCAGGCTGGACACAAGGCACAGCAAGAGGACGGGAGTTCCAGCCCCTGTGTAGTCAAGTGTTCCGGCCCACTGTGGCGAGAGACGATTGGACCTTTTGTCTTACTTTAGCTTCACTGTGGACAGTTTTGTGCACATTTCCTGTTAAAGTGCATAGAAGAGGTCCATTTCAGTAACTTTTAATTGACAAGACTGACACAGGGCAAAAACACAGAAATATAATTAGTCACTCCTATTTTCACAATACACCAAGATGATAATCAGTTATAAAGAAATTAAAATTGCTAGTTTAGCTCATCTATTGCCAAGTTGAGCCTAGTAATTTATTAGAATTTTGTAAATATAACAAAACTACACAAGCACAGGGCAAAGCAAGAAAAGAACTGCATAAAACTGAAATGCTGATTTCTCATGTTTAGCCAAACTCTGGTCACAGGTAATAAATACATATTATGTCCTAATTTAATAGCACACTGTTTGAAAATCCATATGATACTGAACTAATGGCACAAAACATGCATCAACAAGACGAAGACAAAAATTCCAAATTCTTTTCAATGTCATGTAGATTCAAATGGTAAAAGTTGTAGATTAACTGTGTTATTATCACATTATTACTTTTTTCTATTTCAGTTCACAGACAAGTTGATTTAATGTGATTTAAGTATATTATAGAAACCAAATAAAAGATTCAGACAATTAAACATTAAAATTAGATTAGTATGACATTAATATAAAGTATAGGGTCGACGATCAATTGACTAACTGTCATATTTTGATTATCACAAACGTTATCTGGAATATAAAGACTCTAAAACAAATGCTAAAGACCTTTTTATTAAATCAAATTGTCAAAAAAAATTACAATTTCAGATATTTATCAATACACTTTACTCATCAATATTCTCTTGTTAATCAACACCTTTAAACTTGAATTTGGTCAGAAATGTCTTTTGAAAATCTAAATTTACAATAAAATTATAAGTTTAGTCAACAAATCAAAAAAATAATCGCTGACTCATCAACCACTGAAACATTCGGTAGTTGCAGCACTAAAGAAGGCAATGGGCCTATTGTGTAACAGCATGTCCAAAAACAAATGTAATGCTTCCATTCATCATTATGACCAAATGCAAAATCACTAACCTATCTCTAAAATATTTCAGTGAGAACATTTTATTAGGTTATTTGTTTTCTAGACCTAGTATTGTCTATGGGCTTTGCTGTCTGTTGCTGGCACCCTCATCCAGCCATCTGTGATTCAAGGGTGTGTGCTTAATCGGAGCTTGTGACAGAGGAGCGGGATGGCGTGTGCGCATGGTTTCACAAAACACCTCTAATTGCGCTCTTTTTTAGGAGGAAACATGGCTGTGCTTCTGAACTGACAGTGTGTTTGAAAATACATGCAAAACTAACAAGCGTGTCTATCTCTGGAGGAACAGGTGACTGGATGTGGGAGATAAAAATAGAAGTATAGGAAATTAATTCCTGTACTATATAGTGGCTATTTGGAAATCATCGAATTTATTGAGTGAAATTACCCTGAGCAATAGCTGGGTTTCAGAAGACATCACAGCGTTCTATTTGCTTTTAATAGAGATGAGGTCAGGTAAGAGTTCTTGGATCCCGAGGTCACTTCCAGGAAGTTGTGTAGTTTGCATGTTCTCCTTGTCTGTAGTTTTCCAAGTACTCCGGATACCCCCATCAATCTAAAACTTGCAGAATAGCTCAAGGTTGAATGTCTGTTTCTTTTAAAGAGACATATTTTGTTAAATTGACTTTTATGATTTTACCAATGTTATAACAGTGTTCCCTTTTTATTAGCTCTCTCAGAGTGCTATTTGGATTGATTCATGCTGTTTGAGTAATCCTGTTTTGTTTTGCATTTGATGCTTGAGTGCTCAGAAAATCTTCCGCCCACATCTCTGAACTTAGTTGTGATTATTTGAAAAATAAGATTTGAGTCATACACATGGGGGTTCAAATTGTGCGGTACCCATTCTTCAAGAATAAAGACATGTAAATAAAATCAAGTGCTTGTAAAATATAAAATGCCACTGTGAATGATCTTATCACATAAAAGGCCAAACTTCTCTGCTCTGCAGTTTTGAACATTATTTTAATAAGCCATTTAAAATCAATATTGTGGTTTACAATAAATAAAGTGTAAACTAGTGATTTACTTACGCTATAGTTTAAAGGAATTGTATGTAGCCTGCACACTTACAGTTTTAAAAAGGATCACAACTGAATTTGGATTGCCAGTGCTTTCACCAGCAAATAGAGGGAACATATAAGTTTTGTTTCTCATTCTCAATGCATGGATACTGCAGAAAGTGCAGCAGCAGCAGAGGCTGCACTGGCACTGATAAATGATTGTCTGTAGATGCTGGGGTTTAGTTGGTGAGGATCTTATTAGAGAGAGGCTTTTTACCCCTCTGGATTTCAGCACTGAAACAGGCTTTCCAAATGAAACACTCCTGTGAGGCTCATTGTGATTGGATCATCTTCTATTAATTATAATATAATAAATAACATGGCCATTTTGTCCTATGTTTTTGTAATTACAATATTTATCTGTAAAAGCTAGATTTGATTTGAACATGTCCTCCTCATATCTGGGGACGCACCTCTTTATAAAATGTAAAATAAAAATCTTAGAATTCTTTTAATACTAAGGCCCACAAAAGCACAATACGTCTTGGACAAATGTGATTGAATGTTGAGCAGCAGAGCTTGTGCCTTGATACAATAATAATGATTCCTATGTGTCCAGACGGGGTAATGCGCTGTAACCTTCTCCCGTGTCTGTGATTTCCAGTGGCATATTTACCGCTGCCTGACACTCTCCTTATGGATGATCCTCCTGTTACGGCGGGGCAGGTGCGCGGGTCAGGGCGAGCACACTGATTGACATTTGGCATTTCTCTGTGTTTGCTCTGTGGCTGCCTCTGGTATTTGCTGCTGTAATAATAAAAAGTCAAGTGGAAGGCTGAGGCGTGGGGCAAGGACGTTCTCTGCCTGCCCAACAAGGCTAACAGGGCTTTAATGTCAACCACCCTCCAATGACGTGAGATAATGATAACGAATAATACGCTCTCATGTCCCTATTATGGTGTAAAATGGAAATGAGACAGACATGTGATTGACAGCAAAATAGTAATAGTTTGGATTTCATTTTCTGAAATGATACTCTTCAGAGAGAGATCTGCCCCAAAGGAAGTTCCCACCTGGATTCAGCCTAAGTCACTCACCATCATTAAAGCTTTAAGATGGACACAAATCAATGCTCCACTGGTTGATCATTATTTAGGCCTAAGGATGACAATTCGGCGCTATCCCCTGGACACTCAATTAGGCCAAGTTTTACCAGAAGCACAGTCATGTCCATCAGTTATCCAGGGAAACTAAAAACATTACAATCTGCCTCTAAAAATATGTTGCACAAGTAAAAAAAAAAAAAAAGAAAATTGTGTCAATCAGTCAATCAACATGCATTGAAGATAGTACATAGAGTTTTATGGTTTCTATTTCAACCAAAAGCAGTGGTGTTAGGTAATGAAGTACAAAAGTAAAAGTACAATACATGAGTACAAATTGTAGGTATCTGTACTACGCTTATGTACATTTTACAGATACTTTTTTATTTTTACTTCACTACATTTGATAGCAGATATCTGTACTTTGTACTTCACTACATTTTAAATCTGGACTGAAAAGTAAAAAGTACTTGAGACTTCTTGAAATTTGTTTATTAAAACTGGCTTTTATTCTTTAGTACATTTAGTTTGAGGTAATGTCCCAACTTTGAGCGACACAATACACAAAAACACAAAAACAGATAGAAAAAGTCAATTGAATCACTTAAAATCTGGAAATTCTTTTTCAAAATCACTGCAAAATACTTTATTTTTTACTCTTTAAGTATGTTTTTAAACAGATACTTTTACTTTTTGCCCTTGTATCTGAACTTTACTTAAGTAACAAAATTGAGTACTTCATTCACCACTGACCAAAAGACTAAAAGAGCTGTAGCGCTTAAGTAGTTAGTCAATTAATTGATCGTTGAAGTCTTAGTCCAAAAAACAAATTCTCTATTAGTCTAGTAATTATTTTATTAGGATTAGAGGGATATTATTATGAGGATTCATTTGGACAACACTGAGTGCGTTTTTAGTGTGACTTGACAGATTAATCTGCTTTTTCACTGACGATGCCGTGTACTAGTACTGCTCTGTATACATAGTAGTTTTTACATGAGACTAATCAATCCACAGGGAATGTCTTTAGTAATATATTTATAATGGATTTCAAAATAAGAATTAACTGTGAATTGTGGTGTATATGAACTATTGTCATATACTGAAATTCACCTGATTTAATGGTTCTATATTAGACTAAATTGACTCCTGAGAGCTTTAAGCCATGTTATGTTTTGTTTTATTAACATAGGCGTTCTTCAAAACTGACAATGCTCTGTGTAGTGGGAGTTTTCAAGTTAACGGCTCCTTTTACCTTTAGTTCAGTAAAGATTGGCAATTCCAGGGTTGAAATCATCCAAATGATTCTAGTGAAGGTGTATTGAGTTTAAAAATACAGTGGAGCACTCCTTGTATTACCACATGACCTCATAAGGTGGCACAGAGTGTTTTCAGTTTGAGAGAAGATCTCATCGTTAAATACGTGTGAATGAAACAAAACTCCAGGTATGTTTTTGATGAGGAAACATAAATCAGAAAATAGCCTAATATGAAGAGATCTTTCAGTGTGCTTTATACTTACTATATAAGCCGGTACACTAGTATAGATTTGGTCTATTTTGACTATTCACCCATTCAATGAATTGAATTTGTTGTGTAATGTATTGACACACACATTTGTTGGTTTACATGCGTAGCTATAGCTCTGAGGACCCAAAATGACAATATATGTATCCTGCTGAGTTCAAATTCACGTTTATCCTGGATGTCTTTGCGCCGTCTTTGAACACCTTGTATTGCTTGAAACAGTAACAATGCAACACGAGTTGGTACAACACAGAAACCCCATATCAACATGTTTGAAATCTACGGGGGGCCGAGTCTGGGGTGCCACTTCTCCTGCGAAAGCTCATACCATAACTGCGAGTTTTCACACAGCATCCGCCGCCTGTTTTTAGAAATATTAGCTCAGAAATCCCAAAAGAATGCACCAATCCACCAAGTCTGCATTCAAAACAGAAATTACAAAATGGTGTCTAAGACTATTAAACTACAACTGTGATGAGCATTATTTACTGCTAAAATCCTGTTACATCAAGTAGAGTTGGGCAATATAGCTTCTACTACAAAATAGTTTGTTTGTAAGATATGCAAAATTTGAATATTTCAATTACTGTATAAAAGTTGCAAAAACATGAGATTATTAAATTAAAAGAAATTTACCATGTAATCATGCATAATGCGATGATGTGTGTTTACTTTCCATTTCTACCGTTGTCACAATATCAAAAAATACAAATGGAAAGACTTAATAAAAATTTTCATACCACAATATTAATAAAAAGTAATTAAAAACTAATTTTCAAAAATAAATAATAGTATTTTAAAATTACTAGGTGATCTTATACTAGCACTGATTTAGACCAAGACCATATAAATCATTACAATAATAATGCGTTGGATTTATATTGCACCATTCAGGACACCCAGAGAGCTGTACAGTGCATTATTCATTCACTCCACACTACTAATTTTATAGCCAGAGCTGCCCTGGGGTAAACTGACAGAAGCAAGGCTGTGAGTCTGCACCATCAAACCACTACCATCACTCACACACTCCACTTTCATACTAGGCAGTGTTTATTTTATTTATTTATTTATTTGATTGGGACAGAGCATGTAAATGGGCAAACATGACACACAATATGAATGTAAACACACCGGATTGTAGCCTAAAGATCATTCCCATCTGTTGTCCCAAAGGGCCGGGGTCACAGGGGCTAAACTATAAACTATTGCACACTCCATTCTACGGATGGGCATTCGATGAAATTTTCTTAATCGATCGTCGGAAGAATTAACGATCGATTATCGATTAATCATTAACGTTTTTATATTAAAATGATCATCATTATTATTACTATCTGCACTACTAATCTGCATAAATAAATTAAATTTTACAACATATAAACCGTAACCACTCTAGAGCCACATCAATCCGTTTGACATTATAATGTGTTTAATTCAGTTTAGCGCAACTCTCACAGAAACGAAACTTAAAACCACATCACAAATTTGCATAAACTCAGCGAAGATAAAACTGCAGCTCTTGTGCGGTCAATTTCTGTGGGATTAACAGACATGACTCAGTGGAATACAGGTTAGTGTGACCAGATTTGCGTTTGTCAAAATCAGGACACCGTACGGGGGGTAGGAGGTGGGGACTCTTCATCGACATTGCGCGACTCTCACCTGGTAAAGCTTTTTCCCACTGGACACCGAAACATATGTTCCTGCTTTGTACACTGTGCACATGGACTCACACTTGTCCCAAACGCAATGGAAAGCATGGAATTTCTTGTACAAATCATCGTTAAATACACATTTGTGCTTCGGTACGTTGCAGACTGACCGAATGTTTCTGTTTGCTCGCTCCTTCTGATGCAGAGAGACACATGTACGGACCCCTGTTTGGTCACGCTACGCACAGCAACCTACATTTGGTTTTTCGATTAAAATTAATGTAATCGATGAAATTCTTAATGATCAATTATCGATTAATCGATTAATCATGCCCATCCCTACTCCATTCATTGCACAGTAGGGCTGGGCATCATTAAGAAGTTGCCAATACGATACATACTTCAATACATAGACTATGATATGATACATATCTCAATACAGTGCACTTTCGGTTCAATAGGATATATTTCAAATCGATTCGATAGGGTTCATTAAAAAAAAAAAAAAAGGTTAAATGATGGCTGTGATATAAAAAATCTTTGTTGAACCACTTCTTGTGCAAAGTTAATATAAAATACATACATTTTAATCATCAAAAACAGTGAAAACATCAAATGTGTAACATAAATGAGTTTCCTTCCACTAAACAAGCAAAAAAACTGTAGCACTGTAACAAAATAATTTAGTAAAATAAACAAAAAAATACCCTTCACAAAATAGTGATACACCAGCCCACAATATCGATACTGTATCAACACATTAAACGATATGATATATCAATATTTCGATATTTTTGCACAGCCCTATTGCACAGTTCCCATTATTCCACACTCCACTCATTGCACAGTTCCCATTATTGCACACTTCCAGTTATTGCACAGTTCCCATTATTGCACACTTCCAGTTATTGCACAGTTCCCATTATTGCACACTCCACTCATTGTATAGTTCTAGTAATTTTTTTATTTGAGCTTTAAAAGAGCTGTACATAGGGCATTCTCTCCATGGGGAAGACTATTATGTGAGTGAGGTGTCTTGCCTAAGGATACAACAACAGCAAAAATCTCCCGAGTGAGAATCTGAATTTCGGGTTGGTGGTGGAGTGCTCTGACTACTGAAGCACTGTCGCCCCAATTTATTTTGTTTTGATAGTAGTTTTAGTATTAGGATATTGTAGTGGAACATAGCAAAGTAAAAATACTTTAGTATACATTTTAGGTATCTGTCCTTTACAAGTTCATTTTAAAATGGATACTTTTTACTTTTACTTTACTACATTTGAGAGCAAGTGTTTTTACTCCACTACATTTTTGAACAGGGCTGAAAAGTAAAAGTATTTTTATTATTGTGTGAGACTTGCTGAAAAGGTTGAGGGGTTTATTTTTAACATGTTCGCAGTTTCAGAAAACAAAATGTACAAATAAAAACAGCTAGGAAAAAAGGATCAATTCAATGTTTCTTCTGAACAAAATACGGCACAAATCTTTATCAAAATCACTACATTTGAGGCGTTCTAATAGTTCAAAATCTGGGCTGTATAGAAAAACTGAGAAGCATTTTGTCTTTTCTTCTAATTTTTCTTATTAACTTATTAGCATGGCTTTGTTACATATTCAAAGGTTAATTTCCGAGAAGCACAGTAAATACATGCTTATTGTACCCTGGTTGCTCAAAATGTGTTAATTGCAATACAAAGTTCATCATATTACATTTTAGCACATTTCTCCCCTAAGAGTTTTTGTATCATTTTAACCAATTAGCTTTTGTTACACCAGCCAAGCCCACACTGTTCATTTGGTTTTTCCAAGTCTATTTTAGTCCATTGTTCTTCGTTCCACTAATTGTCTTTCCTAACAGTGTTTGTTTTTGTGTGTGTTCAGAAAGCAGACGACCGGGAGAAGAGACAAGAAGCTCACCGATTTCACTTCGACGCCATGTGAAGAGATAAAGGGACATTTTGGACACATGATTTCACGCATCACCGTTCGTATTCACATTCTAGATCACATTTCAGCAGCCGAAAAATTGAGTCTCATTTGCCCCTAAAACGTTTTCTTTTTGAATATTTTCTGTCCTCCAGTCAGATGTTAAAAATGTATGCTCCGTGTTATTTATTCATTCCTGTGTTAGAAGTACAGGGTGGCTACAAGGCTACGCAAAAAGGAGAAATCTTCAAGAGAATCCATCTTGGCCCCTGATGTATTCATTTTTACCATTACAGTATCTTTTAATCATACGACAGATTTTGCTAAAAGGGGCACTATGTAACTTTTCTGGTGGAGGGTTCGCCTCCTGCTGGTCTCCATGGTGATCCTACTGTTTTTAAATATATCCAACTAGCACTTCAATTCAATTACAGGTTTTAATGGCTAAAAAATTGCTTGGAAAACATGCTTTCTTACTGTGAATATGGTTGTTTCTTCACAAAACTGACCTGCAAAATGCCATATTGCATAACATTCGAGGCTAAGCAATAACATCACCATGGAGACAAATATATTTCTGCCCCTCTACCTGAAAAGTTACACAGTGTGTCTTTAAGCTACCAGGAAATGTGTTTAGTTTACTGTCTTTTCACTGTACAAACTGCACCTTTTCTACTTGTTACTTGAAATCCGCTTTGGTTTTGTCAATTTGTCCTTGTCAAAAACCCTTCCTTTTTATTTCCGAATGGGATTTTTTTTTTTTTTTTTTTTTTTTTTTTTTTTTACTTTGCTCACTGCCATGCAACTTGTTCAAAGTTAACGAAACGCAGATGCACAAAGTTGCTGAAAAATGTCAGGCTACCAATCTCACTTATAATGATTAATCACCTCTCAGTCATCGGGCTTTGATTCTGTCTGTTGGACTGCAGTGCATGATGGGAGTGCCAAATACTTTTGAGTTGCGTCTTTTAAACCTCCAATTTGTGAAACTACTGAAACAGTCTAAAAATGTTTGTTTGAAAGAGGCTGCTCCAAAATGTTTTTTTTATTTACATTTTATATTTATTTATGCTTTTCTAAAATAAACGCAGCTACATTTATTGCAGTTGTTTGTTCTGCAAGAAGGAGCCTGTGCTTTTCTAAGGGGTTTGCACTTTTTAAACTAATGATTAACTGTGGGTGTGTGTAATTTATTTTGTTCAATGAAGTTGATTTAAAGTGAATGTTAAAATTACTAAATGTCTCTGTGTTGTCGCTGTGAATAAAGGTTTCTCCAGATTAAACAAATGTACCTTTTGCTTTTTGTGTCATTTTCTTGATTAAAGGTGCATTGTGTAACTTTTCTGGTAGAGGATCTGTCAGTGCTTTTTTCCATGGAGATGTTATTTCTTCACCTGGAATGTTTCACAATATGGCATTAAACCTTTCTATCTTCTTGGATCCCAAACCTGACTAAGTTACAGGTCAGATCTGTGGAGAGGTGACCCCACAGAATGCCTGTTTTTTTTTTTAAGGTATTTTTGAGCTATAAAACCGCCGGTAATTGAATAACTGTAAGGTAGAGCTGTTTAATGTCATATTGTGGAACATTCCAGCCAGAGCAATGATGTATCCAAAGAAACAAGAAGATAGTGGACCCCCAACCAAAGTACAATGTAACCAAGTTACATAGTGCACCTTGAACTATGCTTCTCAGAGATGTGCCTTGAGTACGCTCGGAGACGTTGAGAACATGACAATTGTAAATAATCATCTTTGTATGCCCCCAGAAACATTAACTGAAAAACAAAAGTGAATGAACTGGAAAATAAGGCTGATTTTAATTTGTGTGGAGACCCCTTGATGGTTTTTGAAGTTCTCAAAGGACGCCTTGTTTGGAAACCACATTTCATCCAAATTGCTTGAGTTCATTGCTCTTTGCACAAAACGTTTGGAGCGAGGCGATTCCAGAGATCCAGACCAAGCTTTGGGAGGTGGGTGGCAAGGTAATTTATTCTAAAGCGTTATAAAGAAAGCGAGTATTGTACCGGAAATGGGGTAGCTAAAACAATAAAAGTAACGTATCCGAGTCTTTCCTGTTGGCCTAATCGGAATCTATGAAGCGTATATTGGGTAATTACGCAATTACACGCCGTAAGACGATTGGGTGCTTTGCAGATTAAATTGTGTAACTCAAATACCTATTCCATTAGTATTTATAGACCGTATTTTGTATTTAGCAGGAAGTGAGGATAAATCTTTTTGTGACTTGACAGTAGTAGCGACAAGCACGTTGAAGTCAGAAGCGCAGCGCCCACGGCTTAAATGATTGTGTTGAAGAGCGTTTCTTCCAAACGCGCACTGAGAGCAGTCTGACTCTCCTCCTCCTCTCGCTAGTGCTTCTGCTCTCTCCTCCTCCTTCTTCATCCTTCTCTGTGGTCTCTGTCCTTCTTCATTTGTCATCCCTCACTTGGCGTCTTGGATACGTTCCTGTCTGGTGCGCGCGGGGATCAGCTCTTGTTCACATGTGATCCCGGTGTAGTCTCTCCAAAAGCTGTATTTACTTCGATGACGCCCGACTGGGAGGCTGGTGGTGCCGTTAGTGTTGCAGCCAGACGCAGCAGGAGCGCAGACTGAGGAGATTGGCACTGCGTAATGGATTTACTGTTCTCGGAACAAAGTTGGATTGTGTAAAGAATGACCCTGGGACATACAATGGCTGAGACGGGGAAGTGCTTTTAGAAAGGTGTATACGCTGGAATTAGACCGTAGAAGGAAATGCACAGAGGTGAGTCGTGTTTCTGGTGTTGGATCATCGATAGTGCGATGGGTGGTTCGCGTAAAATGCCTGTGCCATTTGGCACTTTAGTACTATTTCTGATGGAGAGGTCAAAAGAACACATTATGAGAACAAAATCTAAATGCTACCATTTGTTTGTGCCCTACATTTGGCAACACAATACCTCAGATTTCTGTCAGAAAAACAACATTTACGGGACGTTTCTAATACACGCTATTTGTAGAAAAAGGTGAACAAACTATTAAACGTGTTCAAGACAAACAAAATGATATTTTAGGGAGAGGCTGGATGTGTCTTGGGCAAATGACCCCGGCCACGAATCGAGTCAGGGAAATTCAGTTGATGTAACAATTGAACTGCAGGAAAACGCGAGATTTCTATCTCAATATTAATGTTTTTGGTGAAAAACATCCATAAGGAGACCGCGAGGCAACTGGGCTATTTGATTCTTTTGGCTCAAGTTCATAATACACAGACTGACATGTTAGTACCGCGAGTCCGGATCAGTAGGACACATACAGCGCATGCTGTTCTTTGTGGGTCCGTCCTGTGCGTGCAGTTGCCCCGGTGACTCCCGCTCCAGGCCGTCTAGCGCCATCAGCACCTGCGGCACGCGCCACAGCGCACGGCCGCAGTCATGAGTTCAGTGGAGCGGACACGGGCTGCTGCATGGACACTTCATTACACCGTGTTTAAAGACTCTGATTCCAGTAAATTCTATGTTTTAACGAGATTTAATCTCTATGTAGTGTAAAAATGTGGTGATGATGTGAGTTTTTTCTTCACGTTTTACCATCAGTAGGAAAAGTCATTATCAGAAAATAAGAATTGGTCATCTCTTAGAAGTCATCATGAGACACTGGCTTCGTTTAAACCTACTGTACTTTATCAATCTTTGCAAATTGGGTTAAGAGACATGACCGAGGGTTCATTGAGTACATGAAATAAATAATCATTCTCCTAACCACAATTAGTTGTAACTTCTACAGGCCCACACTTTGCACAATAAGCAAAGACCCTACAATACTGACACTATAAAAAGAACATCCCAGTCTGTGCTGTTTACAAGTTAGTAATATTTCCATTTGCCTGATATTGGCATGACTGATTCCAGCGGTCTGTTCTGCTGAATCCTTAATATGAACAACTCTTTGTGTGGCCTGTCTGCTCTGAGCATGTCTGCTCGTGGCGCTCATAGGCTTACAATGGCACATCATAAAGATAATTGCGCCCCGGGGGTTACTCCATGCCATGCCCATGTGTTGTATCTCCTTCCAATGCTCTTGCTCATTTTGGCGATGTTGTGGAAGTGCCTGCGTATTGACTATTGGCCCCCCACCCACTCATCTCTCTCTTCCTCCCTCTCTCTCTCTCTCTCTCTCTCTCTCTCTCTCCTTCACTCCTTCACTCCTGTATGCCATTATGCAACGTGCCAGTCCTTCTCCCTCTCAGAATAACCTATTATGAACTCTGTGGGGATCGGGTCGAGTGCGGCTTATCAGGGCAAAGACGGTGTCAGGGGGAAGTGTAACATGTGTGCCCTCTTTACAGAAATCATTATAATGCAGCTCGTTTCACCTTTTGTCTACAGCCATGCTCTGCCCATATGTCTTCTCATCAATGCTGTGTGCCCCACAGTCTCTAATCCCATTTATTCTCATAATACTTTATGTTTCTTACTCTTGTGGGAGCGGGATTATTGTTGGAATATAGCACTGATTTAAATTCTCCAAACTTTATCAATGGCTCATACCATGAACATGAACTTTCACAGGCAACTATCTTGAAAACACTTTATGATAACTACAGCTATAGTTAGTCATTTCAAAAGACTTAAATCATAATGACCTAATTTGGAATGATTCAAGATAATTACTTAAACCTAAACCCTAACTCTTTAATTAAGTTACTACTAAACTATTCTTAACCATTGATTTGTTAATTAAGTCATTCTTCATGGTTTATTAAAGCTTATTCAGGTGTAGTTATTGCAAACTGTAGCCACTGTTTATGTCGGAGGCCCTACCTGATGCCCTCCTCTCCATTTACATGGGTTTGGGACTGTTACACTGCCTTCTAATCCTTCCATTATGAATTATTATTAAAGTGATTATTGACTCATAATCATAATTTAGCAATGACAGCTTTTGAATAATAGCTCCAGCTTGGTTCATTCATTTAACTGTCAGTATCTTTGAGCAGTGTTATATCAATCTCAAGTAGCCAGCACTACACTAGAATAGTTATAATATTGTAACTGTTCAGACTGCCATTTTTCATTACGCCCTGTATGATTTTAAGCCATCTAATGTGAGTATTGATTTGTGCTTTTTGTGGACAAAATCAATGCTATTATGTATGTAATTACCGGTTGTGAATAGAATCTTCTGTGAACTGTTGTGAGGGGCTATGGACGACTTAAACGCAGTCAGAGCTAACGCCTTTTCCTCTCTTTTTCAGCGTGGATACTCTTCATTCTCATTGAAGAGGGTTTAGCTCTTGCACAGAGGACTAAAGGTAAGCTGTGGTTCACTGGGCTCGCAAAAACGTCTCCAAATCAAAATTTCAATCGAGATAGACCATCTTTCTCTGGTAGTAATGTTCCACATAAAGTAAGCTCTCTGTTCTTGCTTTTCAGACCCGCCAAGTGAACATGGAGGCCAGCCCTCAAACCAGAAAGAGTGTGGCACGTGGGTCCGCAATATCAACGGAGGCGTGTTCACCTCCCCAAACTACCCCAACACCTACCCCCCCAACAAGGAGTGCGTCTACATCCTGGAGGGTAGGTCAGCTCTGTCTCTGCGCACTGGCTCCTGTCTCTTTCACTCAGTGTCATTATACTCAAATTGGTATTCAGCACGCTTTAAGCTATTTGTGTGGAAAAAAATCTGCCATTTATTGTGAGTATGTTGTTCATAAATTCAGTAATGGTATATGACAGCGGTGATGGGATAAAACAGCAGATGGGAGGACGGTTTTCTGTGTGGATTCTACTATATTGTGTCAATCAAATCAGCATTTTTATAAGATATTTTAAAGGTGGAGGGTCGGCTACATTTTTGCCTTCATTAAGTTATTGTTATTATATTATGTTCTGTTATTTCTTCATCAGTAATATTCCACAGTATGACATTAAACTTATCTATCTTATCTATATTTATTCAACTGTAGGTGTTTCATTGCTCAAACTACATTAAAAACCAAACACTGTGAATGGTGTCACCTTTCCGTAGCTCTAACCTGTAACTTGGCTTTGTGGGGTTCCAGCTCGTCTCTGTGAAGACAAAAGATTAATACCGTACTATGGGACATTCTAGGCAAAGTAATAAAATTGATATGGAAACAATCAGTAGACCCTCCTCCAGAAAAAAAACCACAGTGAACCTTTAATGTCTCAGTAGAAAGAAAATCCACTGTGCATTTGACCCATTCTTTAAAACCACTGGGTCAGGAGCAGACTATAGTTAGCAAGTATAGTTTAGCACCCAGTGACCCAGATCTTGGTCAGGAGCACCTATACCTGGTACTATACCTATATCTATATCAGCCTATTATGCATGTTTTAGGTAAATAAATCAATAAAACTGATCATTTATACCAGTGATTAGGTCCATGGTCCCACTACAATGCATCAAATATTAGAGAACACAACAATTACTACTATTGAAATAATCACACATGTATTTTAACAGTAATAATAGTCATCTGAATCTGCATACCAAAAGTACTTTTATGATGACACATTCCATCAAAACATATAAAAGTACTATACTATTTCTTATTTTCACCAATAATACACTTTCTTTGTAGATATTCTATGTCTAAAAACATTGTGTCAGCAGATTTCAATCTTTATTTGGTTAAAAATGTGTAATAGATAATCACTGACTAGTGATAAATCAAAAATAATATATTGCTAACTATTTAACTACTAAAATATTTGATAGTTGCAGCCTTATTACACACTTTAAACTAACTTTCCATCTCTAATAACCACCATAATTTTGTAAATGTAAATTTTCTGCAATATATGACTATTTTTAAGAACCACATACATTTTAACCACAGTATTTCTTTGTTAAATCACTACAAAGTTAATAGAGAATAAACCAGTAACCATTAAAACAATGGCAAACTATGTCAAAAGTACTGCACGAAAAAGTTTCCTTTCTCTGAACACATCTCAAAATTATGGTAGTAGTAGTATGGTCACAAAATAATCAAAACCAAAAATACTCATATCGATAGAGCAGCCCATGATAACTATACTATATCACCAAATACTGTATCACAAAAAATATTTGAGCACACCTCTAATTGTAATGCCATGTGAAATGTAAGTGTGGCAATACAGGCTATTGAGAATCCTGCTACTCCCGTGCCCCGGCTGGTCTTTGCAGTATCCCCACGCTCCCTGGCAATGAATGAGCTGAACATCTGCTAAACAGCTGAGCTATGGAGACATGTCACTGAAATCACTGCCATTTACCAGAAGCACCACATCCGTCAGTAATTCGGTGGCCTGCTGGATGGGCTGCATAATGGGACGAATCATTAGCGTATATAGAAGATGAGCTCCAGGATTGCACTGTTCATCATATATAGATCAACTGTTTTCCCCATCAAGTCAAATGCTTTTATAAAATCACAAATGCAAATAGGAAATGTCTGCTGCTGCTGTTGCTGCTGCTGTGCTCTCAGCCTTGTACAAAGTTTACATGCAGCTCAAGGGCTCCCCCTGTGGACAAAACCAGGTCAGGTCGACTGCTGGTGAGTTGCTGCTGCTCTCCAGTGCAACATAGTGGCTGTAGGGAGCTCAAACCTGTTATTTGCTTGTATTAGTCATGAAAGGGCACAGTAATATTCATAGCCAGTCTTTTGTCCTGCTTTTCACACAATGGGAGTTACGCATTTTTGGCATTAAGCGCTCATCAGATAGCTTTGTCTTCATAATTTGCGGTTTCTGGGGCTCATTGATTGCGCTGCGTCCCACAGTTCATCAGCTCAATAGATAAAGTGATTAAACTTTGTGCTCGTTCTATAGCTGCAGTGTGTGTGTGCATCTTTATGATATGTGCAGTGTGTTTTGCACCTCTGTGATATGTGCAGTGTGTGTGCATTTTTATGATATGTGCAGTGTGTGTGCACCTCTGTGATATGTGCAGTTGTGTGTAAGACCATGGCACAGACAAAGAGCCTGTGAGCCTGCACTCAAATGACTGGAATGGCAGATAGAATGCTGCTCATTCAGGCAGAATGAGTGCAAAGATGACAGCATAGTTAAGAGAAAAGCACAAGCAGTTCCATGATGAGTTTATTCAAATGATGTATATTACAGATTTTCACACTTGAGTTTTGCTGCATGTCTGTTTGCAAACATAGAGAGACTGTTGGAAAAATAGAGCTCTGGTTTGTGAAATGCACTAAAGTACACTGTACAAATGAACAAGGCCAGTGCTGTTAAAGGTGCACTACTGTATGTAACTATGCTGAAGGGTCTGACACCAGCTTGTCTACGTGGAGATGACAAGAATGTTCCACAGTAAGGCATTAAACATATATATCTCCATTGGGACAAGCAGGTGGCACGACTAGGCCAAGTTGCAGGTCAGATCTCAGGAGAAGCGAGCCCTCTCACAATAACAATGCATTGTATGTATGTTTTTTTGAGCAATAAAAACACATGAAAAAGTGCAAAGCACATACGTTTAATGCCATGCTGGGCAAGCAATGCAAGGCAAATCATTGCATCTTTATGAAGACCAGCAGGTCGCGTTTCCCACCCGAAAAATTACATAATGCATCTTCAAAATGACTGCTCATAAACATTTCCCGCAATGTTATTTTTAATGGGCTACTAAGGTTTTGACTCTCTGTGAATTACAGATAACTCCTATACATTTTTCCATCTCATTTACAAAAGCACCTGGCTGCCAGTACATTCTTTGCTCTAGGCATTGCATACTGCCATTGTGTCCCTTGGCAATAAACTCATTTTTCAAATGTATGAATGAGACTGAGTGGTTGACTGTGGTTAGTGTGGTTCAGTGTGGGCCTGCAGAGGCTCTTTACTGCCGCATGTTTGTAGAGTGAATGAATAATGGAGAAGTGCTACATAACCAATGCATGGTTGTTATAAAATGCATACTTTGGTAGTCATTAAAGAATGTCATTTTATCATTTGTTTACATGGGATAAAATCATTTAAAACTGCTTGGTGTAACTATCAAAATAAGAAATTAATTTCTAAAGAAGGCTTATTCTTAACTATGCAATGTGTCTACCCCAGTTCAGCAGTTCTTATTGACATGCGCTTTAATTGTCAGACTCTGTTGGTAATTGCTTTTACAGAGTTTCCACTCCACACAGCATGCTTGGTTTTCATTTTTGACTGAACAGTTCCACAAAAGACAGATTTAATTTGTTCATTTCTTCTTTCTTGCTGTTTTCCTTTGCATCAAACAGCTCTCCCCAGACAAAGGATCCAGCTGGTTTTCGACAAGAACTACTACATAGAGCCATCTTTTGAGTGCCGCTTTGACCACATCGAAGTGCGGGATGGTCCGTTTGGTTTCTCCCCTCTCATCGACCGCTTCTGTGGAGGAAAGAACCCAGGCATGGTCCTGTCCACAGGCAGGTTCATGTGGATCAAGTTCAGTAGTGATGAAGAGTTAGAGGGCCTTGGGTTCCGCATCAAGTACACCTTTGTAGCAGGTAAAGATCCTTCACTGAATACTAATGCTCCTCATTTAAGAGCACTTCAAAGGATACATCTAGAGCTGCTTTTATAGGAATCTAATTAAATCCCCCTAAAAGCAAAGTAGAGAAGCAAAAAATTAGACCCACGTAAGAAGAGTGCCAAAACTTTACTACTTCAAAGTAAAATAAAAAGTATGCAAATAAATATTCAAATTAGAATAGTATTTATTGAATATACAACTTTTCACATTGCACTTGTTGTTTAGCTGATGTGTCTCTCACTTCGTGTTGTTTCTATCATGCCCTTAAGGCAGTGCACCACAAGATGCAATTTGATACAACTTTATATTTATTTGAATTTGAATTGAATTTATTTTATGAAAAACTGTCTGAGATATAATTATTTCATAAATTATTTCAAAATCCTGAATTGTATGTGTAAGACATTTCAAACTTGCACATATGACACACAAAACTGATAAATAAGTAAATCTACAGTTAAAAGTGGGGATTGGATCTTATTTAAAATTTGAGTAGTTAGTCAGTTTTGAAGAATGTGGAAAACAAACATTTCAGACAGTTCTTTTGAATTGTAATCCTTATTTAATTGCAATTACTATCTGTAAACTGTCAGGGTGCTTTGCCTAGAATCTTTCACATTATGGTACAGAAAGGGACAGTTTGAAGTTTTGCACATAGGGCCTCATTTCCTATTTATCCAGAGTGTTGGAGACATGTGGAGACACTTTTTAAATATTCCAGCCAGTTCTTGTATTTGCAGAGGTCGCTGGTGCTAGGCTAGTGCATGTCAATGGCCATAGTTATCCTGCCACTAAAAACAGTCTTACCCACTCCACAAATCACCCAAGGCAAAACAATTATTACACCAGACTGTCAATATGACTGTCTGTGTCGACAGAATAATTTTAGAAGTAAAACCAACCTTGCATTTGAAGGATTTATTTCTGAGCAGCAGTGAGTTGTACTTCCTGATGGAAAGCTTGTCAGTGATGGACTGATATATGAGAAAGTAGTCCCTCAACATGCAACGATTCATGCAATGCAAGGTTAGTTTTATTTAAAACATTATTCTATCAACACAGACATTTACATCAATAGTCTGGTGTATTAATAGGTTTGCTTCGGTGCTTTGTGGAGTGGGTAAGACTGTTTTTAGTGGCAGGCTAACTCTAGCCATTGACATGCGCTAGCCTAGCACCAGCGACCTCTGCAAATACAAGGACTGGACACACATCTCCAACACTCTGGCTCACTAGGAAATGAGACCCTATGTCCACTTACTTGTCTATATAGTTGGTATTGATGTTCTGGTTTGTTGGGGCTCTTGGTCTTTGGCTTCTGCACAAACCTCAATGCTATGATGATTGTTCACCCTTCACCTGTCGGACCCTATCACACATGCAAGAACATGCTGAGATGGATTCTCATGAGTTTGTGAACTCACAAATATCGCAAGAATCCATCTTGCTGTGCAGGGTTAACAGCCCCTCCACTCACTGTAAGAACAGTATTTTTGACAACTAGAAACACCTGTAATTTAAGACATTCAATGCAACTTTAATGCAATTTTGGGACATTCTAGCCAAAACAATATCATCTCCATGGTTCCTGTCCCTCCATCATTAAAGTTACATAATACACCTTTAAAGGGCCCTTATTACACTATTTCTGTACTGAACTAAAGGTATCTCTTAACTTGAATGCTACCACTTCATGACATCACAAGGTGGAACAGAGCATTTTGAGCTTTGGAGATGTAGACAGCCTAATAATAGACCAAGATTACTCAAACATGTGTGAATAAAACAAAACACAACACCAGGTATATGTTTGATGAGGTAACAACATTATAGCATGGTTTAAAGCTCACAAGATTCTATTTTGTGTCATTTAGGACCTTAAATAAACATATGGCTTTTGTCAATTTTGAAATGACTCACAAGAGTAACCAACACTTTCACTCCAGCAAGATGAAAAACTAAATTGTACAATTCCTTCAAAAAGTAAATGTAACTATTTAGCGCCCATTTTCATTTTGCTCTTTTGCGGCATCCAGTTTTGCTTTGTAGTATTTGATCAGCGGACATCACACACTGAATATGAACTCAAAACGCCTCTAGATGTGACTCTCCCATCAGGCGACATATATTAGCTTCAAACAGGGCCCTTTCTGCTTTATCTTGCCGGTGCCTTAATGGGATCTTATCTAGTGTTCTCTGCATACCTATTTCTGCCGCCTGGATTGAGGCTAATGTGCTTCCCCAATCTTATCATTGCAGACCCCGATTTCCATCTGCACGTGGGCGGACTGCTGAACCCCATCCCAGGTAAGCTGCACACGGCTTGGCTAGTGCTGGAGTGCTTTTTCTGCCTCTGCTCATAGCTTTCCGGGGGCTGTCTGTGTGCCCCTCATGTGAATGCTCAGTGCACAAATACACCTTGACAAGCTCTTGTTTGGGCGTAAGGGAAAGGGATTTGCACATACAAGACAAGAAACAATGCAATGCCCTTTTATCTGTTTATCTCGGTTACTGTTTGCTTTTTTGCCTGTCTGCTTATTGTCCCTCATTTGAATTGAATGTGCCTGAATACTATTTTAAATGCAACACACATTGCACTTGTCGTTTAGCTGACGTCTCTCTCTCTTCTTGTTGTTTCCGTCATGCCCTTAAAGCAATGCACCACAAGTTGCAATTTGATACAACTTTATATAGATGAATGTGAATTTATTGTGTCGTTTATTGTCTCAGGAGATAGAATTATTTCATAAATTATTTCAAAATCCTCAGCTGTATATGTAAAACGTTTTAAGCTCGTACACATGTCACTCAAAACTGATAAATTAGTAAATCCACAGATAAAAGTGGGGATTGGATCTTGTTTAGAACTTGAGTAATTAGTTAGTTTTGAAAAATGTTGAAAAAAGACATTTCAGATAATTTTTTTGGATTGTAATTCTCATTAACTCACAATCACTGGTATGGTATTAAATTTGTCTATCTCCATGAAAACCTGATGATCTAACCAAGCCAAGTTACGTGTCAGATCTATGGAGAGGTGACCACACTCAAAGCAAGTGTGCATGTTTTCAAGGCTGTTTATTCCAGGCAAAGTTATAACATCTCCATCTATGTGAACACAGAGAGTGAGAAAATTTTGGGAAAACTGTCTTTGAAGTTCTATGAATGTAAGTTGTAGATGGAAGTAATAAAACATCTTTCTGCACATTTATGTTATGAGAGAAAACTGGTATCTCTTGTAGTATCTTATCTTAACTCTCTCCTTCTCTCCCATGTGTGCAGACTGCCAGTTTGAGATCGGAGGCTCTGACGGTGTTATCCGCTCCAGTCAGGTGGATGAGGAGGAGAAAGTAAAGGCTGGAGAAGCCCTCGACTGTATCTGGACCATCAGGGCTCCTCCGCAGTCCAAGGTCAGTGCACCAGGGACCTGCTATACACTCAACACACATGGAATAGAGCTTAGATAAAGTTTTATTTTTTATCTTTCATCTTATATTTGATTAGATTGAAACACATTTTAGTGACTCTGTTTTGGAGTCTGCTACCCCCTTATCCCTAAAATGTTCTACAATATGACATTAAAGCAGATCTATTATGCAAAATCAACTTTTTAGGGCTTTTAACCATGTTATAGTTGTTCCCCCTCATCATTTACTCACCCAAAGTTTCATTTGGAATGATTTATTTCTGTTTGAGCAATTTGTAATTGCTTATTTTCAAGATGCCATTTTGCCAATCAATCCCTGTGTTCACCACCACCAACATATGCCCATTGCTCTTTTTACTTCATTCTCCAATTTTATTTTCTTAATTGGTGATATGCATAGGATTTGGCAACAGCACATTTTGATACAAAATGTAAAAAATGTTTTTAAAATCTGTGGCTCACTAGTGTGATCTGCAGCTATCCACTGGACTTGCTGGCAACGTCAGCTCAAATTGGACACTGCATTTTTCACCATTTAAAATTTGCAAATTATAACATAATGTAATAAACTATAGCTATATAGCAGGCACAAGGTCTTCTTTAGACTTTTCTATTTTGCATTTATTCAGATGTTTGATTTGCTAAAAAAAAAACAGCAAAAAATATACTTTCTTACTGTGAGCTGCAGAGTCACGTCTGCCACCTGTTTCTATGATGATAGATATGTTTAATATGATACTGTGAAACATTTAGGCCCAGAAAAGCAAGAAAAGCAGATTGTGACAAAGAGGGCCTTTGTCCCCATTTTTCACCTTAGTTCAGTTACATCATCTATATCAACTAAACAGCTAAATAATAACTATCCCGGGTTTGTTTTATTTAGTCTTTGTTTAATTGATCACATTCACACAGTTACTTTAAATTCATTTTATTTGGTTATATCCCTTCATTTTTGTTTAAACTTACCACCTTACCTGTGACTCCACATGGTCTGGGAACAAAAGAGGGGGCGTGTCCTTTGGCAGCCATATTTATAGGCTCACGGGGAGGTGTTGGCCCAGACCATGTGGAGGGAAGCCTCGGAAATGGTTCTCTTTGTTTTATCAAATGGGTTATTAGAATTTTGGTTTCAGTGTTATCTAGTTAAGTTGGAGCACTGTTCAGTTTAAAAGGGGGATTAGGCTTCAGAAAATAATTTAAGGTAGCACACCAGTAAGGAAAGGAAATTGTTACAGTTTTCCCTGTAAGTTGGTGTGAACCCAGGGGGAGGGACTTCCTCTCTGGGGGGTATATAAGTAGAGGCAGTTTAATCAGTAGGGAGGTCACCATCAGTGCAGCCAGGTGCCTGTGGGTATTTTCTTTTGTTGCGTTATTTTCTGTTGCTTTTGTTTAGTTAAGCACAGTTCTTTTTTGTAAATATGTGTATTATTTTGCCCACGACTTGGAAGGATCCAATAAAGAATTTGGTTTGGTGAAGGACAACTTTGCACTGGACTCTCATTTTGACCACTTGGGCCAGCTTCCCCACACAGATTCTAAACCATAAGTTACATATTGCATCTTTATGGCATTGATTGTTTCTGGCAAGTACATAGTACACAGTAATTTACCCATTTCAATTCATTTTTCAGTTTTCCAATTACATATAATATTGTTCCATTGGTCCATATCATAGTTGAAGTTAATACTAGTAAATATTTAGTAATTATGTTTCTAAATTATAGAATTTTCTATCCACTACTGCAAGAATTTCTCATTCTATTCAAAGAAACAAACCTTTGTATTCTTTCTGAAGATGTTTATATTTATATAAATACAGTTGACTCGCCTCTTATGTTGTTTTTTAATTTTCTAATGTGTGTGGAGTTGGTCTGAAATCTGGCATTCTGGACTGCATGAACAGCCTTGATCTGCTGTGCTTTGCTTCCCCCACAAGACAAAATGAGTCATCAGCTGTAGCCTATTCTGGGATGTTTGTAACACACACAGAAACTGCAAATCTTTAGTCGTATACTGTCTAAAATAAATGATGTATTTCTAATCCATTCTAAACATACCAGGAGGTGTGTTTTGTTTCATTCACACATGTTTGAGTAAATATTTATTATAGTGTGTGTACATCTCCAAAGCTTAGAATGCTCTGCTCCAGCTTGTGATGTCATGAAGAGGTAATTTTCAAGTTTACAGCTACCTTTTACCTTTAGTTCAGTAGAGACTGTCAATTCTAGGGCTGAAATGATCCGAGTGATTCTAGTGAAGATGTTTAAGAGAAAATCTCAGTTTAAATATGTGGGGTTTGTGTGTTAAACATGTGTGAAACAAAATGCAACTCCAGTTATGTTTCTGATGAGGAAACAACATATTACATAGATCAGAAAATAGTGTAAAATGGTCACTTTAAGTCTGCGTAGTACATCACATTATCAGACTGATTTATCTTAATTAATGCATATGCCTTACTATGCAGAGGGGACAGGATTTTTCACAGTCATAATTGCATTTGCATTTATTGCATAGTTGCATTTATTTTGGTAATACATTTTTATACCTCTAAAAGATGACCTGAAACACCATTCATTTTCAGTTTACTCTCAAATGTTAATGCACTTCCATATGTCCAAACCATTTTGAAAAGACACGTGTGAAGGCAGCCTAAAATTCTATATCAAGACAGAAGCTGCCATTAACCAATTAAACTCACACCAAATCGTACTTTCTTGTGTTTAATGTCATCTGTATGACCTGTACATCCACACCACTGCTCCTGTGGCATTCTCTTGTTGCAAACAGAGAAATGAAGCAGAGGTGAAAGAGCAGAGTGGCCATGGGCAGGATGTGGTATTTCACTGACTTTTAGGAAGCCTATTTCAGGAAGGAGGAGGAATCAATCATTTTGTTGAAATTGAGATCTCACTCTCATCTTTATCCCTTAGGCCTTTTCCATGGCTTTTAACTCAAAAAGAAAAATGAAGTGGTTTATTTTACCAGTCATGTTAGAATGTTTAAAAGGTTTCCTTTAAGTTCATGCTATTGGTGTATTCCAATGTTTCTTTCCACTCGTTCACCTCTCTCCCGGTCTGTTAATAACTAAAACTGTTGTCTCTGTGTTGTCACAAATTCATATGGGAGGGATTTTGTCTCTTTCATTGTTTGGTATTATGTCTTAATAATAGAAAAAGGGCAGAAATATTAAGAGTAACCTTGTAGGTAGGGAGTGTGATAAAATGCATGTGGCGACAGCATTTGATTGTGGTTTTGGCTCTGCAGATCTACCTACGCTTCTTGGAGTACCAGATGGAGCACTCTAATGAGTGCAAGAAAAACTTTGTGGCAGTTTATGATGGGAGCAGTGCCATCGAGAATCTCAAGGCCAAATTCTGCAGCACTGTGGCCAACGACGTCATGTTGGAGAACGGAGTGGGAGTGGTGCGAATGTGGACTGATGAGAAGAGCCGGCTCAGCCGCTTCCGCATGCTCTTCACCTCCTTTGTGGACCGTGAGTCAAGCTCCATTTTCTTTCATCTTTCTCACATCTCTGCTGTGTAAGCCTGTGTCACTGTGCACAGTGTTGGGAAGGTTACTTTTAAAATGTAATCCCCTACAGATTACAGATTACACACCCCAAAATGTAGTTTGTAACGTAATCCATTAAATTACTTAAAGGTTGTATAGAGGATTTTCCAAGGAACGAGAAATCCAGCGACTGTTTGTCCTTTTTCAAATGTTGCGCAAGCGGACTCTTTCTTTGCCTTGAAAATTACGTTTTCAGACATAGGATATCGCTTTCGTGTCCTGAAAAACGTTTGTCTAGCTCTTGGAAATAAAGTACGTTTTCATAATAAGCAGAAGTGACCTGTCCAGGAGTAATTTGTGGACCAGTGCGTCAGTCTTTAGACCCTGCGTCTGCTTCAGTTGCGCCATCGCTGGAATGAATCTTCAAGAATCACCTTAGTTTGGCTTCGCTGCTTTTCCCCTTGTCTTCTTCTTTCAGCGACCTCAAAAACGGACTTTCTTTTGCGGCTAACTGCTCCTGGATTCTTGTCGCCATTGCAACAAACTTTGTGCGAACTGCGAGGAAGATATAGGTCAAAAAAAGCCGCTAAGAACTGTTGCGTTGGTGGAGTAAACAGCGTCTGTGCGTCTTGCGTCTGTGGACTGCGTGACAGGTGTACGTAAACCACGTACCGGCGGCGCGCAGGCAAGTCAGTTACACTAGAAACGTAGGGAGATTGATTGACAGCCTGTCAGCTAACAGATAACGAGGCAGTGTCGTTATCTATTGGCAAATGTTTAGCTAGCCCCACCACGTCCAGAGTTGATGAATTTTTATTCTCTTTTTTTTGGTCATCATAATTACAAGGCTACTGCATCTCTATAATGCTATCATTGACAACTTGAAACAAAAAAAATAAAAATAAAAATCCTCCATACAACCTTTAAAGTGAGTAACGTAATCTGATTACATTGGATTACTTGATATTGTCATGTTTTTTTAAACGACATGAATGTAGCAACCACATTCTGAAAATTCTTGTTTGTTGTCTTCAAATTGTCTGAGCCCAAGTCTCCATGAATAAGCAACTGTTTGCTGTAGAGAAACAAAGACCACAATATCGTAATATAAGAGGTTTTGTCTGTTAAAAGACAGTAACAAGATCAGTCTTTCCTTCACCAGATTAAAAAATATTATTGATAGAGAAATAATTTTTTATATGACATCACCTTTAATTATGTCAACCTACTGTTAGGTGTCATGTTGTTTAGACCTGGTTTAGTCCTGGTTTAGTCGTGGTTTAGTCCTGATTTTTAGACCTGGTTTACTCCTGATTTTAGACCTGGTCTAGACCAGGTCTTTAGTTCTGGTTTAGTCGTGGTTTAGTCCTAGTTTAAACCTGGTTCAGTCCTGCTTTAGTCCTGGTTTAGTCCTGGATTAGTCCTGGTTTAGTCCTGGGTTAGTCCTGGTTTAGTCCTGGTTTAGTCCTGGTGTTAGTTCTGGTTTAGAGGCGCACAGGAGGAAGCGCGGTTTACGCGAGAAAACACGAGACGGCGGTGTCCGCGCTGTAACTACGGAAGGAGACGTGGTCCGCGGGTTCTCAGGTTGATGACGATGATGAAGGTGTTTGTGTGTGTTTGTGTGTGTTTGTGTGTGTTTGTGTGTGTTTGTGTTTGTGTGTGTTTGTGTGTGTGTCCCTCATGTGGCAGGTCACTATAGGACAGTAGTGCAGATATTATGAGTCTATGCAGGTTGTTTTCACCAGTGCCAGTAGCTCCTGTTTCACATTTAAGTTGTAGGCGATTTTATATTTGTTTGTTTTTTTTATATATATATCTCACATCGGGAGAAGAATTTCCAAGACACAAATGCGTTTTTACCAATGCACTGCTGCTTCCACTGTGTGACTGACACCGCCAACTTTAACATGACGTTTACGTCGCTCTTATTGCGCTCGTTCTGTTTGGGTTTCCGGCAATGAGTGGAATTACCGAAATAAAAAAATAAATAAATGGGATGTAGCACAAAATGTGAAAACAGGAAAATACCGCCTTGTAATCCACTTATTTCAGCAAAGTAACTGTAATCCAATTACCACTCATTGAAACAGTAACTGTAACGGAATACAGTTACTCATAATTTGTACTCTGCTTGTACGTAACGGCGGTACATGTAATCCGTTACTCCCCAACACTGACTGTGCAGCGCTATCATTGTCTGAATAAATCATACCACACACAACTTTTTACATTTAACTCACTACGACAAACTTTTCATCATGACATTAATGCCAACCTGCTCTGCAGTCTGCTGCATTCAGCATGGAGAGCTTATCTCTTTGGAACTAAAACATATTTTATTTATGAAACAAATTCATCATTACAGTTTTTATTTACAATGGGAAGGGAGCAGAAACATGTCAGGCACACAATACTGCGAAAAATAAATAAATAAAAAACAAAAAACAATGTTTCTAATGGTGTTCTATGCTGCTGGTGGTATTTTGGCTCAGTCCCATCTGAGCTCTTATTCATGCTGATCACCCACTTTATCTCCCGAGCGTCTGTTAAAAAACTTAGTTTGTTCAAACTTTGCTGCAGACTGAAGGTTAAAATGAAGAGATTAGTCACTGTCACTCTTCAGTAACACTTGAGCACAAAGATTCACTGCAGCGAAGACTTGGCTCCTGATCTATGTTCTAAGACTGAGTTATACATTAAACATATTTGTGCTGATATCCTTCTGTAATAAGAGCCCATAGAAAATCAGGCATAAACCTGAACACCAGAGGGGCAGGCCAGAGTGTGTCTGAGCTGTAACAAAGGCTGTCAGGCCAACAGGTGTCTCCTGCAGGAGAGGACACACTGAGCAAGAGGACAAATGAGGCTAAACTAGGAGAAACCTTTTTAAGCAACAAAATAAACTTGTTTTAACACATTAAACAGTAAATAGTAAACCAACTGAACATCCAAATCCACAAGAAGTATGAAAATTGTTGTAGTTTTGACTGGCCGTCCATGCACCACTAATTCAGCCTCTGCACTCTTTCAATCCATTTATATTTTCCACAACATTACCTTACCCGCTAGTCCAGAGAGCTCTCCTCCAGCTCTGCCCCTTTTCCACAGTGCATCGATCTCTGAAGCGTAGCAGCCAACATCTATTACAGGCCGTGTCCGTCATGGCCATCATAGCTCACACGCACACACACACACACAGCAGCTCCAATAAGAACGTCTCCCGGCACCTGGCTGACCATCTGCACCTCATAAATGCCCCATACACCGCCCTGTAGCTTCTGTCTTCATCACAACACTAAACCATTTGACAAGATGGTCACACCTCAGTGAAATCACCATATTTGCTTTACCATACCTCCCAAATATCTATTACCATATAAATGATGTTGCATATACTGTATAAGTTTTTTCACTGTTCAGTATTTTAGGTCTTCACCATATGTTGCAAACTACAGAAAATCAGGATCTAATCACTAGTAAAAGTAGTACTAAAACTATTTAATCATTTGAGCAAGTATCGATACTAAAACCGTCACATTCACATGACAGAGATCAACCATTCTTGAATAGCTTTAGAATAATTTTGAGCTGTATCAGAACAAATATCGACCACATAGATTAGTATTAATATCTGGATGATTGAAGGATTACATCAATATAATAGAAACATGGTAATAATAGAAAGTACAAGGATTTAATGCTGAAAATCACATTCTGTTGTCTAAATAAAGAGTTTTAGTTATTATCATTGTGGTATTGGAATTAGTATTGAATATCCAGTCTACTCTTTAATATTGAAATTGAGTTTGAAATTTTAATACCGTGACAACACTACATTATATTGCAATAATGCCATTCTGCAGTTTTAAAAGTAAACGGTAGCCATTAACTTGAAAAAACACAAATGGAAATGTAGACAGGCTATTCAAACATGTGTGAATGAAAGAAAACACAGCATTATAACATGGCTTAAAGATCACAAGAGTCAATTTCGAGTAATATACAATCTTTAACATATAATTTAACGTTGTCAACATTGTCACAATTATTAGGCTACAGTTATCAGCTATCACTCTATCCTAATTCTGTTCTAAACCTCAAATATATTTATTAATTTTTAAGTGTTTCTCTTTGTTGTATTATTTTTCATCTTACAACCCTCTCTCCTCTCTGCACGATTCTGTAAATATCTTTTTTCTCTAAATCCTATTATCTCTTTTCCCTCCAGCCCCGTGTTCAGCGAATACATTCTTCTGTCACAGCAACATGTGCATTAACAACTCCCTGGTGTGCAATGGCGTTCAAAACTGCGTCTACCCCTGGGATGAAAACCACTGCAAAGGTGAGACTAACGCATCTTCCCCCCCATCCAATCATCTTTTATTGGTGCTGTGATTTGTTTATGATGTGTTCTCTACATTATGTTATTCATGTATGTGTCTTGTGTCCAGAAAAGCGTTCACGGGGGCTCTTCCATCAAATCACCAAGACCCATGGGACTGTCATTGGGATCTCATCAGGCGTGGTTCTGGTTCTGCTTATCATCTCCATCTTTGTCCAGATGAAACAGCCTAGAAAGAAGGTATTCCTCTTTTGTAACAGACATTTTATTTACGAGAAAAGCAGTGAGAAGAATGGCCAAGATTACTGATGAGGTGGAGCTGCGCCACTGGGGCTGGAATGAAAGCCAGAGAAAAGTTGGGAAGATAGACAGAACGAGATGGCTGGCATATGAAATACATAAGAAACTTTTTACTGCTTTTTTACTACTCTGACAGCTTCATGTTAAGCTCTAACTGTCAGCTGTATTTATGTGTTTATAATGAAATCCTATTTCGAATTCCTTTCTTTGAAGGTGGTGGCTCGCCGACCTGGTGTTTTCAACAAGGCTGGTTTACAGGAGGTGTTTGACCCTCCTCATTATGAGCTGTTTTCTCTTCGGGACAAAGAGATCTCCTCAGACTTGGCCGACCTCTCAGAGGATCTGGAGAACTTCCACAAACTGCGGCGCTCCTCCACCATGTCCCGCTGTGTGCACGAGCACCACTGTGGCTCCCAAGGCTCTGTCACCACTGGGGGAGGCAGCATGAAGCACAGCCGCACCACCCTCAGCTCCATGGAGCTCTCCTATCATAATGACTTCTCCAAGCCACCACCCATGAAAACCTTCAACTCCACATCCAGCTACAAGAAGAGCTGCTACGGCTACAAGCAGCACTCACAGACTCATGACTGTGACCAGCAGGTGATCGAGGACCGCGTTACTGAGGAGATCCCCTGTGAGATTTATGGCCGCGGCACTGGCAGTGTGGGAGGAGCCAGCGGAGGGGGCACTCTGGGAGGACCATCAGGGCTAGCAGGAGGGGGCATGGGAGGGCCCGTGGGCATAGCAGGGGGTATGACTATGCCTGGAGGCATGGGCATAGCTGGAGGAGTGATGGCAGGGCCCAGTGGCATTGCTGGAGGCATTGGGGGCATGGCAGGAGCCTGTGGAACCCTGAGTGTGCGTGGAAACAGCGCCCGCAACAGCACCACCATAGTGGATCCACAACAGCGCTCTATGTCCATGGACTTTTAAAGAAGGATAGAGACACATCCAATGTTTACTTCTGTTCTCAACTCTGTGTGTGGGGATAACTTCTGGGCCTAATACTGAGATGATCTGTTGAGAGACATGAGTATGGTCATTTAAAGGATTTAAAGAGACTTGTTTTGTTGCTCATTTATTCAGCCCCTCACAGAGGGATCTGACTTTTCAGAGGACTGTCAAACACACACAAACTTCCTAGACTCAATTTTACATTTAATCCCCTGCCATGCACAGATATATGCTATAATATCTAGTTTGTCTTCTAATTTATTTAAGTTTTTATTTGTGTCAGATGTGTCTTGTACCTTTACTACCAGTAAAAAAGCCAGCTCACGATGTTAGGCGAAATTGTATTAATCTTTTTCATATGTCCTTATGATAATTTAACACCAGTATACAGTATATGGTGGCAGTAAAGATTTGAATACATACAGGAAAAGCTGCTTGTACTCATATGAATAGAACCGTGAAGGCGTTTCTCATTCATTCATTTCAAAATACACACAGAAGATGTATTTTGGCCAGTTTTAGGAGACACTCAAAAGAACTGTACTATTTTAGGAAGCCGAATGACAGAAAAATATATATTTTTGCTCTGGGAGCCAAATTGTTTATGGGCATTTTATTATAGCATTGAGTGACCATTTCTAACTAAAATGATTTAGGTGTGAGACATGATCTAAATAAAACTAGTCAAATAAAATTCCCAGACCTCATCTTTATTTAGTTTGTATGACAAACTGTGTAAAACAAGCACAACTGTCTCACCAATGAGACACATGTAGTGTATGTGAATTTATTTATGTTATAACAGCTGGTTGTATAATTCCATTCTGTTTAATTAAAAGACAAAAGTATCCACTTTTAATGCTTTTCTTCACTGATTACTTTCCATGACCAGATAAAGGAAGTAACGCTATTGCCTATTCACCTTATTCCGGAACTTGCCATGGGTGCCACCATCGTCATTGGGGTTGTACTATTTCACACTTGGCAAATCTCACAGTAAATAATCTATATGGACAAAAAGCCACTTTCCCCTGAGAATCAGTTGTGTTGATTTGTTTGTGCACATGAACATTGAACATTTTACAAAAATCAGCCTCATACGTTAGCAGCAATGGTTTTCTCAAATTCTCATTTGAAGTGAATGCGATTCATGCTTAACTGGAGCCACCACAAAGAAAGCACGGTTTAGTCATATTTACGGCAAAAGTGGGTGGGGCAGAATAAGGTCATTAGCAGAACAGGAAAAACCAGATCATATCTGAGAGTTTCAAAGACAAGATGGACAACTCTTCAGCAGAAGTGGGTTGAGCAGCTAAAAATTGTACTCAAGTCAGAATACAGATACATCAAAACAGTGTTACTCATGTAAGTACAACATAGTGGTCCAAGAAATTACACAAGTTAATACTCAAGTTTGTGAACTCATGGTGATTGTAAGATTGTAAGTAAAATATTATTATTATTTTTTTACCTGTAAGTTTTGGTTTAAACAATGATATTTCATAAAATAATCCCTTTACCATTGAGGTATTGTTAGGTGTTTGCCTTGGCTCTAGATACACACTTCTCCAGCACTTCATACAGATGTGATATCTCTGTATTTTATAGGCCTATATTTCTGGATATGCATCATTCTGAACTTAATTTAAAGGCCCTATATTACACAAAAATGACACTTGTGAGCTTTTAGTCATGTTATAATGTTGTTAATTCATCAAAAACATACCTGGAGTTGTGTTTTGTGTCATTCACACGTGCTTCAGTAATCCTGAATTATTTGTCTGTCTGCATTTCCAAAGATCAAAATGCTCTGTTCCACCTTGTAATATCATGAAGCAGAAGTTTTCAAGTTAACAGATACGTTCCTATAGTTTGGGTAGAAGGAAGGTAGGTAGAAGAAATCATCCAAGTGATGAGGCTGTGTGAATGAAAATAAAGACAAATCCAGGTATGTTTGTGATGAGGAAACAACATTATGGCAGATCAGAAAATAACATAACTCATTAATTGCTTTAAATAAATGTTTTACCATTTTGAGATGATCAGACTTCGGAGATCTTCTTCAATGAAAAATGTGTTATTTGGTATTTAGATATATTTATTATTTTATTTCATTGGTCTTTTCATTGGTCATTTTTGCTATGATTTCAATGCTTAAGATAAAGTAAATCATATCTTGAGACAAAAAAGTGTGCTATGTTGATTCCAGGAAGGTTGAAAAAGACTATGAAAAGAAAGGGTGACCAGATTTTCAAAATAAAAAAACGGGGGTGGTTGGTAATAATAAAATTGTGAAACGAGTGCGTAAATAAGGAAATTTCTTCTGCGCTCGGCACTAATGTGAGTCAGTATAGTAATATTTTCTTTGTGTTTTGATCATTTTTAAGCAACTTTCTATATTTTACCCTAAACAAATAAGAATTTGTGCCTCTCTTTACTGTTCAGATTGCATCAGTACTCTTTGTATCAGATTAGTCAAAAATAGGGACACCTGGGAAATTTTTTGTATAAAACTGGGACAAAACACTGGTTTTGGATAAATCTGCTGGGACAGGGGACAGAGGGCTCAAAATAGGGACTGTCCCGGGTGAATAGGGACGTCTGGTCAGCCTATGAAAAGAAGATAATCTACCCGAGACAGAAGTGTACTGTCATACCCCAGTTGATCCACGCGGTGGCGGTGGCGCGCAGGGTGAAGCGGAACAGGGTGGTCCGCAGAGCACGGGTGAAACGCCGGCTCCTTCTCTTTGTCCATTCACCTCCCGCTGAACAACATCCACAGCAGCTCCATGGCCAATCCCGTCGATACGAAACTCTACGACCTCCTTGGAGTGTCCCCATCAGCTACCGAAAATGAACTCAAGAAGGTAAGCCACCCAAGTAAACATCGGGTTAGTTTTTTTGGCGTTTTGTCGCTAACGTGCTACAATCAGGAAATGAGCTGGTGTGCGTAGGCAGCTAATGCTAGGTGTGAGGAGCCGAGCTAACCGGTAAAACCATGGCTCAAACAGCCGCGATCTCGTTGAGAATGAAAGGGATTTGAACTTTTCTTTGAATGAAATGACACGTAAACTACCCCAAGAATAATAAGTTAAATAGATAACTACACATCACTCGCCTCTAGTGTGAAAATGTCTCCCAAATGAACGACCTCGCGTTTGCTGGTGATGTTACGTTGCCATGAAACGCGAGGTGAAGTAACCACTAAAGCTAAGTCTATCGCTGACTTATTTTAACTGATTTCATTTTAACGTTTTTTATTCTCATCAACGACAATGAAATGAAGATTGGTTAGTTTCACTGGCGTTGGCTTTTCATAACGTCAAATGAAATCGCATTAAATATGTGGTATCTGGCCCACAGTATGCGTCTTGGAGAGGTTTGCTAGCACCTGAGCTCAAACTTAAGAAGGGATGTAGTTTTTAATATCGTTAACGAGTTATTATCTTAACTTAGATGACCTGCGCGATGCCTCATTATTTAATGGTTACTATTAATTATATTTAATTTATATACAAGTCATCCTGATGTACCAATTTTCTCCCCGTAGCTCAAGCCTCAGTCTTTCTCAGTTAAAAATGTGTATGTAGATTGCTGAATTGTGAGTAACATGACTTTGTTTATCTCTGTTTTATCTCTGTAGATACTTTTTTATCAGCTGAACAGTCTTTGCGTTAAAATACAGTAGTGGCTAATGTTAGCGTTAGCTGTTTATGCTTATCTAGCGAGACGTTTCGACAGGCAATGATTAGTGTTAGCTTATTTATTACTTTGACGAGATGACTTGATTTTATTACAATATGTTACGTTTTTTCCCGTCACGTTAAACTGTGTGTAGGATGTGTGTTGTGTAGTGTTTTGCCGGTGGGTTCTGTTTCTGGTTTGGGCACGTGTGGTTGCGTAAGGACCGAAGGGGCCGCTGTGGGGAATGTTCATTATCTTGTTTGTTAACATTGTCATAGGCTAAACGCACTGTGCTTCTCTTCTTGCAGGCATACCGAAAACTGGCAAAGGAGTATCACCCTGACAAAAACCCAAATGCTGGTGACAAGGTAAAAAATATGTATTGTTTATTAAATGTTTTTTGTATGCAGTATGTGAATGTAAACATATTTGTAATAACATTTAATTCAAATGGCCATGTTTCACCTTACTAATCAGTTAACTCGGTTCTATCAAGGTAAAAGATGAAGATGTCCATAATGTGATTTAGTTCCATTCACTTTCATCTAACCCAAGTGTTATACTATTCTGACTAATGTAAACATTCTAGTGTGATACACTTTTGATCTGACCATTTCATTTTGCTATGTTTTACTTTAGTTCAAAGAAATCAGCTTTGCCTATGAGGTCTTAACAAACCCTGAAAAGAGAGACCTTTACGACCGCTATGGGGAGCAGGGTCTGCGGGAAGGAGGAGGAGGTGGTCCTGGGATGGATGACATCTTCTCCCACATTTTTGGTGGTGGGCTTTTTGGCCATCCCTTCATGGGAGGCCATAGCCGCAGCCGTAACGGTGGCCGTCGGAGAGGGGAGGATATGGTTCACCCACTTAAGTATGACATTCTCATGCCCAAGATTATTCTTAGAATATTTGAAATATAGTGCTTTAATCTTGACTCCTTTTACAGAGTGTCACTGGAGGACCTCTACAATGGGAAAACAACCAAATTACAGCTTAGCAAGAATGTACTATGTAGCTCTTGTAATGGGTGAGTTTTTGTTATGATGTTGTAGGTATTATATAAAATTTGCAACACCTTTTAATTTGAGTTTGTGTTTAGGCAAGGGGGTAAGACGGGTGCTGTCCAAAAATGTTCAACGTGTAGGGGGCGTGGTATGCGTGTTATGATTCGGCAACTGGCACCAGGGATGGTCCAACAGATGCAGTCTGTGTGTACTGACTGTAATGGCGAAGGTAAGCATAATGACTGACATCAGGTTTCCCAAAGTTGATTTCCTCGTACTAGATGGAACATGTGTCACACTCTAATGTTCAGGTGAAGTCATCAGTGAGAAGGATCGCTGTAAAAAGTGTGAGGGCAAGAAGGTTGTGAAGGAGGTGAAGATTCTGGAGGTCCATGTGGACAAGGGCATGAAGCATGGGCAGAAAATAACATTTGGAGGTGAAGCTGACCAGGCACCAGGAGTTGAGCCTGGGGATATAGTTCTGGTGCTGCAGGAAAAGGAGCACGAGGTATGTGGCTAATAAGCTGAATCATTTGACCTTTGTATTGTGAAATCAGAAGTAGCTGAAATGCCCTTCTATTGTCTATCATGGGCATAAACTTCAGTCAGTCCTTTTATTGACAGTTGATTGTGATCAATTGGCATTATTTATTTAACATTTTTTGTATTAATATTTTGTTGTAATTGTTTTATCCAGACTTTTAAGAGAGAGGGCAATGACTTGTCTATGAACTATAAACTTGGCCTTGTGGAGGCGCTGTGCGGCTTCCAATTCATGTTGAAACATTTAGATGGAAGACAGATAGTTGTGAAGTATCCCGCTGGCAAAGTCATTGAACCTGGTAAGCTTGTTTACATGTTTGGTAAGTAGTTGTTTGTCAACAAAACATACTAAAATGTCAACTCTCCTGTCATGTTCCAGGCTCAGTAAGAGTAGTACGAGGAGAAGGTATGCCACAGTATCGCAACCCCTTTGAAAAGGGAGATCTGTATATCAAGTTTGAAGTTCAGTTCCCCAGCAACAACTGGATAAGCCCAGAGAAACTTCAGGTTTGTCACACTACCGCATTGCTCTTAATGTAGATTGCTGTAACTTCTAAATCATGATTTAATGTTATTGCAGGAGTTGGAGGACATGCTCCCATCAAGGCCAGAGCCTCCCATCATCACTGGAGACACAGAAGAGGTAGACCTGGAGGACTATGATGCCAGTCAGAGCTCATCGTCATCCCGCAGAGAGGCTTATAATGACAGCTCTGATGAAGAGGGTGGCCCTCATGGCCATGGGGTACAGTGTGCCCACCAGTAGGCCCAGTCACAACCCACCCACTTTTCATCATGTATTAAGTAAGCAAGGTGGATCGTCAAAGGGCACCAGGTTCCTCAGACTCATGTCAGACATTCTCTTGGCACCTGGTGTGTCCATGTCACTCGTGTTTGTGTAGGTTTGATCTTTGTCTGAGGAAAACTCAGTGGAGCATCTGTTGGACTCTTTCTGAAAACTGCACTCTAAACACATTAGACACTAGTTTGGGTGTAGACCTATATACATATTTAAATTAAATTGCTTCATTGAATTCTGGATGTTGATAGATCCCTCACTTTTTATTTTAAATGAAAATTAGTTGAAGAAAGAAGCCTGTTTGCTAAGTGTGTGGTTTGCATATTGTTTTCATAGTATTTTCAATAATTAATTTAAGTAACCAATGTATATACACAAAAACATGCAGCGGAGCACTCGGGCCACACAAAGATAACCATAACATTTCAACATATTAACCTTTTTCAATCACAAAGACTGTAACAATAAGTAGTTATTAGTAATATTAGTTTTGACTAATCTTTTTGTCCTTGATTTGTTGTGGCAATATTTAACTTTATTCATATAGTTAAATTTGCTCTCATTTTAATTTACCCTTTAGTGTATAATGTTATTTAGTTGTCTTTGTGTGGCCCTAGCCTAAACTTCAAAAAAACAATGTGAAGTACATTCTGGACATATTCAAGCTGCACCACTTAAGATGTTTCTGATTTTTACTGCTTCATTTTCTTTATACATTTTTACTTGTTTCACATTTCTTTTATATTTTAATTGAACCATAAATTGTTATGTGTATATCAAAGCCTATTAATACTTAAATCAGCTGTTGTATTTAAAGCTGTGTAAATTGAGAGAAGAGAAATAAAAGTGAAATAAATAATTGCTTGTATCTGCTGAGACCATCTGCGTGTAAAAGCTTGGTCCCTGCTGATGTTCATTATCAAAAAAGAACACCTCTTACAAATCTGTATGAAACTGGTGAATTCAATAAACCATGAAAATATTGTAAGAAGCATTTATTATAATAAGATGATTGGTAGTTTTTAGATTCTATAATGTGACTGTCATATTCCCAGATAGGAGGCAAGAGCAATTTTTCTTATAACACTGAAATATCCTAAAGGCAAATTCATAAATGTTGAACCTGATAATTTCCATTATTGACTGGACCTAAAAACTTGCAAAAATAGAACTGTCCCCATTTGTATCAAATGATGTGTTGGCATCATTACAACATTCAGGCACATGATTTTCATTTGACAGAACAGAAATACAACCATGGTTCTATTAAAATAACAAGGAGCTTTAGTAACTTGAAAGAGCTTCATCATGTAAGACATTATAGCAAATGCCTATCTCTCAACAAGAAAACTGCTATCATACATTCAGTGGTGTGGTGATTGAATCAGGGGACCTTTGAGGTAAAAAACAAAAAAAACTAACTCATAGCCTGCCCCTGACAATGAAAAGTAAAATATTCAGCTTTTTACCTGGATGGCCTATACAAAATAAGGAACTTCAAAAAAAGCCTTTTGACGTACACAGAATTATTTTCTTTTTTCCATCCTCTTCTTAAAACGTTTCATTGACCGATTTGGTGCATATTATAAAATTTACTGTACGCGTCGTCATCAGTGGCGCCGTGGCTTAGTTGGTTAAAGCGCCTGTCTAGTAAACAGGAGATCCTGGGTTCGAATCCCAGCGGTGCCTTTTGTACTGTCCGGTTTATTGATGCAGGCAATAACACTCACCGTGAGCGCATACATTCAGTTATTTGTTATAATTTTTAATTTAAAGTGCATGGTTGATTTTGACCTGCCCAGAAAACAAATATGACATGGCCTAGAGCCTTTGTAATGCACAACTATAACCACGTGGTGGCAGTCCAGTGTAAAAATGATCATGGGAACAGCAAAAGGTGCTGTGCAGGTTTATATTAATCAGTAAAAACAAAGTAAATAAATACAAATTAAATAAACAAAAACGGGCATCACTGTGAGTTTGTAATTGCAATTTACATGCTTGGATAAATACAATTCAGAATATGAAGAAAAGATCAGCGCATGGATCAGCGCAGCACAAACGGAAGAAACAAAAGTAGGTTTGTAAAATAAGACTCATCTAAATGATTTTTTTTCTACCCGCTTCTTCACTTTTGCAAACTGTATATAACCAACGTTGAATCCTGGTATATAGGCTATAGAAGCTGCTTCTAAATAACCTATTATCATCCTGAGAATTGTTTCACACACTGGACAGAAATAAACATAGCACAATAGCCCCCAGATCCAGCTTTTATTATGAAGGCGAGCCCCGCATATTGCCGCTAGCTTACTGTAAGGAAAACGAGCTACCGCTGCAAGAAACAATGGTTTTTCGTAAAAGCGTATCCTCCGTTCTTCGCTGTATGGATGGACGAAAAAAGACATAGATGCCAGCTCTTTTGTGGCTACCCATGTGGAGCAAACAGAACCGAGCCAGATAATAGCCGCCAAGTCCCCGGCGGACAATGGGACTTTTGAAGGCGCTTCTCGGACTGCTGTGGTTCCGCTCCGCTCTGATCTATGCAGGTGAGCTTGGACAACAACCACAATGCTGAGATTTAACCACCGTGTACCATGTCCGTGTGTGTGCTAGTGCAATTCACTTATTAAACCGATATTTTCAGCGGATAAATTCTCTATTATCCATAATTTCTTTCTTTGTAAGGGTATGATGCTGGAGGAGAGAGCTTTAACACTAAACCTCACACCCTAGCAGTGCGACTTATTTACCTGCTCGTTTCTTGTGTGTCCTGTTAATAACAAGGCGATACAGCGGAACAGGGCCATCTTTTTTAGCGTCATTAGTTGCACTGAAAAGATGAAGCGATCAGAGCACCATTGAAACCAGCGGAGCTATCGATCTGTGGTGGCTAAACGATCAGGGTTAGTGTGGAAACATGGATGCTCTTTCACAAATGTGGTGCTATCAGCATTACATCACTGCTTCACTGCAGTCAGACAGCCCTCTCTCTCTCGGTACCCCCATACCCAAAAAATACATGCTCTGGTTCATATTTTACCCACTAGAGAAACAGTACAGAGAAACTGTAGTAAACATTAAAACATAATTTTCCAAGCGATATTTATTGACATTGAGAAGATCTAGGTGGTAGTATGTGGGAAGGTTAATAAATTGGACATAAACAGAAAGTAGCCTTCACTGTGTGTGTATTTATTTATTTACAGAATTCATCATAAAACTTGTGTGATGGAATTACATTTGACACTCATGGCTTTTCAAAAAATGCCTGGTTTTAGTGCAGCTGCAAAAGATGTAGACCTGTCCTCAAACCTGCCTTAATGCACACTGCTGCTTGTGTTGCTTAAATCAATACCCATCACAGCCTTGGAATGCTTTCTTCCGCTGCCCCCAAACTTCCACTCACCTCTAATTTACCTTATATCTTATGCACAAACAATGGCAAGGTAATATTTAAATTTTTGTTGGGGTATCTACCTTCCACTTTGTTTCTTGTTTTCCCAATCTCCATCTCATTCTGTGTGTTGTTCCCTTGAGCAATGTTGTGATGTAGTTGCCCCGGTTGCCAATGTAACTGCTGCCAACTATACCCCCATGGGATCTGCTCTCAACTAAGGGCCAATTCTGAGGACACTGGGCTTTTAGACTAAACTATAAATCATTTGTCAGTGGTTTTATGAGTCATGAATAATGTTTATACGTGGTTTTTTTTCAGCTGGCTGCAGTGAGCGAGTAGAGGTCCACACCGAGCGGAGGGGGGTCATTTACAGTCCGTCATGGCCTTTAAACTACCCCTCTGGAGTCAATTGCAGCTGGCACATCCAGGGAGGTCAGGGCGAGGTCATCACCATCAGGTAACTGTACGCTGAAAGCATGCTGCATTGTGGCAGTATTTGTTTCCTGATTCTAACTTTCTAATGTTGTTTGTGTGTAGTTTTCGTAACTTTGACCTGGCTGAGTCTGAGCGGTGTTCAGGTGACTGGCTGGCACTGACTCCAACATGGGAAGGAGAATCAAGGCTTTGTGGTGCTGTGCTGCCTCCACCATTCATCTCCACCAGGGGGCGTGTTTGGGTCTCCTTTCACTCTCAGGCAAACAGCTCAGGGCAATCCCAAGGCTTCCGGCTCTCCTATATCAGAGGTACTTTATCATTATGATGACTATGTTTAAAAGTATGAAATGTAAAAGCAGAATCATCTGAATTGCATGCTATTTCTTAATTGTTTTGTTTTTCCTCACCTAAAGGTCGCCTTGGCCAGAGCAGCTGCCAGTCGGATGAGTTCCTGTGTGGGAATGGGAAGTGTCTTCCTCGGTCGTGGAGGTGTAATGGTCAGGATGAATGTGGAGATGCTACAGATGAGCGCAGCTGCACCCCTCCTCCTACACAATCCCAGTTTGGACTTTGCCCTTTTAACTCTGTTCCATGCACTCAAGCCCAGTCCACACGCTGCCTACCAGCATCTGTGCGCTGCAATGGTTTTCCAAACTGCCCGGATGGCACAGATGAGCGGGGCTGTCCTGACACTACATGTGGTAAACGTCTGGGGAACTTCTATGGCACTTTTGCCTCTCCAGACTTTTTTCGTCCCAACAGAAGCACAGCGGCAGAGCTGAGGTGCTCGTGGCTCTTGGACACTCAGGACCCCAAACCCATAGTGCTGCAGCTGGATCTGCAGCTGGGCCCAGGGGACTCCCTGCATGTGTACGACGGGCTGTTACAGCGCGCAGAGCACCTCCTGCAGGTGCTGTCCTATCACAACAACAGACGGCCCGCTCTGTTGGAGTCCAGCCGTGGACAGATGAGTGTCATGTACCTGGCACAGCCACACAGCCCTGGACACGGGTTCAACGCAACGTACCAGGTGCACCTCTGTTCTTAGGTACCAGAGCCACCAGAGCCACATACTACATATATGTCATTGTGTAAAATAACATAATTTCAAAACTAAATAATACTGCATTTGCGTTGTCTACTTAACCTCTCTACCACAACAATCCTAACATTTCAAGTGTATATGAACCACTCAATTTCATTAAATTCAGTAAACATTCATCCTCATGAAGTAATGTTTTTGTGCTTCTGGTGACTTTGGCTTATTTTCATGTTAGGCACGACCTAATATTGACTTTCCCTGTCTCCATTCTGAAGGTCAAAGGCTATTGCTTCCCAGGGGAACGCCCCTGTGGTAGTGATCAGGGTTGCTACTCAGAGCGTCAGCGCTGTGATGGCTACTGGCACTGCCCATCAGGACGTGACGAAGAAGGCTGCCCCATCTGCCCTGCGGGGGAGTTTCCCTGTGAGGGCAACAGCGGGGTGTGTTACCCAGCCACTGAACGGTGCAACAACCAGAAGCGCTGTCCAGATGGCTCAGATGAAAAGAACTGCTATGAGTGCCAACCAGGAAACTTCCACTGTGGAACAAACCTGTGCATCTTTGAGACGTGGCGCTGTGATGGTCAGGAGGACTGCTTAGACGGCAGTGACGAGAGGGACTGCATGGCTGCTGTGCCCAGAAAAGTGATCACAGCGGCCCTCATCGGGAGCCTGGTCTGCAGCCTCCTGCTTGTCATTGCTCTGGGCTGTGCGCTCAAGCTGCACTCACTTAGGAACAGAGAGTACAGGTTGGTCCACCTCACCATTTCTTTGTTTTTCATAATTTTTCATGTTCTAGGTAATTCCATTTTAAAGTTTTAAAGTCCTGTATATGTAAATGTGAGTGAAAAAGGGTCCTGTCCTTGTTTTATTCTTTGCACTTTAGGTCATTTGAAACTCAGATGACACGAATGGAGGCAGAGTTTGTTCAGAGAGAGGCTCCTCCCTCTTATGGGCAGCTGATTGCTCAAGGCCTCATCCCTCCAGTTGATGATTTTCCAGTGTATAATCCCTCTCAGGTAAAACTGTTTCTGTTCAAAGTTTTTTAATGTTAAATTATTCCAGTATTAAACGGAGGACCAGGTACAGCTTGGCCTTTTCAAATTTGCGTATTTTTCTGTGGATTAGTTTAAACCGGCTGTGCCCTGTTCTCTCACAGGTGGCACTAGTGGGTGGTTTGCATTTGTTCAGTAGACATGCCAACAGATTATGTACAGTACAAAAGCTGCACAAATATGACAATACAGGCCTGTAGATGTAACTGGCAAAATTATACTTATACAGTCTATAATCACACTATTTACGGACTGCAAATCATTCACATGATAGTGTGAACTCTGTTGCAGAAGTTCAGACTCCAACAAGCCTTGAACGTGTGAATATTTTTTCTTACTTTCCTTACCTTTATGTAGATTTTGCTATAATTGTATTTTCTTTCCTCTGCTGTAGGCATCTGTGCTGCAGAATCTGCGGTTAGCTATGCGGCGGCAGATGAGACGCCACTCCTCGCGCCGCTCGTCTTCTTCCACATCCCGGCGGCGTCTGGGACACCTGTGGACTCGTATCAGAGGCCACGCCCCTCTGCTGGACTCCCCTGGACCCCCCCAGATAACACTAGGGCTGCACAGCTATAGGACTGCATCTGACCCCCGTGTCCCAACTGGATTTGGTGATGAGACGGCTGTGATGTCACACTCCTGTTGCCATGACGACCTCAACCTCCAGCCCTGTATGTCTGAAAGCCCACTGTCGTCTCTGTCCCCACAGTCCCAGACAGTGGACAGTCCAGGCGAGGAAGTGTTCAGAAGCAGGGGTACACATTCTGAGCCCCCCACCCCGGGATATAGTGAGCCCTCAGCCCTCTGTGGCCCTGTCCTCACCCCACAGGAACCTACCGCACCCCCACACCCGCGGGTCTCCAGAAAACTTGTGCTGGAGCTGGCAGTGAATCTTAAAGGAGTGGCAGTCAGGCGCTACTCCCCCCTGGGACCCCTGTCTCCACTGTCACCTGTGGTTTTCCCTAGTGGCTCTCGAACTCCCACAGCCCAGCCAGAGTCCGATCCCTCACAGGGCAGCCCCTCGGACTCAGACTTAACCCCAGAAGTGCCAAACAGAGGAATGAAACCATGCAAAAAAAGAGGAGACAGGAGCCGTGCTGCCAGAGCAGGATTCTCCTGAGAGAGGCCACTGTCCTATTTCTGGACCATCCTCTTTTTAATATGATGCAGTATGTGTTCTGCTGCACTGACCTTGTACTGTCTACTAGACTAGACAGCAGAGCAGTTCCTCAGCCATCCACAAGGAGGCACACTAGTGACATAAAGCTGGATCCAGGCAACATAAACGTTCATATTTTAGTAAAATGAATGATGAGATAATCTTGAAATACAACCAGCATTTATGGTTCTCATAGCTTAAATCACAACAGCTAAAATGTCCAACTCATTTCTCACAATGGCTTTGTGACATTTCCCAGAGCCAGTGTGCACCGCTTTAACTGTGAGCCATAAAACCCTGTGCACTGCAGATCAGTGATTGACTTGCCCTTATCCAACATCTTTTAGTTCAGTAATTTATTATGAATTCTTGTCAGTCCATATCTTTTGAAAAGGAAAACATTGAAACTTAGGGACATCACCATTGCTGTGGATTTTTATATGTCTCGACTGATTCAAAGACCTCTATTTTTGTGAGTACTTGCTGAAATGATGTGATCCCACTTCCCTCTTTCTGCCTTTGCCAATCAAGCTTTACTGGATCGCTTGATGCTTTTTTTATACAACTCACCCATCCAAGATACTGCTGCTGTTTTCCTTTTTCCATGCCATTGTGGGATGAAGAATGTACCAGTCTGTTTGATTTGAAGACATTTAACAGAACACTGCAGCCTGTCAGCCTCATATCACCTGCCAGTGTCCTGCTGCCCTGTTGCCTCGATCTTTATTTAAAAGCTAAATGTGCCATGCATTCTTTTATCAGCTGCTACACGTGCCATTAGAAATATGTATTCATGATTCTATTGTAGCCATAGAATTAGGTCCTTTCTTCCTTTATCATTTTGCAGCTGCTTATTATCTTTGTACAGATTATGCCTTAATGTCTTGCGTTTTTGCTGTAAAAGTCGACAGGTGCATTTATTGCAGTGCACTTGTTAAAATTCCTAAATGACTTTGTTTGCATATTTGCTCAGACTAAAACGAAGTCCGCCGCTGTATCAAGAATCTCTGGGATTGTTATGATAAGAAAGTATGTGTTTAAAACAAAAAAAAGTCTAATAGTCCACACTGTTTGTTCAGGTGTTGACCGTGAAAATGCCATAAGCTGTTTTGGTTGAAGTGCTCTTTGTTACTCATCAGTTGGAACAAGGTTAGCACTTCTCATTTCACTGTAGCCACACCACTGGAATCACTGTTGATCCAGTTCTATCTGGTTACACAATACTTTGATCTAACAACTCACCATTAAATGTAATATTTTCATAAGGCCCCCAAAATCATTTTAGATAGCAAAATACAAAGCTATACATTTAACTCCGTAATCAAAGCATTAAATATATAGGTAAATCAAAATATTTGACAAATATCAGCAATTTCCATAGTTCAGATTCATGTGAACAAAATCAAAACTAAATGTAAACAATTTCATAAAAACAACAGAAAATGGTTAATGGAAAATTGGTAAAATCATTATCTGTGTCTAGCCTACTAAATTACTGATATAGCCTACATGTTAAACAGTTATAATTTATTGAATTGCATCTCATACTAAATTCATTTTAAATCAAAAAGTAAGTTTGTAAGTTTGAGCTGTTGTATATTTTGTGATGCCATCATGACATTAACTCACTGTGCAGCCTTCAGTTTCATGTGCTGTATTTTGTGCTTTGAATAAACATAATTTCTGTTACAGTATGTTTCAATGAATGAAAATACTCTACTCAAGAAATGTTGAAATTGAGTTTTTATTACCTTCAACTACTGTATTGTTATCCAGTATGTACAGATATCACAAAATACAGAGGAATGTAGTTCTTAGTTCTCTGTACAGTTTATTTACAATCTGGTGTAGATTGAGGTACCTGGGGACACAGATAGTACTGTGTGCATCTTTTTACAAAAATAAACTCCAGCAGCAGACCAAGAGAATAATGTAGCTTCTTGACAAAAAAAAAATCTTCCTTTCAATATATTACCTGTTATAAAACAATATATATTTTATTCATGCAAGCACTAAAGAGACATCAGCTGAGATAACATTCGTTAGCAAGAAAGGTTAATATATATTTCTTTATAAAAGCACTTAACAGATGGCAAATATAGAGTTGTCGCATTTGTTTGAAGTTTTTCAGTGAATACTTAGTAGCAAAAGTGGTTTACACAAGGAACAGCAGTCATGGCCTACGCACATAAGCAGTTAGGTCCCAGTCAGTATGATTCAGCCATTGTGGCTCTGATTGCTTGTTCGTGTTAACTGTTGACAGAATTGGCAATAATTAGAATATTAAGCAATAACTGATATCAGCTCCTTACTTTCAGACAGCAGATTGTGTCATTTCTTTATGTTAGATTGGTATAAGAATAAACAGGTCACCTTAAACTCTTAATCTTACATAAACTGAATGCATTTTTGAATAGTCAACTGTAGATGTTTGCATTATTGCATATGTTAAATATAAGGCACTAAACAATATTATATCAAGTAAGGTTGCCTGAGATAAAAATGAGGTTGGGCACTAAAAACTAGCAAACACTTCAAGCACACATAGTATCAAGGGCGTTAACTTGTACAATACCCTTCCAAAATTACTTAGATTATGGATCTTATCTTTCCAGATAAGTTAAGCACAGGGATTTATTAAGTAGGATTCTACTTAATAACAACGAATCACCTTCCAGGTATTTGTAAAACAGCGCTTAAGTTCCCCAGAATAACAAGCAGCAACATGCCTTCATTCTTTCACCACTTTGAATACTTTCGAGAAAACTGTCAGATCTTTAAGAAGGCACCTTGCATATTTGAAGAGGAGAAAGGAAAAAAGCTAAATAAGAAGTAATGGACAAGCAAATGCACATTAATTACAAAGTCATTAGCAAAGAACAGCATAAGGTAGCAACCATAATAGAAAGGTAGTGTTATGTGCAGAAATGGCTTGCAAAATACCCGCACGACCCAGGACATCATAGCAACATAGATATCTAATAAGGCACATTAGCCCAGGTCAAACCCAAGTTAAAAGTCATAAAAGGGAATCATAGGAGTGAACCTGGAAAACAGCAGATAGTTCTTTGAGAGGTTGTGGCAGTAAAAAATAAAAAATACAGTTGGCATGCTGGTGTGGCGACAGCTTGATACAAATACTTCAAAGTACCCTTTCTTCATAGGCTGCTTCACTACTGCTTCCATCAAAGAGAGGATACACTAGTTTATCTATAAAAGGAGAGATTGTCCAAAAAGTGGAAGCAAAGGTCAAATTGTACAGCGCTCAATCCCCTTTAGAGGAAGTGAGGGGTTCAGTCTCTAAGGGGTCTTCCTGAGGAAATACGACATAACAAATCTTTTGGCCCACATACGTCACTTTCTCTGTAAAACAACGAAAAAGGGTCATCAATTGTCCATATAACCTGCATATGTATTAGCATAACCAAAGACACGCACCAACTGCTGTGTAAATCCATTTTGGTTTGTTTTTCCAGTGAACTCCCAGGAAGTAGACAGGGACCCCGGTCAGCATGATGACCATGCCCAGACCACACACCACAGGCTCTGAGTAGAGGCTGAAGCACAGCAGCACGGCCCAGAAGAGCAGGTACGCAATGGGGATCAGCACACTCACCTGAACAACACACAAGGAAGATAAAGATGTATTGTAAAGCATAATAGGTGTTGTCTCAAGCTGTAAAATGTGATATCCATAATGCATTATGCACAGTCACAGTATACCAGACTTTAGCAGCGACTTGGTGCATATTGTGATATAAGTTTTGATCTTGTTTCAATAATACCACTGAATAGCATAAAAAGAATACAGTGGAAACACAGAGTGTAGATTTGTATTAGTAGTAGGGTCCTGATATCCTCTGATCTCATACATTTTTTATTATTTTATTTTAATGATTATTTATGCTGTTGATGGTTACAATTATGAGACAATTGTCAGGTCAAATGTCATAATGTTTATATGGGGTCATGTTGATCACCTGCTACTCCTTTCAAAGGCACACTGTCAAAGATTCTATTTAAAGCACAAATGTACAGCGTCATTGGGGACACACATACCATAGAGACACAGTCACCGAGTTCAGTTCTACCATGTACATCTAACTAAAGTTTTCAGTTCAAACAATATGGAAACATTTTGATAAAGACATCTGTCATTCATAGATGCTGAATGCTCTGCTTCTGCTACATATATCAGTCTATCCTTATACCTAAAATTATTCTGTATACACTGCCCAATGCTAGTATAAAATATTAAATATAACTATATATATACACATGAGAAGAGTCTGTGGATACATTTGAACAGATAGTATGACACGCATTGGAGGACCAATTTGTGCCTTGTATTGCATCATCCTGTTACGTTTTACAGAAATGTGGTGGGCTGACTGCCTCGTCTTTTCATTATGTAATCCACCAGCTTTGTAATATTCTTGGAGAATTCTTGGTCCTTAAAGTTTATCGACTGTCCATGGGAAATGATGCTCAGACCAGCACAGAGCCAGGCATGTGTGCTGTGACCAAACCCTTGAGCATTTTGTATACCTTTATAGGACGATGCAAATTGGGTCTTGTTTTTCGTAGGTATAGGAGGCCAGCAATGGTTACTCCATAAGACAGGTAGTTGATAAAGGACACATAGTTGATGAGGTTGTGTGTTTCACCTATGCACAGGATCAGTATGGTGGCTGCACACTGCAGAGGAGAAAGCACATGTGAGGACTCAAAGCTCTCAAAGAGACTTGGCATAGTGCACAGTTACACTCACACAGACTAACAGAGCAGGTATAGGAGTGCAGTTTTTCAGATGGATCATAGCCAACAGGTAAGGCAAATGACCTTCTCTGGCCCCAGAGAAGCATAACCTGTAACATAGAATACATTACATACTTGTTCTAACAAGTCACTACCTTCCATTATTATCACCAAAGGGCCTGAAAGTGCAAACATCAGAATCACTTCATACTTTAAACCCAAACTTGAACAAATATCACTATCAAAGACTGAATAAAAAATAACTAGTTTTAACATATTCAAGGAAGATTTTGTGCTTTAAAATACACATAACTGACATATTTGACAGCATACAAACCAATTATGTTGTTGTTCTTAATTTAAGAAAAAAGTGTTGACCTGGAAGAGGTAAAGAGGTATCCATTGATTCCTCCAAATGTGGATAGGGCCACAGAAATTGGCATAACCCATGAAAACATGCCGAGCAGCTTTTCCCCAAATGTCTGTGAGAACAAGCACAATTGTTATTATTGACTGAATACACAGCCACATTAAGCAAAATAAATAAACAAACTATTCAAACCAAATGTATGTAAAATTGTGACTTTTGCTACTTAATAAATCTTTCAATTTACTTCTTTGTTTTCATAAACATTAAAACAATGTATAAAGGGTCCACACTATCTGAGCAGTTTGTTTGCTCTTGTGAACAAAAGCTATCTCACCACTGCCACAGCATTAGAGGCCAGCAGCTCCTGAGGCGTCATGGAGGAGAAATAAGCAATATTTGTCATGGTGTAAACCAGCGTCACCAGTGGAATGGAGATGTAGATAGCCCGGGGCAGGTTTCTGAAAAGATAAAATGTTATCACAGATTTGATGCAGTGCATAATATTTACAGTGAATTTATGCTACGTACTTGCGTGGCTCCACCACCTCCTCTGTGACGTAGTTGAGGAAATTCCAGCCACTGTAAGCAAATGAGGCTTGGAGGAAAGCCAGTGCTATCTCTCCAACAGAGGGCTGCCCACTGAACTCAAAAGCCACACTTGGTCGCAGTACATCATAGTAACCTACAAGGAAAACAGGGACATTACGTTAGCAACAACAAATCTATGTGTAATTTGTCTAGGGCACTGTATAGAGTAAAATAAAATAGTTAATATTTCATATATTTAATCTAAATATAAAAAATATCCAATGGTGCAAAAACAAGTGAATCTGTGTATTCGTCAATTAAGCTCTGTTGCGTTCATAAATCCAGTGGTAGAGGGGAAAAGCAATTGCACACTGTATTATGGAATGAAACTAGTATTCGAAAATGCCATGCCCAAATGTAAATAATGAATGCACATATCACATAAAGAAAGATGGCAGAAATACTGATGCACTGTAATATTAAATAATGACTTGGTGTTTTGAATTCAATTTTGGATGTTTTCTTGGTTCATTCAGGACTGATAAAACAACCTTTCCACTCCTAAATCACAATACTATTACAGTTTAATGGTTTTAGGAAAAAAACATTTAAAAAACACTGAACAGATTTAGTGATACTGTTTTGCCAAAAAGCAAGCCGAAGTCACCATGGAGACAGACAGAAAGTCTTACTTGCTTAAAAGTCATTTGTTGTTGAAAGGAGAAACACAATTATTTACACAAGTATTTACATAATTTTGCACCTAAACTTTCAATAGACTATCAAAGAAATTATAGAAATAATTACTGGTCAATATTGCAAAAAACAAAACAAAACACGATTGTCTTATTAAGAACAAATAAAAAATAGTTAAATATTATTCTCCTACAGATAAAAAATACAGCGTAAAAAACATTGGCATATAATGTATAAAATAGTTAAATTTCTTCAAAACACAGAAAAAGTGAGAACTTTTTAATGAAAAATTCTGAACAGGTGCTTAAGGACAGGGCTCAAAAGCTAGCAAACAGTATAAAAGCATCAGTCAAAAAGGTCTAAAGGACTTACTGCTGCTTTTAGACTGGCTGCTAACCTGAAAAATGCCTGGCTTGGTAATACCTGGGGAATAACCCCCGCCGGTAAACTCTTCAGGGTCACAGAGGCACACAAGCCTCCCCACCTCGACAAAGCAGCAACAACAGTTTTTTTTTTTTTTTTTCAAACCTGGATCCTCAACCTCCTCTCTGTGGCTCTTGGTTCTAATACCCCCTAAATCAGTTCCTGGATTGTTCTGCTTAGTTCTTCATATTCATCTGATAAATCAGACAATTGTGAGTTTATGCAGCTAGTACCACACCATTCTCCACAAATGTCAGTGCAGTCATGTTTTTTGCATGTGCATTTTTTTTTTTGCTGCAGTCTTTCTTGCAATTACAGCAAACCACTTCTAGTATCTATGGTGATGCTGCAGGCTGATTGGTCATTATTGGCATAAATCTCCCATCCAAAACATCCCAACCCCTGTCTTTTGGGTCCATATGGTCCCCTTTTCCATTCCATCATTTGTTAAAAGACCTGAAGACTATGGAACTTTGCAGCGGTTGACGTTGGGGGGAGAGTTTTAGGTTCCTCTGGAGATGAGTTCTGAGTTACTTTATCAAAGAATCATCTGTATCTCAGTATATCCAGAGATTCATCTTTTTTGCCTCCATACAGTGATACTAGAGCTTTTTCACTTGTAGCAATGATGATGCCTTTCCCCACATTTTCCTGTGACATTCCCTTTCCAATGCCAAATACACAAGATGTAGAAACACAGCCTAATATGGCATGGATAAAGAGGAGATTGTCACACACCTTGGGATCCAGTAACTCTTTCGTCTGCTTTATACACCGTATCTTTCTTGTTTTTGTTGCTTTGTTTGGTTCTGATGACAAAAACAGCTCCTGTGCATTTAGATCAGCATGTTGCAACAAGAGTAAAAGTCTGTGTCATCACCTACTAAGACTGTGTCTTTTGTTCTGGCAGAGGCAATGGCAGTTTGGACAATGAGCACATCTGCATCGTTCTTTGCATGGTCTGTGATACACCTAGCCTGCTCAAGTTTATCACTGAGACAAACCAAGAACTGTTGTCTGTTTTCCTTATTGTTAAGGAAGTGGTCCTTTTAGGATTGAATGATCATGGACATAGTTATTTGGCTACTGTTTTTTCTGCTCGTGACTTTATGGTTCTTGGCCATAAGTCACTTGGGCCTAGTGTTGAGCTCATTTGCATATTTAAAATAGATTTTTCCAAGAAACGTATATAAATAAAAAGCAGCTATATTTTAGGTAGCCTATATTCAATTAGTATATAGCTCATTTGCATATTTAAATTCACTTTCAAAGAAACTTGTAATACAAAAAATATTGCTTTTCATGGTTACTTTCATAGTGTAAAGTTTCATTTTGATAGGAGTAAAGGAAAAATATAACCCCATTGGGGTGTTTTGTTGCCTAGCTATATTGACACATTTCTCAGATTGATGAAAATTTAACAAATTTCCTCAATTAGGATTTCTAAGGACTTTTAGCATGTTGTTCTGGACACCTCACAGAAATAATCTAAGATGAAAAACAAACTTACAATTAACTTAAATTACAATTAGTCTGACGGAAAATGCTACTTTGCCTGGACTATTACTGACTTCTCCATTAAAAAAACTAAAGTGATGATTGATTATTAGAAATGACTCTTAATAAAAATGTGATTAATTCTGCTGACGTAACTGAAATATATATGATCATGACAAGCTAAAACTTATGCACATACTGTACCTCTGCAGATCTGCACCAGTCCCACTATGATAATGAGGACCAGAGCCAGTAGTTTTCCGACTGTGAACACATCCTGGATCCTGGTGGCCCATCTCACACTGGAGCAGTTCACCCAGGTCAGAAATACTGCAAAAGAAAAATGCATTTATTATACACCAAGGACAGAAAAGCAACAGTGAACTTTTAATCGCATATTAATTGACAGCCATATAATTTCCACTTTTTTACAAAGTCCATTTTATAGACTTGGAAATTAATTCATACATTCATTGTAAGAGACATCAGCTCTAGGATCCCATAGATTGCAGCATATAGTACATTAGTTGCACTGGGAAATCTAAAATGATAAAACTTATATAGTAATCCTTGATATACTGTACATGTCATATGCAACAACAATATTTTATATGGTATTATTTGAATAAATGTACAGCGCAAGGTAACACATGGTTACAAACTAAACCACAAAACAAATAACTTCTTAAAATGTTCTTACCCTCTCCATTTCAAGTTTAAATGGCAAAATGTTTGTAATATTTGGTTATAGTACCTACTTAATTGATAATTAATTGTAATAGTAGTTATAATTGTGTGTATAATAAGTCTGTATATGTATACATATACATATACTGCTAAAAATAGCAAATTTTTAGTTTACTTTCACTTGCACTATAATGAAAATAATGTGAACTTGTATTCTGTCTTGCAACACAGGTGAAAATCATATTTCTGTCATAAATTCAGTCAATGAAAACATGTACCATTTAATAATTTCTGCCTTTCATCAAACAAGCATCTAAATTCATTTTCATTCATTCATTTCAATGTTTCATGAAATATAGAAGTAAACCATTAGGTTCATGATAAAGTGTGTGTGTGCTGGTATGTGTGTGTTGGCCCGGGCTTTTAAATACTGTGTCATCCATCACTGGGGCAGGCGTCCCTCCCACCACACAATCTGGACAAACTGCTTCCGCTGGCTCTGGCCATACAACCACACACACACAGAGACACACACACACACACATACACGCAGACACACATGAGAATAGTTGGCAGGATGTTTTGGTGGCACTGGGCACAGCTTCCTCTCCCCTTTAATGCTTTTAAGTTTTATAGTCAATTACACTGCGACACATTTCCTCTGCCCCAGAACAGCAGCTCTCCCCCTGCTCTGGCCTGTATACGTCCGGACAGGAAGGAGGTGCCAGCGGACTTTATGCATGACAGCCCAGGTAAATCTGTGTGCCATTGAGCACCAGCACTTGAATACTAACTAATGACTGCTCTTCATAAAGTCAGGAGCCAAACTGCAGTGTAATTTATGTTGCGCTTTTAACATCAGCCACACCTCCAGCTGCTACTTATTTCCCATAAAGCTTAGCAGTAATACACCTGGTACATTACTTTTAATTATCATCTATACAATGTTTGCTATTTATTGGTTTAGGAAACAATCGTATTTGTCTTGAACATGTTATACCTAGTCCCTCTTAAGTTATTCAGTGAAGTCTAACATTAGCGCAGGCGGAGGCCACTTTATGCCTCCTTTCACTTAAAGAGCTTTACCAAATAAATAATAAAGGAGCTCACTACAACCTAAAACAAACAAGGCTAAATTGGCAATGGCACACAACCAGGCTCACCCAATGGTCAGTCAGAAGTTTCTTTAGGACACTTTTCGTTGTTTGCATATGCACCATTATAGTCTTATGTATGTGTTGTAGACAAGTGTTATTATGCCTTTTATGGGTATTTACTATTAAGAGCTTATATTTTGCTATTTTCTGATCTATATATAGGTCTATAGTTGTTGCCTCATCAAAAATATATATCCGGAGTTGTGTTTTGTTTTATTCACACATTTAACACACAAATCCTGCAAATTTATGTGGATTTCTTCTCTCAAATTGAAAACACTCTCTTCCACCTTGTGATGTCATGCAGTAATAAAGAAAGCGCTACACTGTATTGTTGAACTTCGTATACCTTCATTAGACCCATTTAGATCATTTCAAACCTGGAATCTCTACTGAACTAAAGGTAAAAGGTAGCCGTTGATGAACTATTGCTTCATGACATCACAAGCTGAAACAGAGCATTTAGAGCTTTGGAGATGACTCATAATATAGGGTTACTCAAACTAAAGACAACTTTGTACTAGGTACGTTGTTGATGAGGTAACAGCATTATAACATGGCTAAAAGCTAAAAGCCAAGCAAATTTTGTTTAAAATGGGACCTTTAAGTAATAATATAAGTTATATAATAAGCGCTGAATTCAGGATTACTCAAACATGTATAATTCAGTCGAAATACAACTTTGAGTAAGATAATGAGAATGGAACATTGTCATAACATGGCTCATGAAAAGATTTTACCTAAATCTCCTTTAAATCCCTTTTAGTAAGGTTGTACCCTGTGGCGATCTCATGAGATTGCTAATGTTATTGCTTTTCTGTTTATTGCAACCTTGCATAAACATCTGATATCTATTATTAATTATGTTTTTGATTTTTTATTGAGTTTTATAAGTGTCTGAAATTGCTACAGTATGCCTCTAATTGCCTACACACTGTTCTTCTGAATGGCCCGATGCTGTGTGCTAGATTCACTAATGCACGAACAGTATTGCACCACCCTGGTGCAGTTTATGAGGGACATCAAATTGAATCCATCTGACCACTTTTCGCATAGAGTTACTATTCATTCTAAGCCTGCCACTTGTACACTGCTATCGGCCCCCTCTATGGCTGCACAATCTCTCTGACCTACAATGTAAGAGGAAAAGAATGCACATAATAAGCATGCTGGAATTCCCTCGGCCGGGTCACATGTTTCATAATGAAGAAGTCCATTAGCTTGATAGAATTAAGCGGATTGTCAGTAAAATGTCAATATTTGCTGTATGAATGAACTGAAAGTCAATCTTAGAGCTGCCGTACACACCAGCTGTGGATAAAACTGCCCCTTTTCTAACTTGTAAATTAGTTGGATATGTGTTGTTTATACAAGGTAGGCTGGGCAATATAGTGATAAAAATCAAATCATGATCTTACCCCTGTAACAATATGCTATTTTGGTGAAATCCATTACTTAATTCCCTGCTTTTCTGTTTTATAGAGCTATACGGTCAATTACAGACACTGTTCCCCACCCACACCTCCTACTGGTCACCCTCCATCATTCTCTCAGTGAGTGACAGGTGGATTTAACCAATCACAGTGAGGAGTAAACTTTCAGAAACAGCAGATAGCTTTAGTTAGATACTAAGAAAACATTAATTGTGATATTAATTTTTTGGCATATTGCCCACTGTAATACAAGGGCAGTTAGGTTCTAACAAGGCATGTTTAAACATACTTTGTTTAACATTCTAGAGATATTAATTTTATGCCTGGAAAGGTCAACAGTATGTCATCTTCATGGAGACAAGCAGCTTGACGCCACTAGGCCAAGTTTCATCCAGATCCAGATTTGATCTGCAAAGTTCAAATTACTCCATTCCACCTTGTGATGTCATGAAACAGTAGTTTTCAAGTTAATGGTTACCTTTTACCTTTAGTTCAACAGAAATTGGCTGAAATTATCAAATGATTCTACTGAAGGTGTAAGAAGTTTGAAAACACAGTGGAGCACTTCCTGTATTACCACGTGGTGGAACAGGATGCTTTCTGTTTGACAGAAGAACTCTGCCTAAATATGCAGTGTTTGTGTGTTAAACGTGTATAAATGAAACAAAACACAACTCCAGGTATGTTTTTTATCAGAAAACAACATTACAACATAGGTCAGAAAATAGTGCAATATCGGCCCTTTAATCACCATTATACTTTCAGAATGTTTTTGTATTTTGACCATGATAAATGTCACCCAAAATCTCAATATCGTCCAATGCCTTCAATGTAAGATAAAACTCATGCATTGCACAATCGCACATATAGTGTGACAAATAAAAACTGGCATTTGAAAACATCAGGTGGGGGTGGCAACTGCTGAGTATATTCTAGTGTGTCCTGTCCCTCCTGCTGCATGACTTTGCTGCTATGGGTTGGCCCAGGCTCCCTCTCCTATTCCTGGAAGATGGACGGCCCTTGACTGGAGCGGACTGGTTTGCTGCCTCATACACACGCGTATGTTTGGGCACAGTCTAACATGGACAGCATGTGGACACTGCACACACAAGGAATGACCTCGCCATGCACATGACTGGCCTGACATGCAGTCTAAGACAACTCCAAAAGCTGTGGGAGTCATATACAGCAGTGAATTCATATAGGATCCTATGCAGTTATTGCACTTACTATAACTTAAACTATAACTATACATTTCTTACCACTTTTACATTCTTAACTGATAATTTATAAATTGGATGGAGGGGCAGGTTGGATAAATATAGTGGGATAATGAACCTTGATCTGAGGCTTTTGTATGTTTCCAATAAAAATACCATAATTGATGGAGGTCAGGATAGAATACAAGCTCTTCCTTCATCTGAGGGAGACATCAGCCCAAGTCAAGTTTCTAAAATTTCAAAATCAATTTGGAAAACTACTCAGTACTAATCCTGGACAAAGATATTTTAAAAACAATTTCCATATACTACAGTTTAATTTTAATATTTTACCATGTGGTCTAAGTTCTGATAATTATCAAGATTATTATCATCACTCTAAAAATATCCATGAAAAGTTGCTACTATTTTTTGCAACCCTACTACTACCCTAGTTCTGCACATTTTTACAAGCAATCTGCTTTGGGCACAACGGACAACCTCCTTCCTCCTCCTTCCTCTGAGAAAATTCCTGTGAGTAAGAATGATGCAACCTCAAGACAGTGTTGATCATAGGGGATCATAGTATGTCTTTACATGTGCTTTTAGAAATCAGACCGGAACTAACAATGCAGAAACAAAGAGGAAGTGAAGTCACATGGTATAATATTTGTTACTGCATCATGCATACATGTATACATGCATACATGACCTTGTGGACCAAACATGTGGTATTTGTAGCTTTAAATCGTGAAGCAAAAGCAACATCTCAAACATTCTCTGTTCACATTTGAAAATGTATTTGAATAGGCCTTTTTAATCACTAATGTAATCACAGCATTAGTGAGAAAAGTTCACATTTTAATTTATCATTGAACCCTTATTCAAAATGCTTGACTAACTTTGCATCTATATTAATGAATATATAAAACTTTCAATTCACAACCAACATGTTAGGGATAGCCTACTCAATAGGAATAGCCAACACAATACCCTTATCAATGTATAACTTAGCTGACCTGCCTAGTCCCTTTCTAATAGTACTTATGGGCAGCCATTGCTACAATCAAACAATGAACCCTGTCATCACCATCAAGACTTTATTACAGACTCATAGTCCAGAGTTAAAAGGCACACTACATTTAAAAAAACCTCAGACATAACAGTAGTCACACCTGCTAATTACTGTTTAAATTTTATGTACCAGTCTAACACAAATACAATGTCAACTTGCTTCATGCTCTGTAATACAAACAGCCACACTTAGTACCTCTCTGCTTCACCCTGGCCTCGAAAGCAGTCGAGGGATGAGGCCAAAAATAGTCAGATGATGTGCTAATGGTAACCCTGCACATGCTAAAGAGACACACCCCCCTGACCATACCTTTGCCTTTGCATCCAGTTCAGACAAGAACAAACTGGCTGTGCTCTATCAGAAGCATGCACACTCCGCATAAGAATATCACTGGCTATTTAAAGGTGCACTATGTAACTTTTCTGGTGGAGAGTACATGGAGAAGTTATTGCTTTGCCTGAAATGTTGTGCATTAAAGTGATCTACAGCAGCAAGTGATGCCTCCAGGCTAATTGATCACTAAAAGTAAGAATGTATGGTTTTCAACATGTCTCTCTTAGCACAAAAAAAACCTGTAATTTAATAATTGTAAGATAGATGTGTTTTGTGGAATACTGTGGAACATCCCAGGCAAAGGAATAACATGTGGAGACAAGCACAAGGATGATTCCTACTACAAAAGTTACACAGTGCACAAGGGTAATCATATACTACCTTTTTACATCATATTCTTAACATTAAAGAAGAAATATTATGCTTTAGTCAAATATCTACTAGTATCTCATTCTATGACACCTGTAATTATTTAATATTTTGAGCATTGTGGTGCTTCTTTCTGCCTGCCCTTTTATAGTATGTCACTATAAATGTCACATATGACAACAAAGTACTGCACTGCCTGACCAGGCTTTTGACCCTGCCTATGGATTGTTAAAGTTCACTGTAGCAAGCAGTGGATTTTTGTGTCAAAATGGCTATATTGCACATAATGCACCCTAAGTGCAGGAGAATAAATGAATCGCGCTAAATGCCACTTGGAGTGGGTAAATGAGAGGGAAGACTATTTAACATGGTTAAAAGCTCCTAGAGGTCAATTTAGCATACAATAAGAAAAAACAGTTTGCTCGTCCGTCATTTTTCAAAGCTGAAGAGTGAAAAGGAGATGTTTATCAGCCACACCTCTCGAAGCCATCTAGTAACATTTTTGTATTTACTGTTGTCCACCGTGAAAACGTGTTACCATAGTTAACTTTACCAACCCATCCAAAAATACATCAGCGTAAACATCCAGTGGAAAGTTTTGAATATGAGTGGGAACTAATTTGACTAACTTAACTAAGTTGATACAGACTTTGGGGAGTGTTGGCAACCTTCTGAAAATGACTGACCCAATTTCTTTAATGTCAATCAATCAATCGACAATCAGACTTTTGGAATTTAAATTGTGCAGGTAAATATGCTGGCTGAGGTTGAATTAGCACACACATAGGTCATATTTGAAAGACCATGCTGCTTAATATAATGCACATCATTCTGAATTATAGTATATGTCTGATCTGATATTCTAATTTTATTATTTCGATACTGTCTTGTAATGTAGATGGTACATTGCCTACCTGAAGTTAAACCAAAGCTTGGAGGCTAAAGTAAAATCATACTTCATCATATTATTTATGTGATCAAGACTAACAATTGTTATGCTATGAGGCTGGCAATATGACAGATCTAGAGTTATTTATACTGAACAATAATCACACATGACTCACATATGCAGATGGTGGCCAGCAGTCGCGTGGCGAGGAACGGAGGGAGGCAGTTCTGGAAGGCGGGCTGTAGGACGTAATTTGAGAAGGTGAGTGCGATGACAGCCAGTGTGGTGGGGTACATGATCAGGACTGCACTCCATAACAACAGGAAGCTACCGGAGAACAAGACAGAAACAACCACAGGGTCCATGTGTCACAATCACCTGGAAATCTTCAATGGACAATACGGGCTCAGTTCTAAATGGCCAAAAGGTACTGCATAAACCAGGTAGTAGCCACACCAAGGACTAAGCCATTTCTAAAATGTAACAAAATTAACAAAGTAAAATTGAACTACACCAAGGACTAAGCCATTTCTAAAATGTAACAAAATTAACAAAGTAAAATTGAACTGTGGATTCAGTTTGATTTATGGCTATCTACTAATGATATTACTGATAACAGTAAACTTCATAACATAAATAAATAGAACTGAATAAAAAACACTACATATCCTGACTGAGCACATGCCCTATAGGCTTAATTACTGTAACGTTAAAGCTGCTCTTTATGTTGCCATGACTATGTCAATATCACCACTTCAGTATGCTGGTGCTTTTCTGCCTGTCTGTAAATCCCTAGTCGAATGGACCACATAGACAGCACTTAGCACAAAGCTACACAATCCCCTTTTAACTTTTACAGATTGACGTGCTGTTGAGAGGAACTCAAATGCTTGGTTTCAAATGTTTGTTTTCTAAGTGTCAAAATGTAGGAGCCTATATCAAAAATGTATTTGTAGAGGCATTTACTTTTATATTTTTAAGTAAAATAATGTTTTAAACATCAAATCAAAATGGCGAAGGTGGAACACACAGGTGATTGACTGTTTTCCTACCAACCAGTGGGGAGTTGGCTCAAACTTTGACACCATTTTGCTGGTTGTTGTGGCAACCAGTCACACAATGAAAAAGATCATAGTGAAGTATTGCTGCTCTAGTTCCATTATTGTGAAATGTTAACAAACAAGAAAGGGCTGCTTGGGATTTGTACCCGAGTCACTTTGGTCTGCGCAACTGTTCCAGTTTGCGCACACCAGAACACTGCTGACATTCTCAGACTCTCAGTGCTCAGATCAGATGACAGATCATGTGACCACAACAATGTCATAAGACCCCTACAGAAGCCGTGAAGCTCCAGACACAATATACTAGAGAAATGTGTGCTTCTATGGTGATACTTACCCCACTAGCCCCCCAAAGATCTCTGTCACGTAGGAGTAGTCCCCTCCGGACTTGGGGATGGTGACACCCAGCTCAGCGTAGCACATGGACCCAAGGGCGCAGATGCCACCTCCCAGCACCCACACAATGAGAGACAGTCCCACAGAGCCTGCATGCTCCAATACTCCCTTGGGTGAGATGAAGATTCCTGATCCAATGATGTTTCCTAGAAATATAAACACATTTGAAAACCCTGTCAAAATAACAATAAGATTTAATTTAATTTATAAGGTATGAGAAAATGCAATATGGCAATGCACCACCACTATTCCGAGCATTATAATGAAGTGACTAGAGCTGAACGATTTGAAGAAAATATCTACTGTTAATTTTTCAGGCAAGTTTATGTTTTAAAAATAGGATTGTGTTCAAAGTTCATTGAGAAAGACTGAGAAATTAATGGGCACACACTATACAAGATTCACATTTCAGAACATGTTTGTGCAGTTTTAAACTCAAAGGTTAGAAATTGTTATGAAATAAGACAGAGTATTTTGGTGTTTGTGGAGGTAATTGTGGTACTTCAAAAGTTGCATTAAATTTTTTACATACTTACATGGTACTGTACACATACAATGCTGTTTAAGGTCAGCTGACACAAGGAATCAGGTTACAAAGAAGAACAAGACCACAGTCCGGACCCCAGTGGACTTGTTAGGATTCTAGCTTTTCAAATCTCCCGAGCTTAATTTTCTGTAAATGATGTCGCCCACATAGCAGCTGTCACCTTTCTACTATTGTTTTGGAATACAAAGGAAGCACCTGCTGAATGTGTTATTTTTTTTCTCAAGTTACCGGAGAGTATTTATTTAACATGAACAAGCTTTTGATGAAGTTGTGAACCAATGTTTCAACAGCAACACTTGTCTTACAGCTAAAATTAAAGCATAGACCAAACCTGCTCTGAATTATGTTTTACTTCAATAGTTATCAATAGTTATCAATAGTTAGTTGACTTGCATCACCAGTTAAAAGTTTAGACACACCCCTCATTAATTTTTTTCCCTTTCTGTTTACTACTTTCTACATTTTACATGCATATGGACGACATCAAATATATGAAACATGAAATATGGAGTTATGTACCAAAGAAAAAAAAGTTTAATAACTAATCTGGAAATGGTTTTCACTTCACAGCCATGCCTCGTCAAGGTCAAGGAATGCCTAAAGTGTAAACCAGGGTTCAAAGCAAAAGGTGAGTTTACTGAGGTTATATTTTGTTTACTACATTCCGTACGAGTCCATGCATAATTTTGATGCTTTCAGTGAGAATCTACAATGCAAATAAAGACTGGTAGTGTATTCTGAACAGTTGCAGCCCTTAATACCATATGTCAATAAACAAACTCGTGCATTTTAAAGCAAGTTTTGTTGGTAGAGCTTTGACCCACATTCTGATGGTTGGCAGATTGACAATTGGATAAACTGGTAGCTTTCAGGTTCTAGAATGTGATGAGTCCCAAATGGAAGCTCCGATTTTGATTGGCAACATCCCAAAATGCCAAATCTGTTACATCCCGTCCTTAACATTTTCTATTGTACATAATCATTTGTAGAATGATATTACTCAGTTACAGAACAAAACAGTGGCACCATACCGTCTCGCTTGGCCACTCTCCACAGAACCTCTCTCTAACAGCCAACATGATGTGTCTTCGCCCTATGAGCAAAACCAACAACAAACTCCCCTAAGAGGCAAACGCAGCTGTCTAAGCACATTATGCTTTACTCTGTCCCATGTTTTTATTTGGAATAAGTTTTGACACAGAGTCAGCATAATGACTGTGCCAGGCTCTTTCAGCCTGTGAGGCACAGACTTCACACAGTTAGCAACACAGCTTGGAGTGCTCTCTAATGATGCTCTGGAAAGGGGGCGGTCCACTTGGCGCATTTATCTCTGTCACTTCTGATTGTGGAGGCTGTGTAGGGATGCAAAGGACTTACATAATCCTTCTGTTGTAATTGTTATGTCATGGAGGTTAGCATTGCAGGCTACAAGCTTCATTCAGACATTTAAAAATTATCAATTACAGAAATTTAAACTTGGGTGTCTTCTCAATTTTTTTTGTTATTGTGGTTCTCTGATTGCAGTTTGTTTTATTCAGAGACAATTTTATTAATGGTTTTGCACTCCTTTGGGTAAATCATGATTTAGAACTACCACGTCCATTGTTGAGTGTAATTTTAGAGTTGATATAGTTTAATGTCAGACCAAGTTCATCCCTAATTTAGATCTGGTGGTACTCGGAAGGCCAAAGACTAAATTAGGTGGAACTTGAAAATTCAGTTAATCTCATTTGATGTTGCTGGCCTATTTCATATAACCCTAGAGACCTTCTCCATTACACGTTTTTGAGCAGCTAATTGTTGCCTAGGGTTTATATCTCACATTTCAAAAGCCACTCTCAGCTCTCAATGTTCAGGTATAGAGGTTGCATTTGACATTCAAACACATATTTTTCAGACTTATCTTCATTTACTTTCAAGAATACTTTATTCATCTACAAAATAGAACATGATTAGGTGAACTGTAGCTTGCGTAGCTGAGACAGGAGAGCTGTATGACTCATATTAACCCTCTCAGGCTCAAATTAACTTTTAGTATCAGGAAAAATCTGATATTTGGGGAAAATTATAATATGGGGTAGTAATATACAATTCTGACTTTTTTATCCTTTGTAAACAAAAAAAGTATTTTGCACTTCTGGCAGGCCGTTTGCGTGTAGCCATTCTTGCACAGTCTGCATTGCCCACGTTTATCAGCATGGATGGGAAAAAAGGCTCCTGAGTAAAAAAAGCTCATATAATATGGATGTGGAGTAAGTAGGTACTTAGAATTTAGCTGTTGCAAATCTGCAACGCCTGCCTGGAGAGGGTTAACATCAACTTACAGGGTTTTGTTTGCCTGAGATCCAGAATACACACTTCTTCAATACTTCATGAAGATGTGAGTCATCAGTAAATCTCCCTGCGTGATTGACAGATGGATTAGCCAATCAGGGACCTGCATTGTCCAGCGTACCAGGAAAAAAATAAGAAAAACAAAATATCACAGGGACCTAAAAAACATTAACCTCTGTTAATCTGAAGTGAGATTTTATTTGTAAATGATATATGAGCTCCAATGACCAATCCCATTGCACAATCATGTTTGACCAAAGTTGAAGCTTGACAGAGGGCGTGGGGAACAAACTGATATCAATCTGTATAAAAAAATACAGAGAGATATTAGTCTGGATTTGCCAGGCAAAGGTTTTGTAATAAAAGCCTGCATGGCTTATTTACGCGTTGTTATGAGTTATTTTTTGTAAGACGAAAAAGATAAATAGTATATATGAACAACTCAAACCAGTAGTGCCATTTTTGCCAAATACACACAAATTGCACAAATACTAATTTACAGAAAGTGTTGTATTTTTTCCTTTTATTTATTCTTTTTTGCTTATTTCACAACGAAAAGCACGCACTACAAATACAATAAGAGTAGCTAATTCATTGGTCTAGTGCTGAGCATCCTATTGCGGTTGTGGTGTAAGCTATTGATGGGCCTGTACAGTTTAAGATAAAATGAGAAAAGCCCTTGGTCTCTCACATTATCTCTGCATCCCTCCTACACTTGGTTGAATCACTGGCTGAATGAGCGTGAGTGTGTGAGAATAAGATCACTCTGAAGAGTTGAGGCTTCTTCTGTGACAAGGGGAGTAGAAACTGTAGCCCACAAAGATCATACTTCCTGACAGAGCATACGGTACATTATTACATGGCGTGTTTCCCGTCTGTAAGTGCATGTGCTCACAAGGGCCGAGTAGTGTTACAAAGATGTCCACAAATAATCCAATCAATGTCCTCTCCTGTCCATGAGGGGATGTCTGTGTCCGCAGACAAACCGCGCAGGCGATGCTTTGTCGTGAGTCTTGTGTGAACTTCAGAAGGCTCTGATTTAATCCAGCCACGTCGGCATCTCCATGTGCACAGCGTCTGTCATAGACTGATGCAACTGTTTCTCTCAGTAGGGATCTGTTTATGTCTGTCGCGGGACCTTGAATTTCATCTCCAAGAATTCGCCTATCAAGTGAAAAGTAAAAAAATAGCACTAAACGACTAAGACTAGCGTTAAAGCCGTTTTAAATCCCAGACTCTTGACCAACTTTTTCCTCAGAAATCCGGCGCTCAACTATTTCCAATGCCATTGTTATGCTGTAACAGTAGAGAGGCTGCTTGCTAGGTCATAACTTGTAGAAGACAAACAACACGACAGCTTACCTCACCATTTATTATTATGTCAACGATAATTTTCGTATACTTTGGTTAGCGGAATCTCCCTCAAACGCCGTGATGTTTTATGAACGTTTTATAACGTGAGGAGAAAAGTGTCATACTTACCAATGATTATGGCACATGCGCTCAGAAGTCCGATTTCTTTCTTCAAAGTTACCCTGTCTCCTTTAGAGGCGTCAGGATCCTTCTTTCTTTTCTCTTTGTCCTCCATCGTCCCGCTTACACACAGATTCCAGGCTGCCGCTGCGGTCCGGTCCAGATACTGTAACCAAAGCAGCCTCCACTCTCCACCCAGCTCTTATAATGTACGCCTACTGATGAACGGTGCCTCTGCGCGTGCGCAAACCGCATCGCTGCACAGCCCACCTGTCTGCAGGTAAACCATACCTTCTGTTATGAGAGAGACGCACTTCCGCTACTCAAACTGTCAGAGCAATTAAGACAATTTTGCCTCAATAAAGTTACTTTGTTATATTACTTTGGGATGAAATTTTTGTAATATTGTATAAATGAATCAAATATGCGCTTTTTTGTTTTATTAAAGTCATTTAACTATAGGTAAATAACAAATTGCTTAAAACTGTAATTCATTTACAGTTGGGGAGACTGGGGCATGGTCACGCTGAGTTATGCTGCATTTTTTTTAGAACAAATGTTTGACTCCAAACTTGAAATAGCAGTTTTGCGTGTTTTTTGGCTCTTCACTTCTGTCCTGAATTTGAAAAAATGTGATCTTTGTCTGAAGAGATAAAGAATTTTTCATAGTGGTGAGTTTTTTGAAACTCAATGTTATATTAAAACTTGAATAATTGACTTTCAATACATTTAAATAATGTAGTAAATTAAAATATACATATTTAATAACATGAATAACTTTCTTCTAATGATCAATGAAACAATCATCATAAAAAAAAGATAAACATGAGTGTGACAATTTACACCGAAAGATGTTACTCTTTCTTTCTTTTTCTTTCTTTCCTACAGTGAATAGTGATAGTATGTATACCGGATAATCCAGTGTGTGACCGGACACCACATACATTGGAATCTGTATGTAAACAGTGTGTGTAGCCGTTAGTCAGGACTCTCCCTCTTATAAAGAGCCCTATAACTTCAACCTCATATCACTTATTAGTCAAGTGGCACAACAGCGCAAACAGAGCACTTTGATCTCCACAATCATTTACTGTTTTTTCTGATGTTTTCAGTGGTGACATCGTAGTTGTTGTTTGTTTTTTTTCAAGAACTTTTTTTTTTTCTTAAAAGTTAGAAGGGAAAAATTCTTACCCGGATTTTATTGCATTTTTCAGAAATAAAAAACACTGTTATCAATTAGCCTTCTCCTCCTCTCCAGGTAACCACAGTAAGGTGTGCAGTTCAGTTTGACATACCCATTTCATATTTCTATTTTTAATCTTGCTTATTTGACATATAGCTTTCTTTCCTCTGCTATAAATATTGGTCTTAATATACTGTATGCATGATAATAATCAAGACTTAGTGGTCATAACTTCGATAGAGAAGTGCGAAAAAACAAACTGTATATTTTTAATTGCTACAGGGGACAGCCATAGAAACTCAATTATTGATATAAAAAGATATTGCCTTGCTCTAGCTGTTAGCCAATCTGCTATCTTGTCTAAGTCCGATTTAGTAAAAATAGCAAGGCGAAACAACAGAAAATCCCTGTTCCTGTCCATGTAAAGCTACAGTTTAAGTTAATTTGTCTGTCAAGCAAATGCTACGAATACACAATGAACTTGGAAGCTGGCCCCCTTCTCTAAAGGGAGGCCCGGACAAAGAGAGGAGATGCCTTGCTGGCATCAGGAAGGTCGACTAAAACACTGGCTTTGGTGAGAAGGCCAGAGGAGGAGATGGAGAGGACACTGTCAAAGTGCTGTATAGGCACAGAGGAAGGATCAGTGAAAACTAAAAAAAACACAACATCTGCAGAGGAGGAGGAAGGAGGAAGGGGAAAATGGGTTTAGTAACAGTTAGTTATGACAGAGAAAGCTAACTGTAACACCTTAAATAAATCATGCACTTAAACACTGAAGTTTCAAGGTAAAAATACATTGTATGTGTTTATTTATTTATTCTTCTCATGATTTACACTATACTTTTTCTTTTAAATGTGTACTATGACTTTTCAGGGGAAGGGTGTGCTACCAGCTTCACTCCTCAAGATGTTATTGATAAAATAACAGAGAGTAGTCTTCCCTCTTCACACGGTAACCTGACCTCATGGCTTCACCTGCTCTCCTGTTTCCATGGCGATACATATATGCACGCAAAAAGGCAGTTGTCAGATTATTGACATGTAAACAGCTAAATCTGATATGATCATTGATATTTGAGCATGTGTTAACACAGGACATACAGCTTACTAATGTGTTGTAGATCAAATTATTGTTTTATTTGATTACTCTAGATATGTAAATGTTGCCTTGACCATGGTTCAGCTTGAGGACAGCCAGCTCCATGTGGTGCTTTGACACTGTGTGAATTTTAAGAAATTAGGACATTCCACATGATCCCAAACTAGTTTTAGTGCTGGCCAGCGTCATGGCATGATAAATGTAGAAGACAGGAGTATTAATTGTATTATTTTTTGTGGTAATTTGGTTCTTATAAAAAACTAAATGTCACCTTTGGGCTATAAACTTGATTTTCAAATGTAATATAGAATAGACCAGAGCACATGTCTGAAATAGTATGCTGAAGTTACCTAAATGAATGGCAACATATTATTTTCTTAACTATGGAGATGAAATAGTGCAGGTGACTGACACTGGTGGAGGAAAAGACATATGGTGGTCAGTCTGGCCCTTGATCACTTGAAGCCTCTGGAGTGCCCTGTGGAGTGCCCTCTGGAGTGCCCGCTGCTGTGCTGTGCCTCCTGCCGACACTGCAACATCATTTGTTAACAGGCAAACTCTGAGTTCTTGGTTCTTGGGTGCAAAGCTGCATAGCAACCCCACTACACTTCCTGCAAGACTAAGGGCTTCAGCGCTTATGCCTGGGGTTCACCGCCTTTCGCTGTCTCACAATCGGCTTTGAGAAATGAGCGGAAAGGGCACAAAGAAAAAAAGAAAAACAGCTCAGTGCCCTGCATCAGAGGAGCTCAAAATACTTTGCACAATAGTAATAGTCAAAATAGTTTGCACAATAGTAAGCATAAGCATCATTCATTTGATCCTTAGGCAGGTGACATAGAAAACATGACAAAAAATGTAAAAAAAAAAAAAAACATTAGGGGGCCAGTTATTTGGACCATATACCTTCTAGTTAAAATAAAGACTTAGTTATTGTGCAAAAGTTTATCCCACTTCTCCACAGCCTGCATTGGATTTCAACTAATAACACAACAATGCAATATTCAAAATATGCAACACAACATTGTATGTGAGTTGCTAAAAATTCAGGTCTATATTTTTTTTGTCTAATTCATGTACTTTGGCTTTCAAGGGTGCAAAATATTTTACGCATAAGCAGCTTAGGCAGTTCAGAGGTTAACTGGTTTCATGCAGCAAGAATGAGATTTTGGACTTTTGAATAGATATTTTTAATGATAAATGAAGTGATACAGCTAGGGGTTATAAATTAATCAAGCAAGTAGACAGTATTTTATATATTAACAATATAACAATACAACACACAATCCCATGTTTTTGAGGAGCTAGGTAACAACATTCTAACATGGTTTTAAGCTAAATTTTAAGTCAATTTGGCATAATATAGGATCTTTAAAGGCATAATTGATGAACCATGAAAAACTGTAAAGCAAATCTTCTTACCCATGTCTTGTATATAGCTGAGATGTAATGCATTATCATAATTCTATATTTAATTTTTACTTGTGCGTACACATTTGTATAAATAGGCCTTATTTGACACGAGTCTCTTGATATTTTTGCAACTTATTTGAATGTATTTATTTATGATTCATTAACAGTTATAATTTTGCTCTTTATTATTATATTATATTGTGATATGTGAGCTACTTTGTCCAAATAATTTCTCTTGTGGATCAATAAAGTTTGTCTAAATAAACTAAGGATTTCAAGAGAAGACATATCTGCAAACTAGTACAGCTAAATAAATGTAAAATTGCATGCTATAGTTTGCATTTTCTTTCTTTTCTTTATTTTATTACATACATAGGCTTACAGTTTCCTTTTCTTTATATATGCTGATTTTCTCTTTACATCCTCTCTGTTCAAGTAATAACAATTTCCCTTGTGGATCAATAAAGTTTGTCTCTTAAGTACATCTTGGATCCACCTAAAACAGCTATAGCTCCTTCTCCTCACTGCTCCTTCCTCCTTGGTCCTTATAGCTGACCTCAGGTGGTAGAGGACAAGGAAGGACAAGGAAGGACAAGGAAGGACAAGGAAGGACAAGGAAGGACAAGGAAGGAGGTATTTTGCCCATTTTCGGATGGAGCCCTTGTGTTTAATAACTTGACTATTACGCTGACCTTGAAATAATAGCCCCATCTAGTGGCTACAGTGACATGGTGCAGCTCCCTGTTTTTTGCTCCTCAACATTCCCTGGGGATGTGATGCTAACTTTAAGCCCTGCTCTATCTGAGACTTGTTAGACTTTAACACATACACATACAATTATAGCCCCAAGTTTTTCAGTTACACACTCTCACATTTTTGTTGAAAATCAAAACACAAAAACAAGACCATGAACACTCGTATTGATCACAGGCTCCTGAAAATGTGTTCTAGAAATCCATTTTGCATTTCTATTCTTGAGTTTTCACACCATCATATCAATACTTATCAGGCTTTGTGAATGTGTGCCTTGTGTCTCTATAGTAACCACTGTACATTCCACAATACAGACACATGTAGAACACCCCGCCATAATGTCACTGCAAAATATCAATTAGGCTATAATTTGTAGTATACTTGCCTATTTCATATCACCTTCTAAATAACTCAGTTATAGATAATTTTCCCCTAAATAACCTAGATCTATAGCTTTTCTGACTTAAAAATAGCCTATATCAAGAAAGCTTAGACAAAGATGGATGTTCACCTCCTTTACATTCGAATTCAACTGGCCAAACCAGATCTACACAAACACCTCCCCCTGTAACAGTGATACTGAGAATGCTAAACAATATGTGAAAGCGAGTGAGACAGGGAGTAGGCTTTGTCCTCCTTCCAGACCAATAGAACGTCATATAGGTTTATATTTGGATTAATTTGGACTTGGCTGCATTAACTGCTTAATATGATGCAAATCTGAATAAATGTAGCACCATCTTTATGTTGCTTGTTTCCTTTAATGAAACAAATGTACAATATTTAGCAAAAATGCAAGTCTACCTGTGTAAGGAATAGCCAAAATGAAGTAGTGTTTGCCTCAAGATATCCTATATTACTCAGAATTGACTCTTGTCAGCTTCAAATGTTACTTCATCAAAAAACACATACCTTAAGTTGTGATTCTCACATGTTTGAGTAACCCTTTATTATGACTGTGTCCATCTCCAAAGCTCAAAATGCTCTGTTCCATCTTGTGTTTTGAAATTAACAGTTATAGTTCAGTAGAGATGGATAATTTAAGGGCTGAAATTAACCATATGATTTTAATGAAGGTGTATGGAGTTTAAAAACACACTGGAGCACTTGTATTACCACATGACATCACAAGGTGTTTTCTGTTTGAGCCTAAAAATGCAGGGCTTGTGAATGAAACAAAACATTCCAGGCATGTTTTTGAGAGGAAACAACATTAGATAGATAGATGAGAAAATAACGTAATATAAGCCCTTTGAGCTACAGGTCTATGGTTTCAACATTTAAGAACCTTTTTCCTTCCAAAAGATATAATATTTTGTTTTATATTGTTAATTGCTATGACAGTGGTCCAAATTTTTCATCATTCTTAAGCCCATGGTTAGGTTATTCCACACTTGAAACATATCTATTTAGACTGGCTTTAACATTCAGTATTGCAGTGACGCTTTGCACTATTGTTTTTCTTCATTGTTACATGTTTTGCATATTTTTAAATTGTGCAGTTTTTAATGTGAAGTACTTTGGATACCTTGAGAGTTATAAAGGGCTCTCTTTATATCTCTCTCTACATATATTCACTTCCAATCCAATCCACTTTATTTATGTAGCACATTTCACAAACATTTTCCCAAGTGCTGCACAAATGCATAATAACAACAATAATAAAAAAAAAAATGCTCAAATTTAGTCATACTACTCTCAAAATAATAAAACCAGTAAAATAAAATAAGCAAGCAAAAGCATAGAATATCAGTAAAATAAATCATAAATCCAATAAAATACATTAAAAATAAATAAAATTAATAAAAGACACAGAGTAGCCTATGCAACACTGTAAGGACTTTTCCACATTCAAAAGATCTAATATTTTGTTTTAAATTGGTAACTGCCAATTTCTCTCATTATTATGAAACCCATGGGCCTCAGGTCTGGGCCACGTGTGAGGCAAATCATGTACAAAGGTGTTGTCACTTTGCAGACTGGTATTATAGCCTAATGTATTTATTAGGCTACACGCAAGAGACCAAGACAGACATTAAGGCATCAGTGGAATGATATTAGGTAATTTATGACTCCATAAAATAAAAGCTTATGCAATAATGAATTGTGAGTGATGATTTCAGGCTGGTGGATCGTTTTAAGACCATTTTACAACATGTAACTGGAATCAATTTTAAAAGTTATGATGAATATCTTTCTGTTTAATTAGCCAAGATGACGACTGATGAGTCAAAAAAGTATGCCTATCTTTAGTAAATTAGACTGCCTCCAAATATTACATGCACTGTCAAGTAGCCTTACTTTATTCATAGGTTACAAATTCCTGTTATTTGAGATATTTTAGGACGTTTACTCATTCAAAATAAATAATTAGATATGATATTTTGTTTTGAATAGTTAATTGCATTGTTCCCCATTCTGATACCCAGGGATGAGATTAACTGTCTTAGCTTATACTTTTATTCATTATCCACCATTGTTTATGGTATTCTCGAGGTGTTCTCCGTATATTTTCCAGACAAATAAAAACTTAACGCCCATCAAATAGAGTCAATACCCTGTCGCACCTCACCAGCGCGCTCAGTGGCCATTTTTCACCGTGCCTCCCTTCTTCAAACCATGTTCCGACCTCTCCACTGTGCGCTCTGGGGGTGGGGCTTGCGCGCAGGGCAGGAAAAGTCTCCAGGCAGCTACGATGCAACCAGTCACTGCTGACGAAGGAAGAGGACACGATCACCTGTTACACTACTCAGACAACGGAATTTACAGTTTTATCAGCGTTTTTGTTCGTCAAGAGTAGTAGAGGTAAAAGTCTGCATAAATCATGACAGACGCTCTTTTACCGAACGGCATTAAAGACGGAGGAGGGGAGCGCAATTACTTCAAAAAGGTAAGCCTTCTTTACCACCACGACAAAAAAAAAAAAAAAGAAAAAAGTTGCTTAAAACATGAGCAAGTTTTATAACTAAACAAATCCACACGATTGTAGTTTGTTGTGGGTCCAGAACAAACGGAAGCTGCTTTGAATCAAGTTTGTTTGTCTGTTATCTCGACCAAAAGTTTGCTTATTTTGCGATGTGCAATTCGACTGTCAAACACATATTGCGCAAAAGTTTCTACTTCTAGCTCATTTAAAGATGTCTAATAATAGGCTATAACATAATCAAAAATCTGCAAAAATTTGTTGGCCTATTCAGTGATGTTATGAAGAGCCGAAACCCAGAGAGCTGTCACACTCAGGTGTCGCTGTGTGTGTGTGTGGGTGGGCGTGTGGTGCTGTGTTGGGCCAATAATAGCTTTATCTCGTGCGGTGAAACTGAAAGGCTATTCAGCTGGCGTCTCCATCATTCACCTTATCTGTTTCCTGACAGGGATGATGCCACTAACAGCTAGGCTATAGGGAGCGTTTGTTGGGAAACTCCATTTCTATCCCTTTAAAAGTGATCTAATGTCTGAAAGGTTGGTTTCTAGTAGTTAAGTTTTGTTTTGGAAATTGGAAGTTTTCAGCATGTATTCATCATGTTATGAAGAATAAAATGTAAACACACCTTTGTGTGACTGTTTTTCATGACCTCATAGATAAGAGAGGGCGTCAGCAATGACAATGTATAAATAGTTTCTACCATCTATGACTGCTTCAAATAGAATCCTGAGCACCATGTGACTACTGCTCTGGTGTCCTCATCCTTGTTGCATTAATAGAAAAGTATGTTTAGGTGGATATCTGAACTGGCTCATTGTGTTTTTTAATCCAGAGAATCCCCCTATAAAGGCTGTCTGGACCTCAGCTCCTGCTGCACTTCCTGTGGCTATAAAAAGGTCACTGGGAGCGAGGTTTTCTGCCACAGGATGATGATGCATCAGAACACAATATTATTGTATGACTTACAATAATGGAGAGCAACTCATTCACTATTACTCTCAGTTAAGCCATATATTACCACTGCTGCTAACTGTGTTACTGTAAAACAGTTCAGAGTCTTCATTTTCGTTATGGAAGCAGAATGAAAAGGCTTGCACATTTTCTCAAACCACAGTTACTCCCGATTGGCCATGTTAAAGAGATCTAGCTTTTGGAAAGAGTTTGGTCGCATTTAACCAACTGGAGCCTGGATGATCTTTGCCTCATGCTCAGTGCCCATCTCTGGATGAAAATGACACTAATGATTTACACGGCCTTGCTGGGGCTGCCTGTGCTCGGGGGAGCTGTTGTGGTTTGGGGCTCTCTTCCCACCCGTCCACTGTTTCACCTCCAGCTGGCCGGGGTCCACCTGCACGACTGCAGAATGGAAACATGGCAGCAGAAAGCCGAATTGGCATGTTTCTCCATTTCTCCTCCTTGGCCAATAACAGCATTGACGTAGAAATGGGCCTGAGGCCGTGCTGCTGCAGACCACAGACACAAATTGACAACATGTGTCTTGGTTTGCAGAGCTGCCTGGATGGGCTCAGACACACTGTAATCCCTCACAGGGCTTGGGTTTAAACTACTTCAGTAGAGTCTGGACTCCCATGATTTCATGTGCATTAGCTGTAAAAATGACTTAGAACACAAATATATATGTCATAATAATATTATTTTTACTTAGCATATTAAGGGCCTTATTGCACTGTGAGTTATTTAAAATGATCACGAAGCTTTGATTATGCAACAGCCAAATAATGAGTTGTCTGCTGGCCACAGTGAGCCCCTGGCTGCTCTTGTGCGCAGCTCTAATGAAGTGTTGTGTACACTTGTGAGAAAGACTGCACTGTGAGCCTGCCAAAGGGAACAGGGCTTCACCCACCCCTACTTGGGTTTACTAGGTTAGACATCAGCCTGGTACATAGTCAGGGGACCACGAGCACTTTCAAGTCTGACCAATTATTTTTAAAACTATAAGGAAATAAATATATAGATTATGGGAAGCTTACATAGGGCTTAGGCAAATATAACACCACACCTTGTCTCTATGTGTGTCACAGTTAATGTGGTAGGGTTGTTGATGTCAGAAATGACGTGTTCACTTTGCTCCACCTTTGTGTTTTATTGGAAGAGAATTCTCGATATTCCTTTTATTTGTTTAAGTAGTTAATCATTAGACTGGCAAGTTACTGAACCATTTGCACAGGAACAACTTTATGGTTATAGCTGAGGGCCAAATACGCAGGTTGTGACCCCATCTCAAGCTTTTGATCTGTAGTGTGGACAGTGGGTTAGTCTAATACAAAGAAATGGATGATTGTGATATAACACAAAATTAGAATCATGTTGTTTTTTTTCCTTTGCCTCTGTCATGTCATGATCTGGATTTTTAATTTTTTCATAAGTCATGTATTAAATTGTGCTTTATTTAGTCTTTAAGTGGGAGTTCAGTGGCTTTACAGTACATTTTACTGTCATTGGTTAAATCCTCCTCTTACTTGATGAGGTGGATCAGTAGGAGGAATGTCTGTGTTTGACCATAAAGCCAAGAAGCACAGAATCATGGTAAGCACCAAAATGACATAATGTCAAAAGGTTTTAATCTTGATTCAGTTTGCATCATCATATCACCCAGCCCAATTCCTACTAGTTGCTTTTGAGAGGTCACACTGCGATTGGTTAAATCTACCAATTTAGACTGACCAAGACTGACCAATAGGAGCACAGTGTGGGGAGTGTAGAGGACATGTGTCTGGCTGGGTATGAATCATAATATAACAATGTCGTCAGACTGGCAGGGACACAATTGGATAGAATATATATAGAATATCATTATTGCCCATCCACCTATTTCACAAATCAGTTTACGTTAATACAGAATCACATGTTATTTGTTTTTACTGACTTTTTGCACTGCTGTTGCTAACTTCCTTTATACCATTACAGCTTTCCTGTCACCTTAGCCTTTGTCAAGTAAATAACAGCAATTATGGCATGTTGCTGGTCATGAACTGTAACCCAACTGGTTTTACTGAGCTCATTTGTCTGCATCGTGCATTGTACACTACAGACCACACCTTCAGTGAGCTCTGAGTCAGTCTGCACAAATTTTAGGTTTCAAGTTTATTGTCTTTTAAATGGAGATCGATGTGTTGACTCTGGGAGCTTGGTGACAAGAAAACTCAGTACAGCCACACGTCACAAAGAGGACAATATTGACATTGTGGCACATGATGGTGATTCATGAGACCTTAATTATATTTAAGATGATCTGGCTCATCTTAAGGATTTTAAGTGAGAAAACCACAAGTAAACAAGTGATTCAGTTGTGTTTGTTTTGAATGTGACGCTGAGGGAAGACTAGTAGATAGATTAGCTCAGTGAACCACATTCAGTCCAATAAATATGCAAGTTCATGTATTTAATATTAAAATACTATAGTAATCCATTTTAATACCTTGCTTCAATTAAATGTGTGGCGATGTAGGTAATTGTGCAATGGGGTAATTAGTCAACTATTAAAACCATTAGATAAGACTAATGTAGTAATGGTCTAATTGGACAACATAGCCTCTAAAACTCATGCCAAATGACCTTTCATAATGCACAGTGGCAAAATACAATGAAAAAAAAAAAATAATATATATATATATATATATATTTTTTTTTCATAAATATATATATATATATATATTTATAATATATATATAATAAAATATAAATAATATATATATATATATATATATATTTAGATAGATATAGATAGAGAATTAGAGATATAGATAATAGCTTTTCTCCTCCTGTGACTCCTTTAAAATTGTGTGTGTCCATTTATATTACATTACATTTATAATACTGAATGTGTGTTTCCCTCTAGGGATGTAACCCTTTTGCACAAACTGGACGAAGCAAACTGCAAAACCAACGCGCCGGTCTGAACAAGGAGATCATCAAGCAAATGCGCTTACGAGCCGGGGCTGAGAACCTACTCAAGTAAGTTGTCAATAGAGTATTCCTAAAAACAGTTAAAACTAAAGCTCAAATTAAATACAGTTTTGCACAAAAAATAGATTTCTTACGTAATGGCAAAGACTATTCTAAGTCCCCTTGTCTGCCTTCACTATCCACTCAAGTCATTAGTCTGTCAGCAGTAGACACCCATAGTTGTCGGTGCGGTGGCTTTGTGAATGTGACCTCCAGTAAACTCCACTGGTTGGTTTGACAACTTTGGCTTGGCCTGCTTCATCATTCTGTCAGGGCTTGTCATCTGTTCTTGGCTCGATTTAAACAAGCTAAGCAAAGGGCTAGATGATATTATGTGATAGCAATCTTCATAGAGGCATTCCGTATAGTCCGATAACAAAGAAACATTGTGGTGCCACTGAGATGAATGGAGCCTTATCAAGTGGAATTTCAAAGAGATGGACTGCTACCGCTAAAGGAAATAGATATATATATTTTTTTTTGATAAATTAATGGTAATATTTGACATAAACATGCACAAAAAACACTGTGCTGTACATTTTTACTTTTTTGGAATAAAAGAATATTGAATATTGAACTTAATTCTGCTTTTAGAATAATCAGTACATCAGTTCATCTTTACATCTCTAGAGCAGTTCAAATACTTCAAAAAAGTTACAGTACTGGTGCTATAAGATGCAAAAAAAAGTTTTGATTACTTGGCTAGTTTGTCTTTAATGTTCATTAAAGCAAAAAATTGTTTGAGGCTGAAAGAAAGTCTAAAGCCCGCTCCTTTCATAGTCCATAAAATGCACAGAAAGTATATAATCCAATCCTATGTCCAATATTATTGCTGTGCTATTGTGATGTTGCCTGTATGTATAGTATCGGAAGTGGCCCTCTCGTTTTTCCCACAGGGATCGCCTTGCTGTGTGAGAGAGGATATGAGCTCTCATGCTTGTGTGTGTTGCGGACATGTACAAGCCCTCTGTCTGTATCAGAGACCTTCACATTCCATTAGCTCTTTTGTGTGTTTGCCTAAAGCTGGGCAGATGGGCACTGCATATTTCTGCCAGTCCAGCTGCAGTACAGACAGCCCCATACAGGTATGCCTTGAGATTTATTTGAAGTTCATAAATCAAAAAGGAGTTTGCCTCTGGTTCCATTCTTGGCTCTCCAGATAAGGGATCTTGAATCTGCAGGCTGTGTAAGTTTGACAATAAGAACAAGAACCATATATTCTGACTGTAAAATGCAGACCCTGCCCCCTGCCCTAAAGCAGCAGTATATTACAAATATAATGTATAAACTTAAACTTATAATCATCTAGTGTTGAATGTTTGTTTTGCTATTGCATTTTGCATCTGGTCTTATCACAATGTTATTTAATATGTTTTGCCTTAACTAGAGTGTTCTTAGGATGTTGTTTGTTAGTGGCCCACTCTGGTATGCACTGAGCACTCTACTCTGTTGAAATAGTTGATAAGAGTAAATGAAGGTTTGGCTTTTTATGGATTGGGTGGTTCATATGAATGTACAAAGTTAAAAAATTGTATAGTGATAAAGTTACTTGGATTTTCCTCATGGGAAAAGCAGTTAGATCCATGTACGACTCAGTATTATGTAACATCATCCTTATCTCTCCTGACGTCATAGCAAACATGCTTGCTTGTTTAATATGAAAAGTACTTTCATGGAAGACACAGTAGTCCAAAAATAATTTCTTGTTTGTAATCCGGGATAGGGGCACATATTAAACAGCAAAATTATATATGGTGTAACAGGTTTTAAGTATAGAGATTCAGTCAGCTAAACTCCCCCAAAATTCCTTACAACAAGAGGCTGAGGTTGTGTGGTCTGAATGCTAAGTAGTGGCTGGCATAAAGTCTGGGGTGGAGACATATCAGCAGTGATTAATGTGATAATGTGCTGTGGTCTTTGCTTGTAAAGAAACATTGCCTGCCAAACTCCTGATTTTGTTGGTTTTGAAATGTATTTACTGAACAACTGTTGCCATCAGCCATTTTAACATCCCATCTTTTTGTTAAGCATCACATTCAGTGTAATTATAGGTTAGTGAAAGCACACCATAAAACAGGCCTCAGCTAACACTGAGCATCTCCACTCTAACAGGTTTGACACGTGCGAGACAGAGATAAGGAAGTACACACTGCCACGGGCTCATGTAAAAGCCCTGTGTTTGCCTTTGTTGCCAAGGAGACTGTTTAACGCTTGTCCTAACCTTTAACCTCCTGACATGTAGTAAATTGGCCCTAATAAAGGATCTGCTTTGAATTGTATTGTTGGCCCATACACATGGTTATCTTGCTTTTTCAGGGAGCATTTGTTGGAGTTCTAAGAAAGACATTATTAACATATTTATCAAGGAAAGATGTATGGATATGTGGATTAGGGTTGTCAAACGTATTGAACTGGTATTGACAACAGACACTCATTTGAGTAGCTATCAATACTAAAAAGTCACATTCACAGGACAGAAATGAACCGTTCCTGAATAGCAGAATGATCTTGAGCTGTATCAGAACAAGTAAGAGACACAGAGACTAGTATACCCCCATGGTCCATGATGGAAAATACCTGGACGACTGATTACACAGATATAAGGCTGCATGGTTAAAAACTATGATTTAATGTTGAAAATTGCATTCTGTTGTCTAAAGAGTGTATTTTTTGTTTTAATTTTCATTGTGTTGTCGAAATTAGTATTGAGTATTGAATCTATTCCTTATTTTTGAAAATTGAGTTTGAAATTTTAGTATCGTAACAACACTAGTGTGGATTCAGATCATGATAATTAATTCATGAAATTCAGATCATAGCAAGAGATTCTGGATACCAATTTAAATTAAACTGGATAACTTCATTTATTGTAGCTGGAGATTTATCAGGTGATTGTTCTCAGTGTTAGTACACCTTATTATTACCACAATGACAATCCTAACTGTTCCATTGCATGATTGAAATTCAATTCTCTGCAGGAAGCTTGTCCGATGTAGGGTAAATGTGGGATTCACTGACGTAGTTCTGTGGCCCAAAGCACCGGCACATGTTTTAATAATCAGAAGCAGATGAGTTTGGCTTGCAGAGTGGATAATTAGAGGGGTCTTGTTTTATTATTTTTGTCATCTGGCTTGTTTTATAACTCCGGCTTGATCTTTCTTTATGTGCAGAGCTACGTCCAACAACAAAGTCAAGGAAATGGTTCTACTGGAGCTGAGCTACTGCAACTCTAACCTGCAGCTACTGATGGGGCAGCTGGAAGGCCTCAACAGCTCTGTGGAGGTCTACCAAAATACACAGTAAGTACTTTTACTACTATGCGCTTTACTAGTTTGTTCCTCGTTGCTTTCACTTTTACAAAGACAATGAGTTTAAGGGCCTCATTAAAAACCTGGAGTTGTGTTTTGTTTCATTCACACATGTTTTACACACCAATCCTGCATATTTAGGTATTTGAGTTCTTCTCCCTATTCAAAACACTCTTGTGATGTCTTGTAGTAATACAGGAAGAGCTCCATTGATTTTTTTAAACCCCATACACCTTCACTAGAATCATTTGGATGATTTCAGACCTGGAATTGCCAATCTCTACTGAACTAAATGTAAAAGGTAGTAGCCGTTTATTTGAAAACTACTGCTACATGACATCACGAGGTGGAACAGAGCATTTGGAGCTTTGGAGATGTAGAGTAGACAGATAATGATAAACGATTACTCAAACATGTGTGAATGAAATAAAACACATCTCTGTGTGTGGTAATGATGAGGTAACAGCATTATAACATGGCTTAAAGCTTGCACAGTCAATTTTGCGTAATATATGATCTTTTAAATGGAGTAAAACAAAAACAGGCTCTGAAATAGACATGCAGGGAAATGTAATGAAACAATTGTGGCTTCCTTCGGTCATACATCAGTAAAATCACCACCAGATTGATTAAAGGTTTGCTCTTAGGCTGTATTGTGTGCCCATGCTAAAACGTACCCAACCACTGCTTTCATCTTAACCATTTCACCCATAAGCAAACCACAAAATGCTGTCATTGTCTTCCTAAAAGCATCTCTCATTGCAACCCCAGAGACTGCTAGTGACCAAAGTAAATGTGCAAAAAACATGGCTGATCAGCTACTTAGAAAGGATAGCTCTGGTAATTGCGCAAAGTCAGAGAGAGGAGTATACTGAACATACACAGATGAGTTTGTTGTTGTCAAACTAGATCAGCTGGTTTTCAAGAATGAAAACAAAAACCGCCTGGCTCAGTGCTTATGTTAATGAATTCTTCTCAGAGGTGCTTGATGATCAGAGCTGAGGGCGTTGCTTTTCCAGGGCATTCTTAACTAAGACTCAAGCCAGCATTAGTGGTGAATGGGGCAGCTACTTTTAATTAGAATGTGCATGTTTATAGCTTGTCATTAAAAATAACTGGCGTGACTAAAACGGATATTATGTTGAATGTATTAAGAACTGGTGTCATCTATGTTGTGACTTTTTATTTTATAGTATAGAACTAGACCAGTACTGGCTGTGGTGTCTTTTGATTTAGTAGCCTCCAGGTGGTGTTTCGTCTTTAAGAGCACTTGAGACTGCAATAAGCTCATGTTTAATTCACAAATAAATGCATGGACACAGGTTACAACCAATAGTGGAAAATGTAAAAGCCCCAACGGGACAAGTAACATCTGAAGAAGAGCCGTTTTCTCCTCAACAGCGTTTCTAAGGGTCTGTAGAAGGATTGTTGTGAGGTGGTAACTATGGCAACCAATCAAAGGGTCTGATACAAATTTGCCATGGCCAAGCAAGCAGCTGGGCTTATCATAGTGTGCTAAACAACCCTTTGTGTGTAATGACTACGAGTCTGTTTGTATGGTTGCTTTGCTAATTTAAACATCAGTCTGCTTAAGATCTTATAAAACTCTGTATCCCAACTCACACTGATCCGGTCAAATGTGTTTGTTTTGAGGTCCGGAGGTCTGAGCAGCCTGAGCCAGCAAGGTTTAACCTGGTTTTGATAAATTATTAATGGAGGGCAGCATACAGGACTCAGTGTTTTTTGCTCTGATTATTTTTTTTTCTTTGAGGAATTCAGGGAGTGAAAATATTAGTGTGAGAGAGAGTTTTAAGATTTTTTTTATTAACTGTTATACTTATACTGTTATACTATGGACTAGAGCTGTAACAATAACTGAAATATCGTGATATCGTGTCATCAAACATCACAATTTCCTTAGAGTTAGTTAGTTAGGATGCATTGTTTTACAGCTGCAATAGCTAATAAACATCGGGAACTGCATATCCCGTGATTCATATCAGTGCAGACAACATGAAGAAATATGTTTTTACTTAAATTCTTGGTATTATGGCAGTAATGATTCACATCAAAATATCAGCCTCTCCAAAATATCCCAATAAATATTGTACCGTGAGATACATATCGTGATAATATCGTAATGTGAGATTTGGATATTGTTACATCTATACTTTAGATGTCTCATGCTATACCTGTTCTGATAGATGCAAGCCATTCAGTATCAATACAATTTTTAATAGTATTTAGTATCTGGGGAAGGTTTTTTATTTCATCACCCCAGTTTGGTCTGTGTCATAATTTGTACTAGACCTACAACTTTTTATTTGGCACAAAACTCCACTTGCAGTCACCGTGTGGTTTCACAAGATCTCGTCAAGGTCTTTGCGTCCTTGTCAGCCGGGATCTTACCAACAAGAGTGGGACTAGTGTGAGAGAGTTAAGCTTCTTGTCTGTCATGTGTCGGAGAATAACACCTGTCTCATCTGAAGACAATGAGCCCTGTGTGGCCCTCAGTGATTCTATCTACTGAAAACTAAACCCCGGTGTAGAACAACAACAGAACAATCCAGCAATTACGAAGGACAGGCTGATCATCTGAGAAAGCATTTTGACAGCATTTCACACCAATCACTTAGTAGTAGCCACAAATGGAGAGGCCACAACCACTTACCTAAAATGCAATCTGATCCAGTGGGACCAAAATACTTTGTAGTTATCAGTTTTGCTGTTAGGTAATAAATAACACGCAGTATAGTCTACAGAGGCACGTGGTTCGTTGGGGGTGACCTTGGCTAGAGGAGCTCACCTAAGCCAATAAGAGCAAAGGTTACTCACTGTTTGTTAATAGGAGGACCATTTTCACTTTTACTTATATCAGTACAAAACAGAACTTTATTTTTTTATTTATTACTTTACTACAAGTGAGGTTTAGGAGTGTGAAGACTAATCATTTATTAAGTCAATGAATTATAAAAATGACATCGAGCTAAACAAAATAATGGACTTTTGGGAACTATATCTTATTTAAAGGCTCTATATAATGCTATATTCTAATCTATGTTGTAAATTAATTTCCTCATCTAAAGCATACACGGAGTTGTGTTTTTGTAACATGGCATAAAGCTCACAACAGTTAATTTTGAGTAATATAGGATCTTTAAATTTATTCTGCAAGTTAACCAGATAGTAAATATCAATATATTTAATTAAATAATGACTCTCTTATACAATTATGACACAACCATATAATAATGTATGGTATGTTTCTTCTAACTTCAAAACCAAATTTTGTCAAAGTTAAATTATAAATATCCGTACACCCTTCTTGACCCAGTAGTTTTAGTTACTTGGAGCTTTGAGATAGTGCTTGGCTGGCAGTGCCTGTTCCATGTCATGCACACCAGCTCTTTTAAGTAGTCTTGTGAAGGTGTTTCGTGTCTGTGCTGTAGGGCAGTGAACTGAGTGGCTTTTAACATTTTACTTTCTCAACACAACAGATATCCTCTAGCCTTAGCTTCTCTCACCCTCCAAGCTGCAACAGATCACACCAAATCCCCTGTCCTCCCTGTTTACAAATCATTTTTTTCCATTTTGTGTGCATGTGTATTCAGAAGCCAGCCTTGCCAGAGGAATTTTGCCTTATCATCAAAGTGATTAATGCTTCAGAGCAGATTCCCGCAAAAAGACCGTGGTTTTGATGTCTTGTACTGTGCTCATGATCTTTTTGTCCATAGTGATATGTTTATCTTGATTGTGGACATATTTGCTCTTCAAGTTTAGTATTATTATTATAAGTATATTTTTGGCAAAGTGTGTATTTTTACTTTTGTATATTTAAATATTGTTTGGGATTGTTCAGGAACGTATCCAGTAATTTAGTAAGGTTTACCAAAAGCAAAAATGTGTAGTGTTATATTGTTTTCAGTTCTTATTTTTAATCATCAATTTTACTTAAATGGAAGCCTAATAGTTGCAAGTTACAAGACAATTTAAACATGCCAAATTTTCCTGCATACCTCAGTCTGACATTTATTGTAGCATTATTTGTCACATGTAATCTTCTTTGTGTGCTCCTAGTGCAACTTAAACTTTAAGGGAGACATTATGTAAAATACATGAATCATTGTCCTCTGCTCAAGACTCTAGTGCTCAACTTCCACCTACACCCTGTCTATAAGTCACACATGTTGGGTTAAAAAATGCCAGACACTTTTTTTTTTTAAACAATTAAAACACATAATAAAAATTTACTACTCACTATGGTAAAATGCTAGAAGAAGAAGAGACACGGCCTCTTAGCTTTACAGTTTTGAACAGGAAATCTATGGACCCTTTTCTTTTAAAGCCATTTTAGAAAAATATTATGTTACAGTTTATTACTAAATATATGAAAAAACAAATATCTTCTTTTAAATCACACTGACAGCATAGTTCTTCTGCAATCTATTCCAGGACACCTCAGACTCCTTACTGTCTTTTTTATAGACTCTTTGTCATTAGCAGTAGGTATGTGTCAGGCTATACTCCCTCTGCTTTAACATCAAGATAAACCTGCTCTCCATCTGTCAGCACTCCGCACCTTTTACCCTCAACCTAAAAACTTCAACCTTTAACTGTATAGGAAAAGTGTATCAGAGTATGATAGCTGATCATTTTGACCATATGTTGAGGTCAAATGCAGGTGAGGAGGGTGTATTGGTGGCAGATGCTAATTAATTAAACCAAGCAGGACTTCATCACTGATTAATTAGAGCAGTGAGTTGTGTGGCTTTACTCGACAATTAAGAAGTATACGCCCCATTCACCTTCTAATCCTTAACTCTGCAATGCCATCTGCCTAATCCAGCCTCACCACAGGGAAACCCAACATAACCCAACACACCCAGCATTAGATCCATTATATACCTGTCTAAAAGTATTGACTGCTCTTATTGCATGCAGTGTATTATTTTGCGCATAAAGATGTAGTGTTTTTTTTTTTCTTGTAAGATATTTAAACTTTAAGATCAGTAGTTAATCCTCCAGTTAAGTACTCTTGACCAGCATCCGGGCGCTGGTCTGTTATGTCTCACTGCTCCTGACAGCTCAGCACAGGGGTGGGAAGAAATCAAGAATATTTTTTGTGTGAAACTGAAAAAAAAAAAAAAAGATCCTGCTTGGACACAATAATTAGTTTTCAGTCAAGTTTAATGCACCTACAGGGAAGCTACACTATATAAAATGCTGCTAATACTGCATTATGGAAAGTCTGTGTTTTTGTATATGTCCTAATAAACATGATAAACAAATATTTCTGTTATTTTATTTACAGTATTTATTTATTTTTTACCATTGGGCCAAAAGACCCAATGAAGACGGTGAAGATGACTCTATTGTGGAAAGCAAACTTTAAAATGTTTTACGTCCTTTAATTTATTAGCAAAAACAACAAATTTTAGTATGATATGTTTAAGGGAGGCTGCATTTGCCATATTAGGATCAGAAAAGTTTTGTTTTATAAAATGGGTGACTGACAAACTACTACAATAGACAAAAATTTCTTGTGTCTCTGTCAACAGGGAGACGGCCAACATCCCTCTGATTGCTCTAGGCCTCAAGGAAACTAAAGAAGTGGATTTTTCTGCTCCGTTTAAGGTAATTGATGTCCTTCATAGGTAATTAAACCAAGAGGTGACCTGGTCTGCCCCCTATGCATCTGCTACTCTGTAATTATTGATATAACAATAATCGAAATGGTGTGATATTGTATAGTAAAAAGGCTCACAATAATATAGTGGGCCATCACTATATATCAAAATACAAATCTCTTTGCTTAAATTAATAGTTATGGTGATTTTAATGGATTTCTAATTCTGTAAAGTACTGTGAATTTCTTCGTAGTGCAGCAAAAACAGAGGGAACCATGTAAACTATGATTTTTTTCGTCTTGTCAGTGAAGAAATTACTGCTATTAAGCACTTTAAAATTTTATTTCTTTATATTACAGAATCAAAACAGAATCAAAAGGAAAAGGAAAAGTAGCATATTCACAATTTTGTAAGGCTCCACAAATAACCACAAAAAATATTGTACCATGAGATGCATATTGTGAAAATATCATATCGAGATATTTTGATATCGACATCCCTACCTAATAATAACTTGTACCTAAAATATTTGTTTACAGTCAAATATTGGCCACTTATTTGCTAAGGTGCTGCTGTGTTATTGAACTGGTGTTAATACCACATTTATTCTCCCAACATGCTGGCCCACTTGGCAAGCATTGTGAGATTCGATAATCTTTCATCCTTATAATACTGTTTACTGGTAGCTTGGTTTAAAAGAACAGGTGTCACTTACATCTGGCTGTGAATTACCTGCCAACATTGCACCTTCTTTTAAGCTCAAATACATGTGGATGATACAATGGGGATGTTTTTTTTTTTCCAGGATTTTATTATGGAACACTACAATGAAGATGGGAGAAGATACGAGGATGAGATTGCAGACCTGATGGACTTACGGCAGGTAATAAAAACTAAGATGCTATTCCAATGACTGTTCAGGGCAGGGAACTACAGGAAATGCTTGTCTGAGAACTCTGATACTTAGCCTAAGGGTGTTGGAGAAACCGGAATACAGGTTCAACGTTATATTTCCTGGTGCGGACTTGGAATTTATAGCAATTTTATTTCCTGCTGTTTGTCCACTTATATAGGCCTATGTAGTTTAATAACATTTCAGAACTTAGAACTGGGAGTTTTGATATTTTGATTTTATTGTTGATATTAATTATTATGTGTTTAAAAGCAATATACCTTATTATAACAGTCTTCTAAAGGTGAAAAACAAAATGAAGCAGTTTGCAGTGTCCCAAAGTTGTTCCTTACTTACTGAATGCATTCCTAATATCCTAATTATTCACCACAATTAGTGTATGAGCAATTTTCAGAACTTTCAGGGGCCAGAGAAGAATTTTGCCATCAAAGTAATGCTAACAACAACTAGCATGCTAACAGTGCAGTACCTCTACCGCGACTTTAAACATATATATGCACCTGTGTATATGCCGGGAAAAAAAACAATCCTGGATTTCCTAAAATGACCTAATGCACCTAAGTTCTGTCTCGTGTTAACCTTATGCCATCTTATAATGAAAGCGTTTTTAAAGTAAATATTTTATTAAGGTGTGGGCAGTGAATACATACACACCTGATCACTGCGTTGTTATCTGATAGCGTGTCTTCTGTGTTATATCTAGGCATGCAGAACACCGAGTCGAAATGAGGAGGGAGTGGAGCTACTTGCAAAATACTTCGCCCACCTTCCCCTGGTAGAGAGTAGATTCTTCTCCCCTTCTCGACAGACAGGCATTTTTTTCACATGGTAAGATACTAGATTTGTTGTTTACCATCAGGACAGTGGTCTGCAATAACCTGTTGAAAGTATTCTTTAAAAAATGTACTAATCATAATAGTTTGGCAGGTTTTTCAGGTTATAAATCTGACATCCTGGTTGGAAATTGTGACATCAAACTAGGGAATTCCTTAGCTGTTACCTAGCAACCATATTGTACACTATGCCAAAACTCCTTAAATGTACTCAGACATTAATATTTTCCAAATAAAAATATAACAAAACACCTTTATTTTGTTAAAATTATGTTGCAACTAACAGAAAAATATGTTTCTTGCAGGTAAATTGATGTAAACTAATTTTTTGTATAGAACTCTTCCTACCATAATGTCATCAATGTGGATCTCTCTAACTCTCCATTTCCTGTAATTTTCAGCATATTTTTCAACCTTTCTTCACAAATTGCTTCTTAATCAGTCTAAAACTATAATTTAAACATGTATTATCCCACCAAGTTAAGTCAAAATTAGAGAATGATCAAACCCTGTCACACGCACTGTAAAGCCCTGTGCATAATAAGTCTTTGTTTGTTACATGAGCTGACACTTGGCACCTCCCCCTTGTGCAGGTATGACTCGTTCACTGGAGTGCCTGTGTGCCAGCAAAACCTGTCATTGGAGAAGGCCAGTATCCTCTTCAATATGGCCGCCCTGTACTCTCAGATTGGCACCCGCAGTAACAGACAGACTCCAGAGGGACTGGAAGAGGCCATCTCATCTTTCCAGAAAGCTGCAGGTATGTAGAGGAGAAAAACAAGTTAATAGATTTCTTCTGTGAATTTTTATTTGCAATTATATGTTTAGAAATAATTCAACAAATTATTCAACAGAGTTCATTAGTTCTACTAATTTCTCTGAGCTGGAGCTGGCTGTAGGGATTCAGTGGGACAGTAATAAAAAAGTGAAACTATTTCCTGTTGATCTTAATAAATAAAGAGAACATACAGTATCTAATAGCACAGACATGATGCAATAGTTCAATATGTGCTAGTAGTCACCTTCCTTTCTTTGTGATAATGACCAAGAATGCTGTTGATTCTTAAGCTGTTACATGAATAAGTTACATAGAAGCACCTGTCCTTCATGTTTCATAGCCTTCGTAGCAAGTTCTGATGGTTTTCAATTGGCTACTCACTGTTTCTAGGAATAAACATGCAAATGCAATTTAGATAACATTTCTTCACATTTCTCATAACATTCTTGAGACTGACGTCTACCTTTGTACCAGGTACATTACACCATCTCAAAGAGACATTCACCCACACTCCCAGCTATGACATGAGCCCAGCCATGCTCAGTATGTTAATCCGGATGATGATCGCTCAGGCCCAAGAGTGCATTTTTGAGAAGACTGCTCTACCGGGGATCAGAAACCATTTTTATGCTCTGTTAAAAATGGCCCAGGAAGCTTCAAAGGTATGTAAATATATTGTTTTTAAACTTTAACATAAAGCAATAGCATTTATATTTTACCACGCATTTTTGTTTTTTTAACAGGTGTCAGAAATCTATGACCATGTTCATCAATACATGATTCAGACCCCTATTAAAGACAATGTGCCCCTGTTCTGGTCAACTATGGCACAAGTGAAAACTAACCACTACAGAGCTGTGGCCCACTACTTTGTGGCCTTGGCGCTGTTGGACCACCAGCGTAAGTAATCACTCTGAATCAGTATAGGAACAGTAAAGTAAGTCAGTTTACAGAGTTATTTAGCTACAAATATAGCAATTTCAGAGTCCGTTAAATATGATTTATAACTGTATTCTTTAAATATTAAGTTACTAAGTTGTATAGTTTGTGTTGCCTTGTTTTGCTATGTTATAAACCTTTGTTTTTCCAATGGGCTTTATAGGCCACTGGGTTGGTCATGTCAGATTACCGCACTGAGCCACAGTCAACCACAATGTCATTACATAACAGCTATTTAGAGGAACACATTTGAAAAAAGTCTCTTTTTCCTAGAGCTAGACTGGACAGACATAGACAAAGATAGTAGAAGAGTTAAAGGGAAAGTGAAATACTGGCATGAATAAGGGATTTAGCGGGGAGTACTTTGTGCAGTGTGAATGAATCTTATGGCAGTCTACACGATGAAGCAGAATAAGGTACATGGGCGAGGGGTAAAATGGGGACACGAACTTAGAAAAGCAGAAAACTGCAATGCACCTAAATACTGTATAATTGCTTCATTAGTTCATTGTGGTAAAAAAATACCGCAAAAGGGTTAGTGAATGGCTGATCTTTTTATTCAGTGCTATGAACGTATTAGGTTTTGAATTAGAACCGGCAGAGCAAGGCCTCTGAGTTTGGCAGCTCATTAGCAGATTCCTGTGTCAAGGAGAAGAATAGGACAATTGAGCACTAAACCTCGGTGGAGATACAAAAAGAACAAGAGCATTTTGAAGAGATTAATTTTTTTAAACTACTTGAGTTTAATGTAAATTAGCATGAATTTCATGCTAAACTACAAGTTTTTTTTTTTTTTTTTTTTATAAAAGATCTAATAGGATATTCATTATTTCCACAGGTCATTCTATTAACTAACAATTGTAGCCTTATCAAATTAAATGTATGTCACTATCAACTTAAATTTGATTTGATTGCGCAGCCTTAAAATATTATAATATTTCCAATCCTTTTTTGTTATAGTTGGAGCACAGGATGATGAAGACCAGCAGGAGAAAGCCTTGTCACAGGTCTATGATCACATCCCAGACGGACGCACTCCTCTGGACATCCTGAAGAGAAGAGAGGAGCGTGAGAAGATTGGTAAGTCTAACACTAAACACAAAATATAGTATTGAGTTGTTTTTTTTTAAAAAATTCATACAAATTTGGCAGCTACACAAAACAACAGCCGATTTGCGTTAGTGGCAATGCTAGCAAAACTTTCAACAACATATATTCATATATCAGATTAAGGTTAGGATCAGGGTTAGATTAGGACCAGGTAATTTGGTTAAATTAAAGGTTTTGGGGTCTTGGTAGAACTGAGCTGTAATTTGTCAGAAATCAATTTACAAGAAGGCTAAAGGTATGAGTTAACTGTAATTAATGGATCACCTAAATAAATATATACAGGACAACTGAACCCTAATCCTTGCACCAAGAGTGAATGCCAAACTTTTAGAGAGTCCCAGTATTGATTCTTTTTATTGACTACCTTCTCTATTCTCTCGTCAGGTAAAGCACACATTCGCCGGGCCATCCTGTGCCATGAAGAAGCCTTGAGGGTTTACAGTCTGTGTCTCCACTTGAACAAGCTGGAAGTGCTCCAAGAGATCCTGAAGGCCAGTTTGCAGCGCTCTGTGGAAAAGTCCAGTGCACACGAAGAGGAGGAGGAGGAGTTCACGGATTACATGGAAGCCCCCGACATTATCTGTGAGTTTAGTATTTCACAGAACAAACCTCCTGGAGCTTGATCACTGAAGCATACAGTTTGTTCTGAATGTGATGTTGGTGCCAGATTGATTCATGGCATTGACAAGAAAAATGTCCCATTTAATCTTAGGAGATACTGTGAGCATGGATCATTATTAAAGATTAAAGATTAGTGTGGTATGCATGTTCAATTGCGAGTGTTTCTCAAAAGCATTTTTCAAAAGCAGCCATTTTGTATACCATGTCTTTGTAATGTGACCTTTATTTCCCAGTACAGATGATGTAATGTTTACACTGCCAACTCCTAGTCAACACCTGAAATATGCCATTGACTGTAAATACACGTGAATGATTGTTATGTTTTCATCTTTATAGCTAAGACTGAGCACAAAGCAGAAATGGAGATTCCTGCCACCATAAAGGTGAAAGTCATCGACTTTTTCCAGAGGCTGGTATGTGGGATACTAATTTTCTTTCACTCACATTTCTTTTTCAACATATTGGTTGGTTTGTTTAGAAATAACACATATTTGGTTCTTGTTTCAACAAAAGATGAAATTTGTGTTTCTGAATAAAACCAACCAAGAATGGTTTTCCTGAAAGCTTTGGTTTGTTTTGCCAACAGTTAACTCCAGAGCTTCCAGGACTCATTCAAACAAATGCAAAACTAACTATTAACAGTGGACAGTGTTACGCTGGTAATGTGGGAAGTGTCTTGTATCTGTCACAGTGGTATATTGGCCCTTTATTATAAACTGTCTTGGAAATATTTGAAGAACAATTTGTTTATTTTCCATGCCAGTTTAATGACATCTTTTATTGAACTGAAGCTTTATTTCCTTTGAGCCCGTTGTCATGCAGGTTGGAGGTTGAAGGAGGCAGGGCCAGTGACAGCAGCACAAAATATATACAGCCCCTTATCCTATAGATTAAAAAAAAAAAGACTATTTACTGTTTATTAGATGAATTAGCTCAGTATTTTCAGAGTAAAACTCAGGGACAGATAAAATACTTGATGTTATTTACCTCTAGGACTCAGTAGCAGATTACTAATTGTACTATATTTTATGATACATGGTTAAATTGAACAAACTCTTGACTATATACTGTATGTTTATTGATTACACCTTGAAGAGGTAAGATTGATCTAAGATGTCAAATGTTGGAAACTGAAACTTGGCCTCTATAATGATTAAAAAAAAGCACCTAACCACTTTGCTTTTACCTGACACAGGGCCCATTGTCAGTCTTCTCAGCGAAACAGCAGTGGACAGCACCAAGGACAGTCCACATATGTCCTGAAGACCGTGACCTGGGCTTCACTCTAAAAGGAGAACCTCCAGTCCAGGTGGTCTCTCTGGATCCGCTCTGCACAGCAGCCGTGAGTGGATTCATTTGTTAATATTGCCATGTTAATATTCACTTTCATAATTTATAAATCCCAAATCATAAGAGTTTATATTCATCATTTAGCTATATTTGCAACTCATGCAATTTCTTTAATTATAATGTGTTCAGTCTGTAAATCCACATGTTTGGGTCCAGACAAAGACCAGATTGTATTAAGGTTTGTAGGTTACCCAAAATAACAGCTTTATAGTGGTTTAAAACATCTAGGTCAACTTCAGCCAGCTCTCGTCTACATACAACTAGCATTATGGTGACTGCTAATCAGAACATCAAAACAGATTGAAAACAACTTGGAGATATTTTGTCCACTTGTTTTAGTATCTTCCCTAAAGGGGTGCCATAATTTAAAGTTTCTCTTCCACACAAATGCCAGATTCTACTTGACCAACAGGGCTTTGTCTGTCTGCTCCTGTTGGCTGCAGTTTGTTTTAGGAAAGTAGGTGAACCTGAGATGGGTGCAATTCAAACAAACCTTGTAGCATAAATATTTGCTCGATCTGCCTGTGTCAGCGGTTAGACTTACTGCTCGATTAACACCTGGACTTTGTTTTTCTTTTTTCAGGAGGATGGTCTAAAAGAGGGTGACCACATTGTTGCTGTGGGTGACACAGACTGCAAATGGATGGGTGTTGGTGACGTTATGCGCTTACTGAAAGATGTTGGTGAAGAAGGCATTGATATCCAAGTTGTTAGCATGATGGACTCCAATTCTGCTATGGTAAGAAATGCTTACTTGAACATGACATCTAAATAAATATATTTTGTGGGAGAAAGAATTTGGGGAGGAAGGGTATGTCTGAGGGTATGTTCTGAGACACCCTAAAACCAATAAATCCTAACTGGTTATTCTTTTTTTTAATTTTCCAGCCTACAAAAAGTGCAACATTCTCTGGCAACCTTCCAAAAACCTACTCTATGATTTGCCTGGCCTATAATGATGATGACAAACATCCCAAGGCAAACAAAGTGAGCAAGAAATCATCATTTTTGAGTTGGGGTATCAAAAACAAGCTGAAAAGTACCAGCACCCTCAGTCTCCCTACAGCAGACCAGTCTGTTTCCCAGCCCTGGAATAAACCCTGTCCAAGTTTCCCTAGAGCTAGTTCACACAACAATGACAGTCTCTAATACTGACAAAGTCTTTAGTCTTCTGTATTGTAGCAAGTAAGGCAGCCTACTATAGTGTGCCTAGATCTGTGTATACTGTGTGTACTCTCTACTGGCCTGTATGTGGTACAGTTCTGACTCATTCTCTCCCATCATTATAATGTAGCTCAGTTAGTCACTTGTTTAATGATGACATCATGGCCATTTACCTTTTTATGCACCACACAGCAAGGCTCATGTGTAAATGTCAACTTTGTTATCTGAAGACTGTCAAACTGAGCAAATGTTCTGTACCATGTTACATCACAGTAAGTGCTACCACTGAGAATCAGACCAGTTATCAGTATGGTGTCTTACACGTTTTGGCACATTCCACTCAAACAAACTTAAAATGACTTAAATATTACTACTCATGGTAAATTTGTGAGTCTAACCTCTGTGCTGACAATGTAATATACTGTTGGTTAGTTTTTTTTTTTGTTTTAGTCATTGTACGTCTCTCTCACCCTGGGAAAGACATTTCATTTTCACATCAGTTATTGTCAAATTGTCAGTGTGTTTTAGGATTAATTTTTGTCTTTATCAAATGAATATGTTAAACTGATATTCTTGTACATTATATAGTGCAAGAAATATGAATATCAATGCAAATTTGTATAAGCTGCTATAGCGGGCATATAGAGAATCTGTTATTACTTTGGCCACTTATTTATTTCCGAGTCAGCCGAGTCAGTCTCCAGTGTGCCATACATCTGTAGATTGACGAAGGTATTCTCTGTTGATTGATGCCACTGACCAAAATGCCTCTGTGTCCTTTTATGCTAGGAAGGTTAAAAACTATTCATTTTACATTAGCCATTGCTTGTATTTTGTCCCTACTCTGTGGCACATTGTCCATAACGATATAAAAGAATGATCGTGCATGTTTAAATGTGAACATACAGTTATACTGTAGTTTTTCCCTAATGTGCTTGGAAACACTATAAATATTACTTTTTAATTAATTTTACTGGCACTTAGTAGTGTTGGAATATTTCTTTGTCTACAAAGTAGATCATTATATACATTTGATAATCAAATTATTTATGTTAAAAATTAAAGCAAAAAAAAAAAAAAAATCAAAGAAAGAACTATGTAAGTTGGTTTTAGATTTGTAGGTGTATTTGTCAAGTTGTCTTTTTTGCACAATTTTTCTTTTTTTTTTTTCAGTTTCAGTTTTTAAAGACCAAGTTAAAATGTGTATGCAAAAATGCATTTTTAAACACTGAGAAGACCTTTTTACGGTTTCCCTTATGTCTTAAGTGCTATTGATGCTAAATGAAGGAAACTTTTTTTTTAATTCTATTCTATAGGCTGCTATACTTTAATGTTACTTTCTTTTATCTTTATATGTTACTGGTGTTAGTGCAGATCAGCCTAATAGCTTAAATGCCTACAGTTTCCAATTGTCTAACTCTTGCATCTTATTTACTTTGTCACATTCTTAACAAAGATTTTAATAAATGACTAAATAAAGGGATCAAATATCCATTGTGTCTTTTATTATTTTTTGTTTTTTGTAATGTTTGGCCATCCCTGTTGCCATAAGCATAGCTATGAATAAGACAATGTCTAAAATCTGTTTTTTTTTATGTGTAGAATTAAAGTTTTGTTGTCTTAAAGAGCCTATTCTAAAAAAGTGTAACCAAGTCTTGAGGCCTAAATAAACCTTTGTAACTGTAAGATTGCTGGGTTGTTATAGGTCAATATTATTAAAGGGGCAGCTAACATGTGCTTTGTTAAAATGTAGATTTTTGTTGTAAAACTAAGATCCCAGGTCTAGTCTGATGATAAAGTTAAATCATAAAGATAAATGATGAAGTCTGACATTTTTGCATTTAACTTTAGAACTTTATTTCATGGCAAAGTACAATGTAATCAGTAGGGAAATCTAGCTCTTGCCTCCTGTCTCGGTGTGTGACATCATTTTCTGTGACCTGAAAACTACCAATTCATATTTACAACCCAGGAATACTGCAGTGTTTCAGTGTTAATGAAACCATTGAAGTACACTGAGGTAGATAAATGCTGCTCCCTGGTGGTTGGGTGGGACTTGACAGCAAAAAAGCCGTTGCTAAGTGGTTGTAACAGGCCACTGATTGGCTGTTCATCCTTATTTCTGCCAATGAGCTTCACTTTTACTGCGAGGTATCTCCTGGGCCACTAGCGTCTACAACAACACGTATCTGTCAGCCTGTTGAATGTGGTCTACTCTGGCGTTTGGAATACTTTGATTTCAGACATCAGAAACATTAGGAAGATTTTTATGGTACAACTATTTGGCGAAACTCTGAAGAAAACGCCACGTGGTCCGCAATGTTAAAATTTAGCTTCAGGAGGGATAGAGAGAAGGATTTTGTAAGTAGTAGTCTTGTGCAAGTTTGCCATTCAACGCAAGTTTAAACAAGATTAGCTTTGTCGCACCTACTTTAGAGAAGTTTGATTATCGTTGTATTTGTTGTTTTTATAATGTCATGCAGTTACCCTTTTACTAACGAATGTTAACTCATAGACACGTTTTTCAGTGACTTTCTCTCTCAGCCGCATAGACTGTATTCTCAACCCCAACATTAACAATATATGTGAAGCTTCTAAGTAATAATGTCCTGTTCTATTGTCTCCTTATTTTATTGTGCTTAGAAACATATCAGCCATGGTTTAATCCCAGCTGCCTCCATAGCCCCCAAACCTGCAGTGCCTCGTACCCCTCCCCCTCGCAGTCCAGCCCCCTCACCTGAGAGACCCAGGTACCACTGACATTACCCTGCATGCGTAGTGTGCCAACCCTTTCTTTTCCTTTGTCACCAAATTAAAACGTTGATGGGCCACAGGAATATTATTTCTTGTTTTTATAGGTCTGCATTGGCAGCAGCTATTCTGTCTTCTTCGCTCACTGGGCAGACATGGGCACTGCCTCCTACACGTCCAAGGTCTTTCACTGAAAGTGATCCATCTGATTCTGTGAATTATGAACCAAACGGGACAGAACAATATGAACGGTAAACCATCATCACACCATTAAATATACTACTGATTGCAAATGAATTTTTCTTATATTGGCTTCTCGTGCACTATTTAATGCATAATATGTTTTCTCAAAGTGCAACAAATAGACCATTATTTCTCTGTGGCTGTGGTAAAGTTTTTCTGTAGCAGCAGTAGATGGGCAATGGGAATACTATTGTTTCTGGAGCACTTTCCCTGTGTGGCTTGAAAAAAAAAGTGAGTTTAGAATTCCTCAAAACCGAAAACTTTTGCACAATCCAAAGAGCCAGGCATATTGAAACCTTTATTTTTTCACCTCTTTTTTTCTAATTTGAGTAATTTGATGTTTTGGCAAGTGGTATCTTTTCAACAAAAGCTGTACTGCTGCTCAAAAAAGATTGAAAAACAGTGGAGTGTGGCTTCCAATGTGCGTCTACAGCTCCTTGCTCCAACTTCACTCAGGCTTTGAGATATTCAAACAAGGTTTCAAGTCCAACAGCGACAACAACCTGATGTTCAGTAATATTTAACATTTGCTCATGGTCTTCCATAGCGAAAGATGGTCAGAAGATGTGCCTAGTCCAGAGCACTCTGAAGGGGAGCTGGATGATCAAGATGGTTTAAAGGAGATGAATGAAATTGAGGAACACATCTATCAGACTTTGAACACTGGGAGGCAATGTGAAATCGTTGAACCTGTGTATGCATTTCCTATCAAAAGCAAGGTGAGCTTATTAGTGTCATATTAAATCAGCACATTTGAATAAATGAATAAATACTATGCTACTGTAAATGCATTCATGCACATTATTCCACATTTTATTCTTCACTATTTGAAACCCATGCTATCTAAAAAATGTTATTCCAAATTTGTGTGCGCAAACCTTTTCCACTGGGAGGCGCAGTTGGGTAATACATTTTAGGTTGTAGCCTGATAAATAGGTATACTGCCATAAAATTAGGACGTTTTTGGTTTTATTAAATACCCCATAGCATATGTGTTTTACTTACAGCGTTGTTCAAATATTAAACTATGCAGTTTCATTTGACACAATAACATAACAAAACCCCAGTAACTGTTACAGAGTAGCCATACAATATCCAATTTAACACCATACTACTCCCCAAGAAGTTGCTCTCTCACCTCTGGGATTTAATTCTCTCAATATTCTTCACTAGTATCTGCTACATTGAGTTAATAGTCCCATTGGGCTCTATTTCCTCTGTCAGCTGCCTTTCCACACAATCACAGTGGGTAATCCTCTGCTGCTTTAGGCGTTTGTTCAAATTAGCTATAAAAAACTTTTTACCCACACAGTATTGTTTCACGCCAGCATTGTGTGTCAGTGTAGCCTTATGTTTTTTCAGTAAATCACTTAGATTTTTTTATTTCCATTCTTCCACTGTATCCTTGCTGATGACATAAAAACATCCATTAAAACATACAGTATTTAAAAATTTATTAAGCCATATTTCGCATTATTCAACATCTAGATTGTTTTCACTACACAAACACATACTTTACTACACTTTTACTTTAATATGTAACTTCAGAACATTTTTGACAAGTTGGTTTCTGCATTTCACACATTTGCATCACCATCTGGTTGTCTTTTTGCCTCCAGGCAAGTGCACAACAACTGACTGAAACATCTGGTGAAGCCCCTGCTTTCGGTATACACTTCTCATTTTATCAGCAACTCCAAAAAAGAAATGGAAGCTATTTTTAAGCCCATTTAGTGAAAATGTTTATGAAATGTTTATGGTAAAACCCTAGATATAGTATTTGACTTTTTTTTTTTTTTTTTTTTTTTACAAAACATTTTCATAATTTCACGAGACTGTTGGTTCTTTTTCATCCTGTTGTAGATTGTGTGCGGCTTTACACTCAAGGCTACATTAAAAACACAAAGACAAATGGACCAACTTTGTTTTTCAAATTAAGTAACAGTGTTCACAATTCAATAAATCCCTTGTACACTAATTGTGTATTTGTTATTATCCCTGTTTGCTAGATTGTAAAGAAGAAACCATTGTGCAGTCTCCTAAACATAGTCATAAATCCTTTAAGAAGAGCTCTAGAAAGAACAACAATGTGGGATGTAAGTCAAATCATGTTTCTTTTAGAAAATATACAATATTAATAACATAAGTTGAAAGTTTAAATGTATACAGTGTCAAAGGATACAGTTCACTCACCAATAATTTCATGATTATTTCAATAATATTTTTTCAATAATTAACAATATTGCTTTAAAAGTTTCTTTTAATCATATCTTTCTTTTCCAGCTGCACAAGCAGGCCAAACTTATGACGGTCTCTCCCGACTCAGTGAAGACCTTCTCTCTAGACATTCTACGCATGTTTCTTCGGTTGTTAATAAGCCTCACATGGAAGAACAAACAAATGAAGATGAGAATGGTCAAATGGATCCTGAACTAAGGCCACCAAAAAGATCCTTACCAGAAATAATTAATCATCAAAACTCTTTAAATCCCATGGACAGAAGAGAGGATTTAGTCTGTAAGACTCCACTCTGTAAGACTCCCCTCAATATTGTGATTATTTAATATGCACTGAATTGTATAGTAATGCATGTTTTCTATACTGAAGGCCAAGCTGAACTGCAGAATTTAAGAAGGCACGCTCAGGAGCTGGTGGATGAGAATGATACTCTCAAGATGACAGTGCATCGTCTCAATGTGGAGCTAAGCCGCTATCAAGTGCGCTTCAGGCCCCTTTCCAAAGAGGAGGTACAGGACCTGCATTATACACCATGACCCCTTTTCCTCATAATCCTTTGAAGAACTGCTTTTATTTGCAATTTAAGTGCAATGAATTAGAATAATTTTAGTATTAATATGTTGTACCAATCACTATTTGCAAGCAGTGGTTCTGTTTGTTTATTTCACATTTTTTCTATTTATTTTGTTTTCTCATATGATATTTCTCATATTTCTTGTCACATTCTATCACATTCAATTGCTAATAACCCACTATAGTGAGTTTTTCAAAAAGTCACCCACAGGTAATGACATTGTTTCTGAAGTCTGGTTTTATAGTGGCTGGAGAGGCTAATGGGTTGGTTTAGCATGCAAATAATAACGAAGATTAGTGCTGAATAGCAGCAGGCTAATGCTACAGCAACACATACGTGATGCTCAGCTATGCTATACCATGGTGCAGATGGCTTTTTCACACATGAGTTTAGAGAGGCATCTGAGCATAAAGAGATGAATTTCAGATATTGCAGGTTAATTTCTTTTGACTCCATCATTCACAATGTGTTTCTTACACGGCCCCAGTGTCTGCAATGAGTTCCAAATGAGACATCATCTGTGAGTCATTTTCACTGATGAACAGCCTTCTTCATGCTATCTAATCTTCTCTTACACTGACTTTATAGCCCTAAATCTCATAATTGATGTCCAGTGATTTATAGCAAACTGTTGTAGGAGCCCAAATAGCATCCATTTTATCCTAATCCTGGTGGAATAAAAACATTGCCACTATCTGTCACTGTGACTTGTTGGTTTAAAGCATGTTTCTGATCCATCTGTCTGGCTTTGATAGTTTTACATTGGAGCAGAAAGCAGTGGCTTTAATCATGGCTGCCCCATGCTGTGTCTTCACACCAGGATCTGCAGCTCTCATTAGTAACAGTGTACTATCTATGTAGCTGCATGTCTCTGCTGGTCCCTTTAATACAAGTGTGGCTACCCTGCTGAAAGGAAGAACTGTGGGTCACAACAGGAACTAGAGTTGGCTCCAGTAGTGTCAACTGTATTTGTTTATTAACAATCTGTGGATAGTCAGATAGCCACATCTTATTTGTATTGATTGACTGTAGTAACAGTTTTGTTGTAATTTTTTTGTCTCAGAGTTCCAAAATCAGTGGACTATCAATGACAGAGTCACCACCACCCTGGCTGGTGAGTTGTGCAGTCTTAATCTTGTTTTTTATGTTTTTGTTTTCTAGGCAAAACAGTTTAATCAGAGGCAGTGTAGATTGGTATATAGCAAAAACAAAAGAACAAACCTCTTAAATAAATGGTTTTCTATTTAACTTATTGCCACATTTTACTGAGAGGCCATATGCTGGAAACAAAAAGGTTTTGTTGGATTCATCAGTTTTAAATGGGACTCCTGTGTATTCTCCCCTTGGGTTTTGCAAAATTAATGCTTTTTCTCTGCACACAATAGTAACTGCTATGTGAAAACTGGGTTTATATATACAAGGTCCAGTTGTGTTTTTCAGCCCAAAATGAGTCATTAACCACCAAAAATAACCAAAAGGCTCATTAAGGGCTTGTATGCTTCATTGGAGCGAAACAGATTAAACGCACACTTTCAAAGACGTTTTGTTTTGTTTTAGCTCGACGTGAAGTATTTATCTCCATTATTACTCGCTTATGAGGACAGAATGAATGAAAAGGATGCTCTTCTTAAAACCACAGAGGTATGTTTTATTAATGGTGGCTTTTTCACTGGTCAAACAAGTAATTGTTTTTTCCCCCTCCAATTTTATTTTTAAGAAACAAGAAAATGCAATGTTGTCAAAAAGGGCTGCAAAAATGTATCAACTAGCTGACCGACTATACAGTCTGGACTATACAGACTCTGGACAAGTTGACTACTTAAATTGTTATTTGGAGCCTTACTGTCAAACAAAATATGCACAGAAGTTAGCACAATATTCTCTCTCATGTATCTTCTGATTCCCTGTGACTGCTCATTAGTTTAACATGACCAGAGGTGGGTAGAGTAGCCAGAAATTATAGACATTGTAGAAAGAGTAATGTAACTTTAAATTAATATTACTCAAGTAGAAGTACAAAGTAGTGGTCCAAGAAATTACTCAAGTAAGAGTAAAGTAGAAATCTACTACTTAAGCGAGTAACTTAACTTAATGAGTAACTGTCAGGACATCTGATTTATAATTTTAAGTTAATGTAATTTGAAGGACAAAACATTAAATAATGAACACAATCTGGCATTTTCAAAGGATCGACACAAAAATTATAAAAACTACAATATATTTGAAGCAACAGTGCAAGAAACACAAATGTTTAATTCTATATAATTTAATATTGTCAACATAAAACATTTGTCACTTGTAGATTTACTCACAGTGAGAAGAGTACTGTTGCTTCTCTAAAAGTAAATATAAATGAGTACTACCCACCTCTGACTGTGACAAACAAATGTTGTTTTTCTCGATGTTGTTAATGATTGGTGGCTGGTGTTCATTTGCAACAGGAGGAAATGAAGAGATTACGAGTCCATGTCGAGGAGGTGATCAAAGAAAATGAGAAACTGCACAATGACATTGCAAAGATAGGAGGAGTTACACAGACAGATTGGTGAGAACATTTTCTATTTTTGATTTAACACCATTCTTCATTATAAACTGCTTCAAATGGTCTTATAGGATTAATTTCTGTTCCTTATTATGTAGTCGACCTGTTCATCCTGTATGGATTTCCAATGCCATGAATTTCGTATTCCAGAGAATAAGTTGACAGATTTGCATTATGCATGACTATTTCGGTTTAAGTAATAGCCCCCAACAATGACAAAATGTATAATCTTGAAATTCTAACTGAGTAATACTTTTAGAGAGTTTCTTCCATTTATATTTGCATTTATTATATGCACTCAGGCAACAGCTCCAAGAACAAGCTTTCCTCGTTTTGCAAGAGAACCAAGTACTGATTGAGCAGCTAGAGGCTGAAAATGTTAAATCTCACGAATCCCAGAGTAAACATCATTCTGAAGGTAAAATCTTTGTATTTCTATTTTGGGTTGCATCACTTAGTTTATTCACTTCACAATCTCTCATACTTTGAAATTCTAAGCTTATCTGTCAATAAATCTTAAACAGTGATAGGGCTGTGTAGTATGATTATATAACTTTGAGATTTAATTTTCTTTGCCTAGGTTTAGAGACATAATAAATGCACATGCACACTACACTGAGTTTTTGATTTGCTTTCTCTGTAGTATCCAAGTTGGCCAAGCAAGTGATGATTTGCGAAGCAGAAAAACAACGTTTGGAGGAGGAACTGGAGGCCAGCAAGAGAGAGGCCCAGAAAAACAAGAGGAATGCACAAGCTCTGCAGGACCGCCTGAAAGATGCAGTCACATGGAACGAACACTGCAACATTGCCGGAAAACTGCGAAGGTTTGTGTCTTTTCACAAAGTTGTTAAAGATGCACTATGGAACTTTTCTCGTGAAAGGTCTGCTACATGCCTATCCGGAATGTTCCACAGTATAGCATTAAATATATCTATCTTGTTTTTATTGCATAAAAATACACTACACAAATTGGACTCTTGTGAGCTTTCAGATGTGTTAGAATGTTGTTAGCTTATCAAAAACAAACATGTGTGAATGAAACAATACACAACACCATTTATGAGTATTCCTTTATTATTAGTCTGACTGCATCCCCAAAGCTCAAAATGTAGTGGTAGTTTTCAAATTAATTGCTAACTTTTACCTTTAGTTCAGTAAATATTGACAATTGCAGGGCTGAAATGATCCAAATGATTTTAGTGAAATTGTATGGAATTTAAAAACTCAGTGCACTTCCAATATTACCACATGACATCACAAAGTGGAACAGTGTTTTCAGTTTGAGAGAAAAACTCAACCTAAATGTACAAGGTTTGTGTTTTTGAATGTGTGTGAATTAAACAAAACTCAACTCCACGTGTTTGTGAGGAGGAAACAACATTACAACAGATCTGAAAATAGCGCAATATGGGCCTTTTAAAAACATGAATTCTCAGTGGGGTAACTCCACAGAGCAGACCTGTAACTTGCCCATGTGGTGTCACCTGCTTGTCTTCCTATAGGTAGAGAAGTTTAATGTTCAGATGAAATAACGTCTCCATGGAGACAAGCTAGTGATGAACCGTCCAACCAGAAAAGTAAGATTGTGCATCTTTAAGATAATGTTTTACTGACCATTAGGTTGTTGATTTATGCAAATAATAACTCAAGCTACTAAATGAATTCTTGTGGTGTTTTCAGTAAAGGCCAGCAATTACATGTGCAGCTCCTCTGCAAAAAAACATGCTCTTTTAAAAATAAGCCATAGCCAAACATATTTAATAGAGACACAAGGGACAAGTAAATGTTAAATAAATAACGTTTTATAGAGGGCTTGTGGCTCAGTTGAAATTCGTACGCATTCTTATTCTTTGCCAAAGTTATTAAGAGAAATGCCCCTGAAGTGCCTTTGTTCGCCAAGTGTGCCTAACATTCAAAATTGAAAGGTTACATGTATTATTCTTATTGATGTTTTTTTGATAGAATCATGACCTTGCAATCATGGCCATTTTTCCACAGATCTTCAGTTGAGATGACTTTTCGAAGCAGATAAATAATACCTTGTTGAAATTGAACTACGTGTCTTTTTCTTTTTGTGGCAGGCAACTGGAGCAGCAGGAGAATAGGAATAAGAATAACACGGAGGAACTCCTCCTTAAAATGACCCGTCTGGAAGAGGACAACAGGAACCTGAATTTGGACAAGGAAAACCTGTCTACTGCCATCAAGAGCCTACAGATGGAGTTGAAGATATCCAAACAAGCTTATAGGTGCAGTTTTCATATAATATTAAGTGCCCTATATTATGCTATTTTCTGATCTGTGTTACAATGTTGATTCCTTTTCAAAAACATACCCGGAGTTGTGTTTTATTTCATTTACATGTTGGACTCTCAAATCCTTCATATTTACAGTTCTTATCTCAAACAGAACAGAACACTCTGTTCCACTTTCTGGTTATACAGTGATCCAATGCGTCACATCTCTACTGAACAAAAGGTAAAATGTAGCTGTTAACATGAAAACTACCACTGCAATATATCACAAGGTGGAACAAATCATTTTGAGCTTTAGAGATAGAGACAGAAACACGTATGACTAAAACAAAACACAACTCTAGGAATGTTTTTAATGAGGTAACAGCATTGTAAAACGACTTAAAGCTCATAATAATACATTTTTCATAATACAAAACCTTTTAATAAGTTATAAATGGTAATTTTCACATCATGGATCAAACTTCAATATTGAAACCATAACTATGCTTAAATACAATAAAAGATGTGAGCTCCAGTGATGTGAAAAGTTCAGAAATAGAATGACATGTCTCCCTAGTTGAAATTGTACAATACACTGTACAATATATATTTTCACCTAAACGCCAGAGGAGACACACTGTATTTCCTGTGGAGTGGCTGGGACATGAAGGTTATCAGAAGGTGTTTGATTAAGCTATTTTATTTTTATCAGTATCTTTTCCGGACAGCCTCTTACTCCCTCACATACATTTTTTTATTTTCTCCACAATCTGGATCTCTCTTCTCATGTGCAGTAGTGGAATGCAACAAAGTAAAAGTAGCTAAGTATTGTACTTAAGTAAAAATTTTAGCAGCTAGAAAAAAACCTTTTGATTTAGTTGTTTCTGTTGAACAAAATTCAGCACAAATCTTTCTCAGAATCATTACATTTGAAGCCTTATAAAACTTCAAAATCTGTGTGAAATACTTTTACTTTTTGCACTTTAAAGTACATTTTTAGACAGGTACTTTAATATGTTTACTTAAGTAGATTTTTCACATGATTTACTTTTACTTGAGTATTTCTTTTGCTCTGGTATCTGTACTTTTAGTAATAAAATAGAGTACTTCTCCCACCACTGCTCATGTGTCTCTGTTATGCAGGAAGGCAGAGGGGAGGTTGAGTTTGCTGAAGCACGAGAAGGCTGAATCTGTACTGAAAGAGGAAAAGACTCGACATTACCTTGGAGCTGTCGTCTCGGTGGCAGAGCACATTTCCCTGGAGAGAGACCAACTGTTGCACATGGTATTTCTCATGTTCTGGGGGAGTTTGTATTCAGTGCACAACAGCTACGCAAACTTTATCTCAACTACACTGCTCAGAAAAGGTTGCCGACAATGGAACAATTTGTTTAGGTCCCTTGTGACATTTGTGGCCGCAATCATTATCCCTAGAGCTTAAGCTGAACTGAAGGCAGGATAATTAAGTTGGGTGATTAGCTAGCAAACTAAAAACAAACAAAATTAAAACCATGCTTCTAGTTTATATGACAGCTTGACAAGTATTTCATAAGGCATTGTTTATTATGCTCCTTACTCATTGGACCTCTTGGGAAGTTAAAAGTCCTATAGTCACCAAAATTGACTCTCATGAGCTTTAAGCCATGTTATAATGCTGTTACCTCATCAAAAACATAGCTGTGTTATGTTTCATTCGCATGTTTCAGTAGCATTTTATTATCAGTCTGTCTGTATCTCCAAACCTCAAAATACTCTATTCCAGCTTGTGTCAGCTACCTTTTACCTTTAGTTCAGTAGAGATTGGCAGTTCCAGGTCTGGAGTGGAGCACTTCCTGTATTACCTCATGACATCACAAGGTGGGGTGTGTTTTCTATTTGAGAGAAGAATGCAGCCTGTGCAAGGATGTGCAAGGTTTGTGTGTGTAAAATAAATAAACAAAAAACTGACAGTATGTTTTTGATGAGGAAACATCATTTTAACATTGATCAGAAAACAGCCTAATGTAGGTCCTTTAAGTAATTAAGTAAATGTTCCAAAAACATGTATTCATAAAACTTATTTTGTATTCATTTGGATTCACTTACTTTTTCATTTGGTAGTATTCAAAATACAGATAATTTTCTATAAACAAAAGAATACATGGTGGTACTTCATCATATAATTTAGGCTTTGAATGATTATAACAAGAAGAATAGAAGACATCGCTTTTGGACATGTGCACTTTTTCTTCCCTATTTAGCAATAAATAAATGCATAACAGGTTGTGCAACAAATAAAGCTGTCATAATGCTATGTCACATTTTTACACACACAGAATACATTACAAAATACATTACAAAACAGATTTGAATGCAGATATTAAGTTCTCTCTAACTAAATACATTTACAAGTATTCTAGTCAACACTGCTTGGTGATGTTTCTAGGGGCACAGCTATGCCTATGCCAGTGCTGACTGAAAGAGATGTGACAGAAAATCTGATACCCACCAACCATTCACTCACATTGCATATTCACAAAAGCAACTTGACTCAAGTGTCTCTCCCAAAAGACAAAACAACAGTATGAAACTGGCTAGTAGTGGCTAGAGCCACCTTCCAATTATAAGATGATCTATGTAACATTAGTCTAGAGAGCTTGGAACAATAAAAATAAGGTGTGGAATATGTTATTTTACAAAAGTGTTTCACCCATTCCGGCACATCACACATTTAAGTGATTTTGATGGCATAGCTGCATCACTGTGGTTTCTACATCAGTTACGTATTATCTGTCCCCTGTTTGTCTGATTGGCTCCCACATGTGCGTCAGTAAAATTATGTAATGTCATTAGTCATTGCAGCTTGGGTCTGTGTTTGTGCATTGTTTTGTAGAATAATGATCTTTCTATTAAGTCTTATTGATTATTATGCTCAAAACAGAATGCAAGTCAACAATTAACAACCCCTCATTATGAAAACGATGATAGTTCAGGCCAACAGAACAATGGAAGTGGGCTAGTTAAGATAATGTGTGAAGTCCATATCTAGAAAGAAACCCCACTGTGTTGAATCTTGTTTTCCCCACAATTTGACATGTTGGCAAAAAGTAGATCATCTTTGAAGTCACATAGCTATTTTAGAAAGATGGGTGAAATGACCACAACAAGTATATTAAATACAGCAGTACATTTGAAGACATATTGTACATTGTCGTGTCTGTGTGCTAATCTGTACTTCATTGTCTTATTCTAGAGGAATCTAATTAACAGAATTAACATTAACTCATTACATTGATGTATATGTATGACTTCTGAGAATAGTGGCCTGAATCAGGACTGAACGAATAATTATATTTTGTGGTATTTCCAATTAATGGCATTCATTAAACTCAAAGCTAAATATTTGTGTTTATTTTTCAAAGTCTATAAGTGTATAATATTAAACTACTAAGAAAATCTGAAGTTAGACCAGAAGGCTATAATGTTTTTGCATAGTTCTTTATAGGCTCAGCATGTCTAAAACAAGCAAAGTTGCTTTATCTGGTCCCTCTGTGCTCCCACGCTGGTAATGTCACAAATAGAACTGAATACACACAAGCCACTGACTCTGAAAGACACTGCTGCTGATTCTGTTATATTGTAACAAATGGAATAAATACACAGTTTAGAAACGTTGAACTAAAACACTAGTTAAATGTTTGGGATGTTCCCTAGCCTGTGTCTAAAAATATAACAATGTGAAGGACATTCTTGATGAAGAGCTTAATCGTGGAATGATAATCAGAACAAAGCACTATTTGACACAGTTTATCAGCTGTCATCTGCACATTTATTTAAGAGATGAAACCTTCTTAAACTGTCTTTATGTCTGTAGCCTGATTCTAAATCATTACTTCATACTAATAATAGAGACACATAAATGTTAAATAAATAACCTGTGGTAAATATGTCATAAATTTACATTAGTTTGTGAAGAAGCTTTGTTATTCCATTTAGACTTTAATCTGAGCTTTGTTTTAACACAATCTAACAAAAAAAGAAATATTTAATTGGAACTACTGAGTACTGATTTGTACTGTGAAGTCTCTCACACATTACATTCATTAACTAGTTAATATTAGTGAAACTCTTAAAAACTTTACAAATTTGCAAACATAATAGCCAAACATTGAGCCATAGACATACATTTAGAATCCCCTTCCCCCGACCATGATGTCATATCTGTAAAAAATGTCTAATGAGAGAACTCTGATCTGATTGATCTCCAGGGAATCTCAAGTTTTGTTGCAGCAAACTGTTGCAGTTTTGCCGCAACATTTACACTGCTTTGATCCTTGTTTATGTTATACTTGACAGTACTTAATTACCTATAAATATCACATCTGATGCCCATCCATCCAGTAGGAAATAAAGTAAAAAAAATATAGTTTGTGCTTTTGTTTTCTACCCCCTAAAACCTTCTCATTCCATAATCCAGCTGTGTGCTTGTTTTGTTGCCACCTTCTGTGTTTGTTTGTCAGATCTGTAACTTCTGTCTTTACTCTTCTGTCACACCAGGCATCAGTTCTTGAGCAAGAAAAGCAAGGATTTATCTGCAGTCTGTTGAATGGCACTGTTCGCCTCGGAAAGCTACAAGAACAGGTCAAGGTAAGATCTATAATCAAATGTATTACTTGTCCTAAATATGTTTCTCTGACCTGAGGTATTCACCTGAAATGAATCTTTGTTTAAATGAAAGATGTTATGCATTCTCTTTTCTTACATTCTTCTCACTTGAAGTTGTATTTGAAGCCATTCATGCATGTTTACTTTTATGCATTCAAGATGCTATTGCTCGTAAAATTCAGTTTTCTACTACCCCCATACACACCCAACACTATGTACTTACTTTGTTGTTGAGTTCTTTAAAGTAGTGATTTTCAATTTTATTCTGACTTGACAGCTGGAACATAGCCAGCAACTCTGAGAAAATATCACTCCAAAATCCATAAATAATCTTCATTGTTCCTCAAGTTATTGTTCATCTTTTTAAGATGAATTGCTTTGGATCATAGAATCATCTCAGAAATCATACCCAGAAATAACAATCTGTAGTCACCATGGCAACATTTGTACATTTACAACCATCATGTACAGACAGCGATTCATGTGGATGGCAGCTGATTTTAATAGGCCTTAACTAGTTTCAGTTAAAGCATTATTACCTTGCCATGGATCGGCTGCCCTGCATGTCATCCACCTCGCCAGATGCTTATGTCACTCAAGCCACTTTAAGAGGAAAAAAAAGCGCCGCTAAAATTTCTCACAATTGCATTAGTGTCTCTATAGCAACAGGCCAGAGAGAAAAAGGTATAGTTGTGTGCTTGCCTATGTGATTTCTGTTGCTGGTGATCACACCATTCAACAAAAAGAAGGAATAGATTCTTCATTATCTCCCAGAGCATATTGTCTGTATAATGCATATTGGCAGGAAGGCTGAATACCTTTCAACCTTTCAAACCCAGCTTCCAGTTAATCATTAACTGGAATTGCAAATTATAATAATGATATTGTTTTTAAATTCCATTCAATATGATTCCATTCCAATTTAACTTATTTGTGTTCACTCTACCCATTAACTTTCTAGCCCTAATCAGTAGAATTTTATCATAAAACATAAAATGTTTTTTAAGATAATCATTTGTGGCTTCAACACCCATAATGAATAGGAATATGTTCTATATGTTACGGTAAATTATTTGGAGAACAAGGGTAAACACAAAATTAGGCATTAATAAGTACTTCATGAATATGAACAGATCAAATTAACCACTAAATTGAGTTAAACAAAAGCATTACTGCTAATCTACTTATGAATCAGTTTAAGATCAGATGTATACAAATGTGTCCTCACACCTCATTCCTGGTCCTATGAAATGTAAGCAAATATGCATGAGCTAAGACACAGATGTAAATGCATTATTTATGAGTAATGTGTGTGTATTTTTGTCAAGCACCTGGACGGGATGAATACTTAATTTTGCAAGTGCACGTAAATATAGCCAAGGTTCATCTAATTAAAAGGTCGCAGTTGGTTCTGTAAATACAGTACAAGTGAAATGGCATAGGGTTTAAAAACTGAATTATTAGTTAATTGTAAATGTACTTATTGGTGTTTAATGAGGAAATAGGTTGTGTTCATATTCTAGAATTTAATGTTTTTAAAAAGATCCATAAATGTTGAACCTTGTCATTATTTGTTAGGGACTGGCTCCACAGACTTGCCACATGAAATCATTCATTGCTTGCCCTTTTCAGAATAGCAACCTAAGCCTGCCAGTTTTTTCTTATTTTTGACAACTTTACAATCCCACTGAGAAAAAAAAAAAGTGTAACAGTAACTTTAATGTAAATATCAAAAATGAAATGTATGTATGTAAAAATCACTAAGCCAACGTCTTCTGAAAGGTATAATATAAACATTTTATAGCTCATTCTTTTCAAGAACATTGTTTATTATCTAATTGATTTTACTGTACTATGTGAGCGCCATAATATGCGTAGAGCAAGAAGACACGTGAACAAATGGGGGACTGCAGGTAAAAGCCCAATATAACTCTACAGAAACAGCAATATAACAGAAAACAACAAAAGTTCATCCCCTGCACCACCCTGGAGCTAGAGGCCTCTGCGCACTGTCTGGGGCTCCGGAAAGACACTGGGAACAGTTATGTATTAAGTTTACCTTTATTAAAAAAAAAAATAAAAAATGTTTTCACTTTGTTCAAAGACATAAATCACTTTGCGCCCATCTTCACTTCAGATCATGCAAACTGTGCCCTTCTAGCCAAAGTTGTGGTGACAACATTTTCTGATAGGTTAAGAGATTATCAAATATAGTTAGAAAGAGAGTTTTCTTATAATGATTTAAACTTTTAATGGATGGTCCTCTGTGATCTGAGTAGCTAAAGGTCAAATACAAAGTGCCAAGTTGCAAAAACTCCACTCTGTTATCATGAGTAAGCACAAGTTTGCAAGTCAAGTGGTTTAATTGCTTCGCCACTTTTAAGTCAATTTGGGCATTTTCCAAATGAACATAAACATATAACAAGTAACTTACCAAGAAGAGAAAACATGGTTCCAAGTAATTTTACAATAAAAGGCAGAAATCCTCCTATGTGATTCTGCCTCCTATGTATACTCTTTGTATATCCATTGTATGGTGGCCATGGTAGCTGGAAAAGAGTTAATTTCATGGCTTAAAGTCCTTTCAACCGACATCAATCACATCATTGGATAATGGCACAATGAAGCTACTGAAAAAAACAAAAAAGCAAAAATGTATAAACGTATAAACAGCCAGTTCCACCATAGAATTTTAGAATGCTGTGATGTAATTTGAACACAGCTTATTCTGACTTATTATTATAAAAGCCTCAGAAAACAGTACAATAACACAGTTGCTCAAAAAGATGTCAAGGAAATGTTTTCTTAATATTGTTTGAACTGACTTGCTACAACAATATGAAGAACAGGGCACCTACGTTTAGAGCTGCATTTTTTTCATTCTCTGAATCTATTCATAACTACCTTAGCTAAGTACAGTTAAAAATGTGTTATTGTGTGAAGATAATAGTCAAGGAACTGGTGGATTCAATACAATGTCTAGTCTTCTGACAGCTTATGAAAAGAATTCTATAACTCCACACTTTATATTATATCTTATACATAATACTATTATCACACTTCTCCATACATAGGGAGTTGACATTTTGGAAAATCTTAAAATTTTATTTTAATTTGATGTAGTTTTAGGTGCATGTTATGAGTGGGTGTGTGCTTTGTCATGTCACTTGTAACCCTATCTGTCACTCAAACTGACTGCAACCCTATCATTAGCCTGTTTCATCAAAATGGAAACTTTTAGAAAATATATATAACACACCACTGCTGCATTCCAGTTATCCCCGCAGGTGGGATTATCCAAAATCACCCGCTGTCATTGAACCTGCTTTGGCCTCTGCAGTTATAAATGCATTATGAGCAAATCACACAGAGCTAAGCCAAACAAAATCCACCATATATTCACATAGATTTATATAAACTTTAAATGTTGGGTTATTTCCCCAGTTTTTATAACTTGTGTAAATTTGCTTCACATACACTTGACAACTGGAGCACAATAAAATGTCACTTTGGGGTCTGAGGACAACTGGATTGCAACATAAAATCATTATGTTAATTAGTTACAGTAGCCTTTAGCATCATCTTCAAGTGTCATTCATCACTTTGCTTTTTCTATTTCATACATGGCACTCTATGACCAGACTCTGTTATTATATTTATATGGTACTTATTTTATGTGGGTAGGATGTATCACTGTCCCTTTCATTCATAAATCAGAAACACTTAAATAAGATGTTAATTTTTTTTTTTTACTAAGTGCTGTAAGGTATAGCATTCACATATTTCTAGGCATTGTGCGGTGGTGCTATGGCCTGCTCAGAAATAGAAACACTAGTGGACACTGAAGCCAACAGGACAGACGCTTGCCTGAAAAGCTCTGTTTGCTCGAGCATAAAATAAAATGGGGCCTTCAGTCTGACTCACAGCCACTGTCTGTCATCCTCTTTTCCCCCCGTTGTTCTCATACAAAACAGTCTTGCAAATTCATTACAGCAATGATCACTGAGGTATTAATGATATGGCATCACAGAGTTCATTCTATACTTCCTCCTTATATGCATGTGAAATCTAGTGGTTCTACCAGGACCATGCAAACGAATACAATCCCATGACTTTTATTAGCAAAAAGTCTTTATGTATGGAAGCCCTGAGCAACAGGCAAGAAAAAAAAAATGTTATCACTGTCGCCATGCTTGAAATAAATAAATGTATAGAAAATGTATAGAAAATAATGTATTTATTTCATTGTCCAGTAGCATTCATGGGCAAGTATAGCGGCACAAAGCTCAGAGCTACAACCGTGAGACCATATAAAAAATTGAACAGTGGTAAAAGTATACTAAATTACATCAACAAAAAATGTCTGCAGTCATGTGAACTTCACAAAACAACTTCTCTATTTAACACTGAGAACACAAAGGAGACATGTTACCATTTCTCATTCATTGAACAGTTTCCAAAAGTACACAGCAGCACAGTTAACACTGGGTTTTGCTTTTGTTAAACATAAAAATGAGGTTCAGGATGGCCTAAGACTTCTTATGGAGTGTTTCTTGAGGAGTCAGGATATGGCCACACTTATTGCTACACTTTGTATAAATTAATTACTATATTTTAGGAATGAGTGATCACAGTCGTGCAGCTACAGTAATCACCATGATTAGTACTGTTGTTAGCTGGTGTGAATATCTGTTTTGACAACTAAATGTCACCAGATTGACTCTTAACAAGCCAAACTGTGTATTTGAGGCGAACAGAGTGCTTGGATGCTGTTGTGAGCAGCAATTTACTGCTCACATTACCAGCCAGTTATTTGTTCGAATGTGGAGAACGCACTACAGATAAGGGCATGTGTGCACTTAAAAAAGACAGATGTATTACACAAGTTAGGCTGAACATTTGAATAGATAAAGTCCCTTGGATAAAATTTAAAAGAAGAGTACAGTTGTAAATGGAACATACATTATCACTATTTCATGATATTGTATTCTGTCAACACACAAAAAGACAACAAAAGCACATACACAAAAAAAATCTACTTATTTCTCGGCTCAGGTTTATGTGTTAGCTTAACTGCAGTTACAGTCTCGTTGGTAGAAAAAAAGTAACTCTTAAAATGTGACCACAGTGTCTATCACAGGGCTATCACAACATTTCAGTGAGTATGTATGTATATATATGTATGAGTGTGAGTGTGTGAGTGTGTGTGTGTGTGTGTATATATATATATATATATATATATATATATATATATATATATATATATATATATATATATATATATAGTTGGTTCAGTCTTAACATGTACTTAACATGTAAAGAAAGTTACTAACAACACCTGGATTTTTTTCTCTATTACTTCAGTGATTATTATTGACTTCTAGAAGAGCAATCGCACATGCCTTGACATAGACACTGACAGAAGCCATAGACTAGACATACAGTAAGGCTTGAGGGCACCAGGCTCACACACACGATGCCCAGTGTTACTCTCTGAATCACCAATAAATAAATCCCTAATGGCAATGATCCAAAATACAAGAACCCCAGCAGCCAGACGAGTATACGCGGTACGTGATTACACAACTTTGACAAAGCATCCTGTTCGGCTGTCCCATTAGACCCAATTGAAAGCGAGTCCAAACTTTGTTCGGCGTAAACATCGGAGCTTTCATTGCGACTTGGAGATCTGGAGTTTCTGGGCACCTCCATAATTGTGATGACCAGACAGTTGGATGACTCTTGAGATGGACTGGAGGAGGAGAAGCTCTTTGGGGTCAGGACTACTTCCCTGTTGAGATCAGAGCTGGCGGATCTATCTCTACAGGCTAAGTGGGACATGATGTTAGCGTCGTCTGGGAGCGCTGACACCTCGTACTCTGTGATCTCGGTCTGGTGACGGCAAAATGGGCAGGGGACTGAGCCTGCCACGTCAGCATTGTCCAGGATTTTAATGACACAGCGGCCACACACGCGGTGCAGGCAGTCCAAGATCTTAGGCTTGCGATTGTGGACATTGTAGCGCTGGTAACAGATCTTACACTCCAATTCTTCAGACGAAGGAGACTCTTTCTCTTCGGATTCCCCGGAGGACAGCTCATCTTCAAGTCATGTTCTGTAGAAAGAAAGGAATACAGGTCATAGGAGGGGCCAAGGAATTGGTATTTAGAAGGTGTTCTCAAAGTGCAACATAAAGTGATTTGTATTTGTGGAGTGTTTGCCCACTTTGAAAGGTCAGGGCTCTGGCTGGCTCTGCGCTTTTCCTGGTGGTAATTAATAATGGATGTGGGGGTGGGGGGCTGGATTAGGGTGTCCTCCCGGGGATCTCTATGGCACAGAGAGTGCCTGAAATAGTATTGATCTTTGGGGTAGAGAAAGGGCAACTGCTTCTTCCTTTTTGTGGAGTATTTTTGGAAAGTTACATCTAGACCTGTGTGGTACAGTGGCTCAATTTTTAACAATATGACAATATATCTGGCTTACTGTTATGAATGAGGTCTTTGCATAGTAAATAATGGAGGGAATACGAGACTTCTTTGAATGCATGAACTAAACCCTTTGGAGTGTTGTGTATGCAGCACCTAATTAGTTCTTAGGCTAATTTGCTCTGACTGTTTTGATCCTTTGGTAGACCGCTTTAAGCCGTCAGTCACATCCACATCAAACAGCTGTTTCCATTCATCCATAAACTTCTCTTATCCCTAGCCTGATGATGAAAAGGCTGCCTTGTCTCGTTCACTGTTGTTGTCATGTTTACTTAGAGCAACATTACAAACGGTGGAAGAAATCGCCATCAACTCAAATCACTGGGAGCAAGCAGACCATGACCAAGCCATTTGCACTGTTACATTTAGATGCTGTGGAGTTCATGCTTATCTTATATCTAACCTATGAGTTCATAGAGGTTAGACTATTACACTTTTCACTAAAGCAGTTACCTAGTAGCAACCATAATGTCAACAAGGGCTAAAACTTTAAATTACCCACTAATTATTATTAGGTTAATAAAGATAAATGACAACACTGCTATATTATTTTGTTAAATTAATATTCAAAAAGAAAAAAATGTGGTATTGTGCATGAATTGTCCCTCCATTTTAGAATAAATGAAGATATTCTGCCTTATCTGTTGACAGATAAAACAAATATGACAGAATTTCTTCAAAGCGTTCTTGAGGGACATGTGTAAATGTGAAAAGTTACTGTTTAAAAGCTGAATACATATCATATCATGATTAAATACTATTACATCTTTCTATGCTGCCTGAAATGATTTGCATTGTTATTTATTCACACATAGTAGTAGAAATATACAGGCAGTACATGTCTTGTTCAAAAATGCTCACCACTTAGTGTACTATATGTTCTATATCCTAGCTCCTGGAACGAGACTTTGTTCATGCTGTATAAAAGAAAGCCTTTCAATCCTTCATTCATATGATCATGAAATATAGATTGAAAAGGTGAATGTTGCTTGCTGAAATCCCACAAGGCCTTTATAACTACACTGATATAAATATTTCAACCACCGAGCTGCTGCGAGAGAGAACTTTTTGAAAAATTGTCAGAAAGAAGTAGCGCCCACTGCATCAATCCCAAACCCTGGCTTTTCCCCAAAACTACTAAATGATTTCTTTGGAAACCTCTATGCCTATCTGAAAGATCTTAATATGAAACCTTAATTAGAGTAGAGTGAGTTTCAATGGATTTCAGATACAGGATTTCAACTTTATTACAGCACAATTAATATTAAAAATGTACAGTGAGGTCAAGCCAGTTTTAACAGTTTTTTAATGGTCTCAATTTTGCATTGAGATTTCTGATCTGCTTAACTATGGACCATGATATTTCCTGTGTTAGCTTTTACTTGTCATGTAATTTTTAAATCTATTTTTATTCATAATTTCTTTGCATTTATACCACACAAAACTAAATCAGGTTACAGGCATAATAATCATGATATGCAGTGTGCATACACACACTCACCCAGACACCCACACACATCCCCAGTCCAGTGTGCACTTTTGATTTACATATTACCATGTTATGCTAATTTCTGGTCTATGCCATAATGTTGTTTCCTCTTCAAAAACTTGAAGTTGTGTTTTGTTTCATTCACGCATGTGTAACACACAAATCCTGCATACAGAAAACACTTCCATCTTGTGTTTGTGATGTTATGTGGTAATAAAGGAAGTGCTCCACTGTGTGTTTAAACTCCATACAACTTCAGTAAAATCATTTGGATCATTTCAGCCCTGGAATTTCCCAGTCTGTACTGAACAAAAGGTAAAAGGTAGCTGCTAAGTTGAAAACTAAGACTATATAACATCACAAGGTGGAACAGAGCATTTTGACCTTTGGAGATGTAAACAACTAATAAACAACAAACACAACACAAACAAAAACACAACTCCGGGTAAGTTTTTGAGGAGATAACAACATTATAGTATTTTAACTTTTGCATTATTCATATGTACATAAAAATGACAGTAGATGGTCACTTCATGCACTTCGACTTTTCCTTCACTGTCTTAGTTCTTTCTTCTTCATTCTCTGAGCCAGGCATGTGCCAGTAGTAAAAAGCAATTTAAATGACTATGTAGATGCAAATGCAAAATTCTTCCCACAAAAATGACAGACAAATATAGCCTGAGTTGAACCCATCTAGTTTAATGAATTATTTGTGCATATAGTTCTAGCAGACCCAGCAGACCCATTTTCTTACAATAACCTTTTGTCAATAATACCTTATGAAGAACTATCTGTGCCTTATTCAGTTTCCTTTGAATGCCAAAACCATTCATCAATCATGCATCTTCTATAATGTCTTATTGACCTGTGTTTGGCCTTTGTGCAGTGATCTGTGACAGGGAACATCTCTCAAACCATAGCTCTTTAATTAGCGTTACTGTGCAATCAGTAATATTAGATGTGTGTGACCTTTGACCCTGACATATTGCTCTATCATCAGTTTTGTAGATACATGAATGTTCACAAGTACATCTATTCATTTTCTATTTTTTAACAATTCCCAATCCCCCCACTGTTAGCTTGTATGATTCTGTTGACTCAAAATGCTTATTGTGCAATGTTTTGTTTTACCTCCTTGCAGTTTGTAAGCTCTTTACATCTCCCTTTGGACCTGCTCATTCAATCGTCTAAGCTTAAACTAGTGCAGACACAACAAGACACAGTAAAGGCTAATTTGCAGTGTTATTAAGCAATCTTCTAAATATTTATTATGACTTTGCTTGGAATGCAAGGAAAACCATTATTAACCTTTCAAATCGATTACAAATTCATAAGATTCATTATTCACCAGACGCATGAAGGTTACACCCCACTGTGCACACCGGGTTATGAAAGCTTAGCATGTTATACTGACGTATATGGAGATCTATAGGCACATCATAGACTGCATTGCACACGGCAGCTATTTACACAGAGTGGTGATCTCATGTGCTGGGCTGACTGTCTGGCTCACTGATCGCAGTAAAGGCGAATAGCAATTAAACAGTGGGTAATTGGAAAGTTGACTAAGTGCTGTTTAGGCTCCAAAGTGAATTATTTTTATTAGTATTGAAATTGTTTAATGAATGTTGTCCAAAATCTGAGCAGAAAACATATTTGTACTCACCAAAATGTTGTGACTTTCATTTGGTGTAAAATTGTATTGCTCACTCTAAAATCTATACCAAAATATGTTTACTCTACATATACATTGTGTACACTGCTGCTATTTCTATTTCCAGTTGATTTTCTATCTAGTATTGATTTTCTATCTGACACTCTTAAAACTAGGGGTAGGCAATATACCACAAAAAATGTTTTTTTTTTCTTCTTGAAACCAGATTACAATTACGATTTTTTAGATCCTTACATGCTGCTATATTGCTATAAGGCAGTGCTGTTCTGTTAACAAAATTTTAAATGACATCTGCCAGTGATGACAATTTGTCAGTGATCAGCTGTGGCCTATTTAATTCAGATATCCATCAATCCTTCGCCAGTCACTACGTTTACATGTACAGAGATCTGAGTGTGCTAAATAACCAAATTCAAATCTCATCAGACCACTCTTGTCGCAATCTACACGTAGGTCAAAGAACTGAACAAGTGTGAATCGGGGGGCTATGAGACATTCACAGACGTTCAGTCATTTAGATTTAGCACTTAAACTTTGCAGTTATTGCTTATAAAAATGGATACCATACATATTAACACTTTTGTCAAAAAATAGATAAGCATCATCATTGCACTTCCGTTGATAATTCAATTGACATGTTGTTTAAAACAGTATTCCATAACAATGAAACTACATGTGCTAGTTCATGGTGGAGGGACTGTAATGAATAAAAGCATGTGGTTCAGACTTTACAGGAAGAAACTGGATATTGGCACTGATTAAAAGCTTGTTTTGTTGTTAAGATCAAAACTGAAAGACTCAAATTGCGATTAATCAGTATGAAAAAAAAATATATATTTTTGCTATAGCTTTCAGCTCTGTGGTAACTTAGGTCATCATACTTCACTATGATTGGTTATTTCCACCAGTCACTCACTTGGAGCCTGAAGTAAGCTGACCAATAGGAGGAGTGTCTGAGGTAAAGTGTTTTCTGTGTGTGAGAATATAAATGCATTAAGAAATACTCGCCTGATCATGATCTGACAATAAAAAAAAAACCAAAAAAAAACAGCATACCATTCGTCACATGGATGAGACAACTAGTCCCACCTAAACAAGCCAGAACCCTTCACTTCCACTACATTATCTGTGTCCCAGGTTGCCGCAACTTCAATAACTGCTGCCTCATAATCTTGTTTTTGATTCATCTCTCTCCATTCATCTGAGGTTGTGACCAAATCAAAGAGAGTACACTGTGGTATTATATTTATAGAAGCTAGTTACTTTTCCCCTTTTACTTTCTTGTAAGTGCATGTGGGTGTCTTTTAAGAACCATCAAGGACCTCTCTTGGCAGATCACAGCAGTCTATCTGTGACACTTGAGGCCGCAAAGATGAGCTGGTTGCTTTAATGATGGGAATGAGTTCTGGTTTTCAAGTGTCCTTCAGTGAAATGAGGAGATACAGATTTATTAAGCGCA